ATTGCGGAGTTGCTGCATCCCCTGGCTGTCTTTATGTCTACCAACGACCTAGCACTTAACATTGTCACCGATGATGAGTCGCACTCAATGATCAGAGATGCTTGGTTCAATATTGTTGTCCACGGCTTCACCACACAAACCGATATGGGCAAGACCTATCGCGATGAGCTTCGCATCATGGCCGTTCACTCACCCCCGCTGGTTGCCGAACAACGAGGAGAACAAATTGAGAGTGACATTGAGCTTAACACCGTCCTGCGCCGAGGCATGAGCTCCGACAGAGAGTCGCTGCAAAAGAGGCATCTCACTGAGTTGATTCCCAACAAGGCTACGGAAATCAAGGGACTGAGCTACCGCAAGGTGATCTTCTTGCATGCCGCTTACTTGGTCGAGAGTCTCCGAGCGGATGCTGGTGATTGCACCAAGGCCCTTTCGTACTTCTTGGAGCCCAGCATGCGTAGGGGAGAGGTGAGCAGTACTATGGAGGCAATCGCCGCTGCTGTGGTGGACAAGTATTTGCGCAAGACTCTGGGCGGCACGGACGCTACCTTCTCTGCCCAGTACGCCGCCACCCAGCTCGTTGCCATCTTCTGTGGTTGCTGTCATCGGATCGAGCGAGTCCAGCAGGCTGCCTTTATGTGTGCGGACCGCATCATTATCCAGGTGCCTTCTGCCCTCTGTCACAGGTCCTCGCTCTTCGCCTTGCTGGAACTTCTTTCTCTGATGTGGTCGAGCTGCCTAGAAGCCGAGACAGACCTCTACGCCCCACGATCCAAGTTCACATCTAGCCTTGGAGACGTGTCCGTTGAGCTATCAGACGATTACACCTTCCGCCGTCACACCCTGGACGTTCTGAACCGCAGAGCCAAGCAATGGGTTTCGAGCGTAATTAGCCTGGCACCCCTGGACATCAAGGGTCTTCTCCAGACGTACTTGTCCGAGTTCGACGACGAAGGAGCGTATGGCCATATTTCTCTGGGCCGCTCCTTTGCCATTGAGCTTGGTTCTCTCATGCCATCCACCGATCAAAGACTGCAGTCTCTCGATCGAGTCGGAGAATGCAGCATTAACACTGGATCTGACTTCGTTGCCCAGTACACCACGCGTCAAGAGTACCGATATGGCGAGACTCTACCAGAACGTGGCAACGAGTTGGTGAACTTTATGCAATTGAACCGTAGAGCGTCCTTCTTGCAGTCATCGGGCTCGAGCGCCAGCGACAGTGCGAACGCGGCCACCGCCCTGGCGCATGTTGAGGCCCGCATCAAGAGCAAGAAGACCACCGCTCTAAATGAGGTTCGCGATATCCTGCGCAGAGCTGCAGCCCTGCTTTGCCGCAGTAATAGGGATGAGTCTGCTGTTGCTCATTACCTCGTCAGCATCCCCTTCGCCTTGTTTACAAAACAGTCTATTAAGCTGGGCGTTTCCTTGTGGTTGGGCGTGATGAACGAGAACCCCCGCCTCGAGCCCAGACTTCTCACCGAAATTGCCCAGCAATGGGAGGCGACCATTCAGAACGGTCTTGGATTATTTAGCCATGCCATGTCGTAAGTTCTCCATCTCCCTACCTTCTACCTTCAACGTGGCTGACAAAATATCAGACATCCCGACCCCTTTTTCCTCAAGGGAGAGTTTGCGCCCAGTGATCTTCAGACGTTGGCCAAGCGCAAGCAACATGTGCACAATCTGCTGTCACCCCACATGAGGCTGTTGCAATTCTTCGCTAGCCACTTCAACGCCACTCGCTTGGGCAGTCCGGATGTCCAGCGAGTCTTCCTGCGCATGCTCGATGTCACTCTGGATGCTTTGCGATCATCGACCGCTCATCCAATGGCACGAGAACTACGGTTTCAGATCGTGTTGTTCGGCCTGAAGGTGCTGCATGTTTGTACTACCATTGGCGCCATCGCCCAATGGCGATTCAAGGAGAAGATCTTGTCCGCCGCGCTCAGCTGGTTCCGGTACGCTCCGAGATGGTCTTTCGGTAGCAATATCCTGCAGCTCAAGACGGAACTTCGTCTCTTAACTGATATCGTGGCGGCATTGAAGCATGTTGCATTCATTGGAGCAAACGCCGCCGACACTATCAAGTCACTGCAGGCCAAGGAACAACTTCTCGTTTTTCTCCTCGAGAGCGAGCAAACGCGTTTGTCGGTGTGGGTACACCCACTTGGCGAACCCTCCAAGGCCCATGGTCAATTTAATAAGGCTGCTGTCGAGGTACGTATTGTTGAATTTCGCAGTGCCGGAATGTCACTAACAACAAATGCAGACTGCGCTTGCACCCCTCATTCGTGTTGCTTGGGCCGAAGACCCGTCTATTGCTATTGAGCTGGTCACTCGATTCCCCTACCCCCGTGTCCAACGCGAGGTGAGATGGCTGTTGATCAACTTCCCTCAGAAGGCCATTTCCGAGCCAGAGGGTCTTCCCATTCTTCTGGGAGGCTCTCTGCCTAACGATGTTAGCTTCCAATTGAAAGTGAGTGGCATCCCCAACTCCTTACGGCCTGATTCTAACCACTGCAGTATCTGTTGTTTTGGTCGCCAGTGAATCCGATCACAGCTGCCACGTACTTTCTTCCCGCGTATAAGAACCATCCTTTCCTCATTCAGTACGCAATGAGGACAATGGAAAGCCACTCCAGCGATGTCACTTTCTTCTATGTTCCCCAAATTGTGCAGACGCTGCGCTACGACGCACTGGGCTACGTGGAGCGGTACATCTTGGAGACCGCTCAGTTTTCGCAGCTATTCGCGCATCAGATCATCTGGAACATGAAGGCGAACGCCTACAAGGATGACGACGCAACTATCGTGAGTTGGACGAGAACTCATGGTCACGTGTGACGCTAACAGTGTAACAGCCTGACGCAATCAAGCCCACGCTCGACAAGGTCATGGAGAAGATGATTGCAAGCTTCTCTGATGTGGACAGGACCTTCTATGAGCGAGAATTTGCTTTCTTCGACGAGGTCACGGACATTTCGGGCAAGCTGAAGCCATATGTCGGCCGACCCAAGCCGGAAAAAGCGCAGAAGATTGAGGAAGAGCTCCGCAAGATCAAGGTCGAGATTGGCGTTTACCTGCCGAGTAACCCCGATGGCGTCGTCATAGGTATCGACCGCAAATCCGGCAAGCCTCTCCAGAGTCACGCCAAGGCGCCCTACATGGCAACATTCCGCATCAAGAAGAACAAGGGCAGCCTGGAGGATGTCAATGACATGCTAGAAGATGTTTACAAGAAAGACTCGACGCCGGTGCAGGAAAATACTATTGAAGTCTGGCAGTCTGCCATTTTCAAGGTTGGCGATGACTGCAGACAGGACGTGCTTGCCCTGCAAATGATTGCGGCGTTCCGAGGCATTTTCCACAACGTCGGCCTGGATGTTTACGTTTTCCCGTACCGCGTCACGGCCACGGCCCCTGGCTGCGGTGTCATTGATGTGCTGCCCAACTCGGTCTCCCGAGACATGCTCGGCCGTGAGGCCGTCAACGGCCTCTACGATTACTTCATCTCCAAGTACGGCAACGAGGATTCGCTCCGCTTCCAGCAGGCGCGCAGCAACTTTGTCAAGAGCATGGCCGCCTACTCCATCATCTCCTTCCTCCTGCAGTTCAAGGACAGACACAACGGAAACATCATGATTGACGACGCGGGTCACATCCTACACATTGACTTTGGATTCTGCTTCGACATCGCGCCCGGAGGCATCAAGTTCGAGCGCGCGCCCTTCAAGCTGACGACGGAGATGCTGGCAGTCATGGGCGGCAGCCCGCATCACCAGGCCTTCAAGTGGTTCGAGGAGCTGTGCGTCAAGGCCTTCCTCGCGGCCCGCCAGCACTGCGAGAAGCTTAGCCAGATCGTGCTGCTAATGATGGACTCTGGCCTGCCGTGCTTCAAGCCCGAGAGCGTGCAGCACTTCAAGGAGCGGTTCGTGCTGGAGCGCAGCGAGCGCGAGGCGGCCGACTTTGTCAAGGACTTGATCCGCAGGAGCGCAAACAGCTACTCAACTGGTGTTTACGACCAGTTCCAACTGCTGACCAACGGCATTCCCTACTAACGCCGGGTTTGCAAAAGGCTGCTCGAGGACGAGGCCGGAGGACGACGACGAGGATGGGGAGGATTCCTTTTTTTTTTTTTTTCGAATTGTACAAGCTTTATTGTTTTTGTGGCCTTTGTAAAATTCGCTGCGGCTGCCTCTATAGAATCCCTCGTGCAACCTTTGGATCCTGGCTTGATATTGTACACGGTTCCGTGCGCCGCCCGTCGCACCAGCGACACACACACGCCTGCGCAATGATTTGTTGCACAGACGGAACTTCTTCCTCCGCCCTTTCACAAGTTATAAACACCACCCTACCTTACTTTATCTAACAAGTAGTCAAACTAGTAATACAGATGGGAGATGGGTTTTGTTTTCGCTCGCTTTGCGTCAGTCAGCCACACCATCGCCCTCCCTCTCTCCCGTCACTTGCGTTCCCTGTCTTTGCTGTGCCTTCCAAGCTGCACTCCCCGTAAACCTCCTTGTCGATCAACAATCCAACATGATTTAGGCTTGAAACTTTCGGGGGATTGCCATTTAGGACAACATCCAAGACCCTGTTGATCCCCACACTGGCGGGACGGAGGGGAGCCAGGCGCTCATGCCTTTTTTGTTGCCATCCAGATACACCCAGAAAATAGGAAAAACAGAACATAATGACCATGAACCCCAAAACCGCTGGAGAATGCTATATCTATCCAAGATGCTGCCCCCCCTTTTTTTCTTCTTTCCTTGGTGACCCGATCTTTCTTTCCATGGCTAATGTGGAGTCTCTTTCTCCCATTTACCTTGCATCATATCCTCCACTCGTTTCCGACCCGGGGTGACGATCTATCGACGCTTCCCTACCGTTTCAAGATATACGAGGGTTGATGAGGATGTTTACAAACGACGACCAGATTGTAGAACCGTAATATCACTGAATTATGAATATACGGCAAGATTTTTGCCGCATGCTTATTGAGTGATATGCGTGTCAACGTTGTACGTCGCGTAGTCGACATGCACAAAGGCGCGGTCGACAATGGGCACCGACTCGAGGAAGTATGTCAGGACCTCGCTGAGATCGTGACTATCCTTTAGAGGCATATTGGCGTTGAGGACGATGTCGACCTCAACGAAAAGCTTGTCGCCCGCGTGATAGGCGCGCAAATTCTGAATCTGCTTGATGGACGTAGCGAAGCGCATAGTGAGGTAAAGGACTGTTAAAGCATGACGCTGTTAGTATATTGATTACCTTACTAGATACGTGGTGCATCAATTGGTCAACCAGCTCTATGGCCACTGTACTGTATACAGCTAGGCTTTGGGTGAAGGGGGAGAGGAAAAGAGGAAACAAAAAAATGACAAGGGCTGTTGGAATATTGTCTTAATATAGAAACTGTGGGGAAGGTGAAACGGCAGGGTAGAGGGTAGGAGGCGGGACAAGGAAGAGCAGAAGACGAAAAGAGGTTACGCACGGAGATTTCTCTCATCCGAAGTCGCCGAGAAGCCCGTCAGATTTCGGACATGGTGCATCGAAGTTCCGCTCCAGTTGACGATGACGACGAGAGATAGTAGCAGACCACCTAGAGCGTCTAGCCACCAAACTTTGGCAAAGTAGCCAATGATGGGGAACAGGATGGAACCGGTGTTGAAGATGACATCGGTCACGGCGTCGTCGGCCCTGCAGAATTGGGAAAAACAAGAGTCAGTTTTGAAAGTTCCCCATATTCCGTGACAGGCGCAGATCAGGAGGCGGCTCCGTAAGCCCATGGCGACACAAATGCCGGGATTGCGGCGAAAGAGGAGCAGGGTGTCAGATCAACTTACAACGCCCGAACACTCGAATTCTTGATGAGACGACACCAGAGCCAGCACAAGCCTTTTATCACAACAGTACCAACCATGATGGAGATGGCCGGAATGCCTCTATGGTTTCCGCGTGTTTAGCATTGCAATCATTGTGGAGCGGGACTCGAGGAGAAGTGGCAGCGATTGAGACGTACAGCTGAACGATTTCGTGGTCGGGCGACATGAGACGCTGGATAGCTTCGAGAGCGACCTGGCAGAAGGACGTAACCATGACGATGGAGAAGACCAGCACGCCAAGAGGCTCGAGACTGTAGCGAGTCAGCACGCGGCACGGAATGCAACACGGAGGCAACATCGCGAGGGCAGCGTCGGGAAAAAGAAAAGGGGTAAAATTGTTACTCACCGCTGTCTGCCCACAGGATATGAATGCTGGTCATTTTGGCTGGTGGCAATGAGCCGAGTCGTCGTCCACACAATCGCCGTGCTGAGGAAGTCGAGAACCGCGTCAACCAAACTAGCGAGTACTGAGACCGAAGGAACGGAGACGACAACGAGAATCTTTCCAATCAGCAATGCTGCGTTCGCGATAAAATTGACCCAAATGGCGAGAGTGACGATGGGGTCGCTGCTGTCAAGGTCAGAGTCCTCCAGCCACGGAATCTCGGGCTTGGGCTGATCGGCTAAACCTTCCTCCTCATCGTGGCCATTGAGAAGTGGGGTCGCCTCGGTGGACCGAAAAATGTCTTTGGGTTTACGTTTCGCCTTTTGCTGTATGCTGTTTGCCGAACTACTCTGCTCCGTGCTGCTGTTTTGGGCGGAGGGAGTGCTGCCGTAGGTGAGGCCGCCTCTGGACGGAGGTGAAGTAGGAGTTGGCGACTCCTCGGTAATGGTCTGGGGGACGTCGACCGGGCGGTAGGCCGAGGCGTCTAGAGCTTGGTGATACTCGTTGAGCAGATCGTGGGGCACGGATGAATCCAAGAGCTGGTCGATGTATAGGTACATGCGAATCAAATCGTTGTTTCTCTCGTAATATTCGCGGCTTGAGGGTTGGCAATAGGCGTCAGTATCCGCAACTCGCGCGTCCCGAGCGGTCGACGGAGGAGTGAATTGGGAACCCCGAATTGCGCCTGGGCGACCCGCGCCGGCATGATGGCACACCAGAAACTCACATATGCTTTGGCATAACTTCAAGCTCGGCCTCCGTCTTCCAGTAGCGCTCCCATTGATAGCGCGGGTTGCTGTTCCCGATAAGGCGCATGCTCCTCATCTGAGGGCCGAAAATGAGTTCGCTTAGACGGCGCTCCTCGGCGGCGGAGCGGTGGTGGTGGTCCTCGTCCGAGTCCCTATGCAGGAAGCCCAGTAGCGAAGTGTTCTCATGGTCCTCTTCGTCGTGACCCAGCTGGTGGTAGGCCGGACTCTTGAGCGACTCTCGCAGAGTGGCATTGGAGCGATTCCTAATGAGCGAGACCAAGGCGCCGCTGCCTCTTGTGGCCAGGAGTGACGGGTCGTTGTCTGCGTTGAGTACTGAGGGACGTTTGAATGAGCCTAGCCGAGGACTGCTCGAGCGATGGTCCTGCGGCGAGCTCATCGTGGCCCGGGGAAAAGAAAGAGAAGCGATGACGTTAGGTCGAATTGAGGAGGGAAATGACCGGGGAGGACGAGAAGAGGGAATCAGCGGAGCTTGGCGGATGGGTAGGTAGATGGAGCGAAAATGAGAAGAAGGAGGTAGAGAGGAGGAGGACGAACAAGAAGAAGAAGGGGGAGAAGAAGAAAGGTAGATTACCTGCCGATGCGATGCGAGGGAAAGGGCCAAGATAATAGATGAGATTGACAATCTCATGGTCGGCGTGCAGCAGATAGCTCCAAGCTGTGTAGGACCCGGCGCGTGGACATGTAAAAAAGGCGACCCCCCAGTGACGGAGGATGCACCCGGAGGGTCTGAGGAGACGAGAGCCGGCAAGGCAAGGCAAGGCGCGGCGAGACAGTGGGTTGGGGCCCGGTGGGGTTAGCTTGGATGGGGCGAGAAGGGACCACTACACTCACACAGGGACCTTCCAGAGCTCACGCTCGCCTAGAGCTTCCCGGGGCTGCGATTCGACGACCAAGAGACGCTTGGGGAGCTTCATGGTACGGGCGTTGGCAGACCCGACCAATGTTGTATCGGAGGAGTGGCTACTGGTGTTTGAACCTGCGCAACGCCATGGATTCTGCTGTTGCTCCTCTGGGCACCCTTTGGGACTCCTTCCCTCACTCTCCCTCTCCCTCTCCCTCTCTCGCTCTCGCTCTTTCTCATTCACCGTTTCGCTGAGGTACGCGGATTGGCAACTAAGGGAGGGAGTTCCATCGTGGCAAGGCAGACAGGCAAGGGACCCTACCTTGCTTTACCTAGGCATCCTACCTAGTTTGGAGTTGCCCTTCCTGTCCACCCGAAGAACGAAACCCCGGCCCTGGCTTCAGGGCAAGAGAAAAAAAAAGTTTAAAAGTTTGCCCATTTCCATTTCCAAGGACGCCAGCCAACCAACTAGCAGGATTCTGAATGGGTGGGCGAGCATGACCTCACGGGCCAACATCCACCTCGCGCCAAGTTGCCTTTTGAGCCAGTGTCGGTCGGCCTTCCGCAATGTCCCCCACTCGGCTCGCTCGCTGAGCCAGTGTGTCTCGTCCTGCTTCTGTGAATGGACGCTTCTCTTGATGTTGCACAAAGTGCCAGAGTCCGTGGGTTGCTGAGCACCTTCAGTCAACATACAACTTTGGCGGTACTCGGAACTATGTTTGACCTTTCAGCTGCCAGACTCATGCCTTCACTGCATCATTACCCGCCAACCCTTTCTTTCCCTCTTTCCCCCCCCCTCATATCTCTCGCGCGTCCCATTGAGTCAACCCTCGCGCGCACACATACGGATAGCTGTCGCGCCAATACTTTCTCAACTCTTTAGTGTAGATTGATTCGGCTAGAGCTGAGTATAAAAGTTGAGGACCGCCCCAACGTGGCTAGTGACTCCCGACACAACCTGCCCTTTACCGCCATTTCCGATCCAATTCGCCCCGTTTTGCTTTCTCCCCCGGCCCGTATTGCCCATGTGTTGCTCGGCTAAGCCAACTCTGGAAAGCAACTGACTAAGGTCACATACTACCACGTTATCCGTACCCTACCTCAGGTATCCAACTGTCTGAACCGTTCCATCACTTACCGAAAGGAAGCTCTACTCGAGCACTGCCAAGAGTAGGTCAAACAGCAACTGTTTGTTCATTTGACCCTGCTTTTCCCTCCCCCCTTCCTGAGATTTTGGGTCTTTGGGATTCGTTCCGAGGCGCAGCATATCGACTAGAGGGACAATAAGGTTGTCTCCATCTCAACTCCGGCATGAGAGGGGGAAAAGTCCGAGGCACAACGATGGGGTTTCTTGTGCCGATGCTGCATAGCGCTGGGGCTTGGCATTACGGCATGTAGATGGTAACCCAGAAATTACGAATAGTCGTATGGAGTATACGGTCAAGGAAGAAGGCAGAAAGATAGGTAGAGAGTAGTCGTTGTTCAACGTCAGAGGACTCAAGAAACCCAAGCTTAACTCCTGAGTTTCCCGATTCCTTCTGGCCTGCACTCGTCATTGGCTCCTCACAAATTTGTTTTTTTATTTTTTTAGAAGTTGGTTATTAGCGGTTCCCCCCTCCCCGGGCCGTGGACCGCAGAACATTGGGCAGAGCCGCATCTCTCATTTGCAGCAAGTTTTGGCGAACTTCTTGTCCACCATTACCTGGTCGAAGCGGAAAGAGGGGTCCTCCACGCGGCTCCGGCTCCGGCTTCCATTTCTTTCTTTCCACCCCGCGAAATTGAAAAGACGCAATTTGTGAATTGCATGGGTGCGTTGTTGACTTCGGCATTGGTTGCTGGCCGGACACAGGCGCGAGGCTGAACCTGAGCCGATTTGGGCCTGGGCGTTCATTCTCAAAAGACGAATAGGTAGCCATTTAAGTCTTCGTTATTGAACCGAATCACGTTCACGAGACGCTCTTTACCGGCGCCTCGTCTTGGATAGGTCTTCCTACTGAAGCTGGATCATTAAAGTTCCGATTTTGGCTGTCTTGGATGATGACGGGACGTTGGCGCTTAGTGGTGGCCTCGTAGTCCATTGCACTGTGATACCGGTCCAGCTTCTCGGCGCCTCTTTAGGGCCATGCTTCCTTACAACTCGCCTTGTTCAGTCACCTCGCTGAGACAGACTCTCTTCCAACGCAGACAAGTGCCTTGGCCGGTTCCTCGTCATGCCAAATGCGCTAGTACCACGCCTCTTCGTACCTCATGATTCTGGGGACCAACAAACGCCTAAACCTGGTCCAGAAAGCTTGGTAAGCTACCAGGAGTAGCTTCAAGCTAGGCGTTGCATGCTGAAGAGACAAAAGGGTTGAATCAAAGCTGAACCCAAAGCTCGCCTGGCGCCTAGCGGTGTGTCTAACAGATGATGCATGACGACATTGAAGTTTCGTGTCACGAAGCTTCCCATCTCTGCCACTTTTGCCGCTGTTCAATGATGATTCTTCTTCTCCAAGATCTCCTGTACGACCTTTGCGGTGGCCTTGACAATGAGACCGTGTTCGACGCTGTGCATGCGTTCTTCAACGTCTGACAGGCTGTCACCGGAGCGGATCTCGACTTCCTCAATGAGAATCTACCATGGATGTCAGTACTATGAACAACAAGAAGGAGTGGTAAATCTGGAGCAGACGAACAGGCTCTCCACGGTCTACAGTCTCAATGACGTAGTGAATCATCGCACCCGTCTGGTTGTTCTCAAGCTTGCCGGCCTGGAAGTCCTCGTAGGCTCTGCCAATGGCATTGGCACCATCATAACGGCCTGGCGGTATTAGTCACACAGTCTGCCACTCATCAACCAATCCCCCCTTCCTCCCATCAAAGAGACGACCTACCAGGCAGTGCCGGATGAAGATTGATAACAGGGACGCCAGCGGCATCGAGCGGCCGCAGAAAGGGAGCGCTAAAAACGTGCATCCAACCCGCGAGCACGACCAGGTCCGGCTTGTCTTGCAGGACGACCTCGGCCAGTGCTGCGTCGTACTTGTTACGGCCCTCTTTCAGCTTGGCCTCGTCCTTCTCGCCCTTGGCCGTGAACCCTCCCGAAACAAGGTTGAAGTATCGCGTCGGGATGCCCGCCTTCTCCGCCCTCTGGACAGCAAAGGCGTTCTTCCTGTTCACAATGACCTTTTCAATCTTGCTCTGGGGCACCGTGCCGTCCGCGACTGCGTTGATGATGGCTTGCAGGTTCGTTCCGGAACCGGAGCAGAGGACCACGAGACGACATTGTCCGTAAGCTGACATGGTGGGAATGTTGAATGGGATATTTGATGAGGATTGAGGGGTGGGTGGGTGAGGTGAGGTTGAGTCTTTTTCTTGGAAGGGAAACTCGAGAAAGCTGATTGAGACGGTCTCGGGCGAGCGGTTTCTGTGACCAACCTTGGTGTCCTAGTGCGAGTTTGAGTGAATCAAGGCAGCGACTTTGAAGCTAGTTTCACAGAGCCAGGTTTCGCTTTTCCGGCCTCGTGGGTCTTGAGGTTTCTTGGGTCAAATGTCTGTCATACGGTCCGGTGTAGCGTTACTATTCGTCACACAAGGATTCACTCAAAAGTCTTGTGCTTGGCCAGAAAGAAAAAAAATTGTGAGTGCACACACTCTGGAGTGAGGCGGGGTAGCTTGCAATTGGTCGGGCAGTCATTCGGGGCGGGAACCAACCAAAGTGTGGTGGAAGACTGAACCTTCGCTATTACCAGCCGGTCCCTGAATTTTCGCCCTAAGCTCTGCAAACGCAACTGCTGAGCACTGCAGGTTCCCTCATAAGAAAGAAACGAAGAACATAAACGTAAACAAACGTTGAAATACGGCATGACGTGTGAGAAGAAAGGGAACGAACGAGTGGAACAGACCAGAGCTCCCAAGTCAGGTGCCTTACGTCGCCAATTTAAGAGTTTGGCCGGTAGTCAGTTGAGGCGCTAGTTGATCCTTTCAAATACGTGAGTGATGCCATAGCATAGGTTAGCTATAAAGAACATACTATTGTAATATTCAGGGGAAAAGGTACCGTGAACATAAAGGCCGGGAGGATTTCAACGTTTCCACTGAAATGGTAAGGTACTTGGGCAAAGCAATATAGTGAGACGGGGTCCAAGAGCTCGTATCTTTTAAGGGAAACCAACCCAAAGTGACAACTATGTCGAGGAAATATCCCATTCGAACTTCACCGCTCCGTCAAACGAAGAGCAATCTTCCGATAACGGACATTGTCGGGTAGAACGTCTGAAGATAGAAGTCATTGTAGACGATACGACGCCTGCCTTGACAGGTGGATAGTAAAGGCCGCTGGCTCGAAATGACTCTGACAACATGAGCTTGTTAAACCTATCCTTGAAGAGCCTGTTCTCTATCAGATGGTCGACATCCAGATCGAATATGGCAGGATTGAATGTGGGCTCAAGAACAGCACGCGCCGCCCATGGCATCACCATCGATTTTGGCCAACCACGTAACGGACGTCCACGAACCAAGCGCCCACCAGCGGCCATCGTCAGATCTGTGGTGTCTGACCCCTGCCACCCAGAGGCGCCCGCATGCGCCAGACTACGGACAGAGGCCCGGCCCCTCGAGGGCGGAGAGCAGCAAGGCGCCGTTTGACCGTCCATTCCCTCAAGGAGCAAACCTTCCTAAACAGGGGTCAAGTCTGGGGCGGCAAGGCAGCCGACGAGACCACGACGGACCAAACCAACACGGGTATCCAAGGCGACGTGAATATTCCCTTTTGAGCTCCGACCTGGCATGCATTTGGTAGCGGCGCTGCCAGCGCAATAAGTGTACGGAGCTTTAATCCGCCCGTTATGGACGAGGGTGTGCCAATGTCACTGTCATATGTTGCCTTTGCCTCCCTTTTTCTTGCATCTTGGAGCCGCAGTAGTGACAATTGATAAAATCGGATCGGGTCAAAAACAAATTAGTCACCATCATGGGCTCGGATTGGGTCGACCTGTCCCGATCAAATCTCGGCCATGCCATATTGGAGATTGATTCCTTGATGGACAGGATTGGCCGGGTTGCTACCCGTACGTCTAAGGTAGTTGACTATTCCAGTCCGGGCCTGCCGCCTGCAGACGACCTAAAGCGCAACGGACAGTTGCAGCGCGGGAACGGAGGCGCTTTTGTCCTGCCCCGAACAGATGGAAACGTCGTGGTGGGATTGCAAGGCGGTGTTGGCATGAAGTGAGTATCCGTGTTGCAGCGCGGTGGATGGTAAGTGGGAAAGTGACCGTAGGGCGTGTGTCTATTCATGGCAGGTCACGCCAATTGCTCCAGTCACTTGGGACGCACTCATTGAAAGTCGCCTTGTTTACTTGCCTTACATCAATATATGGGTTCTCCGTTGTGCCGAAACTATCCAAGGCAGGATTCCGAGTTGGAGGGCCGGTATTTGCTGGATGCGGCAGGTGAGGCTTCCTATCCGATTGAAGACCTCGAGACGGCGCATACACCACGTAGCAGAGCTTTCCACAGTCATCTCTCCGGTTTTTTTCTGGTGCGGATTGAAAATCGAGCAAATAAGCCACGGTCGCGAGTGGTCGATACGAGGTAACTGGGTACACGTGCAGAAAATAGAAGATGGAAAAAAGTGACTGACAGTGTTCGCAACCTGGCACCCCTGGAAGTAAGTGGAGAGACGCGAGTTGGTCCGTTCCAGGTAGAAGACCCTCATTAGCGGCCTCGATTAACTCTTGAGGGGGGCGGCAGAAAGCCATCAGTTCCTGATTCCTATCCATAATTCGCACAAAACACAGCCAGAGAGTCCGCGTGGTCCGCGTCAGACCTTGTGGATGCCTGGTGGGGGAGCAAGAAGGGACAGAGAAGTAGGGACTGGCCGACGGGACATCCCTTCGTCTTTTCTCTCATTTTTCTATGTTTAGTCCCTTCCTGCTTTTTGAACGATGCGAAAGAGCACGCCACCGCTGTTGATGAAGGAGGTAACCATGCCACATGTGTACCTGTCATAAGGTACCTACCTACCTTACCTACCTACGTGCCTACTTAAGGTACCTTAGGCACCTTACCGCCTTACCTGGTAAGGCAAATAGCCATGGCCGTCGGAAGGGTTGCAAAAGCATCAACACGTGAAGCGCCCTCTCAAGTCAAAAGACATGCCCGAATTGTCTACACCGTTCTTTCCCGTCGTTCGCAGTCAGTCATTTACAGATACATGTACAGGTGAATCGCAACTGTTAGGTAAGGTAGGCACGGATACAGACACAGCCTAAAGGAACCACTACCTCATTCAAGCTCCCAGGATTGTCTTCAGTGTTCGGGGAGACCTTATGGGGCTCTGAGAGTGGCGTCACGCTAGAGCCCCATCTCGGGGATGTTATTGCACCTTCTTCTTATTCGCCTTCAATTTCTCTTGCCAAGCTATCAAGGTCAGAGCACCAGGTACGTCCTATCCGGCAGCTCTTTTCCTCTACTTGTAAATGAGGTGGGCCAAAGTCGTGATCGGAACAAAGTTACCGGTGGATGGCGACATCCTGAGGGCGACACCCTTAGTTGAAATAAGATTCGGGAGAGTTTCTCCAAAATTGTGCCTTTGGGCTCCTTTCCTTGCCCGGTTGTGCGATTGCGGGATGGAATTGTCCTACCTTATACTGTGTAAGTAAGCGACCGGGGCACATGGAAGAGGGACGGAGGTCCAGGTAGGTACCTTGCATCACCCAACCCCACCCGCCAAACTTAGGTATCTACTAGGTATCTTATGTAGTTGAGGTAAGGTACGGATACTTTAGGTGCCAACCTTCATCCTGAGCCTCCAACCTTCCCACACCGGTCAATTTTCCTTTCTCCCCTTCATCCACACCCCCTCTCGCATCGTAGGGCCTCGATTCTTCAAGTCAGCGAATCGGCATTCGATTTGTCTCCCACACACTCCGCCAGCGTCTTCTCAGTCGCTCCCTCTTTGAAGACGCAACCTGTGGCTGCCGATGGAATCTTGTCCCGTATCCACACCTGCATCAAACGGTTGTCGGCCCTGAGGTCGGTGGCGCCTACAATGTATGGCTCCCTCCCATTTCCTTCCAAGCAGAGAGTCGAGTTCATCATAGACGCTGTCAACAAGACCTTCAGAAGACACAATCGAGTCTGCTCCGTCCGAGTTTTGTCTCCGTCGCCTACCTGTCCCGCCGACGTACTCCTCGGTCTGGGCATGCTTGGGCGACGCGCCAGGAATCAAAAGTCAGATATTGTATTGATAGGGCCTACGGAATACATGTATGGAACAGACGTTCGCTCTACCCTGCCAACCAACCGTCGTGAACCCGAAACTCTCCCGACGACAGGGAGACGTCCCCATGTCCCTTTCCGAGCCAGGGTCATTGAACGTGCTATCGATCCTGCGCCCCAGACTCTATGTCTCCATGGGAATGACCGAGCTCGAGATGGATCAAGTCTATTTGTTTGATCACGCACTCATGAGTGCCTCTCATTCCAAGCCTCCATCATTGCTTGGTCTGTCCGGCTTTGATCGGTCTCGGACAATTTCAAGTTGGGCTTCCCGACCATGTCTCCTGTGCTCTTGTCACATTGTCGTGGGTCCGGCAGGTTGACCGAATCCAAGATCCAAGCTTCGCCTCGGGTAAATGCAAAGTCACGATGAGACAATCCCCCTCGAAGCAAATCATCATCCTCAATACTCAGGAGTGGCGGTGATCCGGTGTCGCTGACCAGAGGTCGCCAGATATCCATACCTCGACACGCAACCAGCCGTCTGTTGGCAACCTCTGCAGCCACTTTTCGAAGCCCCATCCTGCCGACGGAAAAGGAATTATGAGACATGGCATGAGCCAGAATAACGTTGTTGTTGCTGGTCGCCGTTGTGTCCATTAGCTCACTAGCCAAGGAGTCTCGTCCTGCGTCCTGCATTTGTCTTCCAAGTTGGATGGCGGCGGCTCCGAGTTTAATTTGAAGACCTCAAGTCGCTACCGAGGCTGCCGGCAGAGGAAGGGGCCCAGCTTCCTCAGTCGACTAACCAGTTTGCTTGCCCTACGCAAAGCCTCCTGCTTGTCCGCGCTCGTCTGTTCGTCGGGATCGCTCCTTTTCCAAAGTCAAATTCGCCCGATCACCTGGAGAAGCACGTTCTGCCCTCGTTTTACGGCATCTCTTGCATGGCAGGGCAAAGCCTGGTGGCGTTTCCTTGAAGCTTCCATCATTTAAGCGGATGTCGAGACCTCGCAGCCCCGGGCAACGAAGACATGCGGGACGAGAGAGAGAGAGAGGCTGGGCTGGGCGCCATGGTGTAGCAATTGGATGGCGGGTGCAGCTGAGGAGGGGGGGAAAGGTACCGCATCGGTAACGAGAACCTTTACGGCGGACGACGCAGTGCGACGTTCGAGTTTCCGTAGTCCAGACCACTACGCTACTCCGCATGAAGAAAGAAACAAGCCGCTCCGAGGATGATTACGACCAAAGGGGTGTGCGATCCAGGGGAAATGGACGATGGGCGCCACCCAACGACACTAGACCCAATGGGCGATTCCTTTAAAGGGTTCAATCCAGGATCAAGAGAGGCAATGGTGAAATCCCCCAGGGCAATGGGCCATCTTGCACTGCGAACGAGAGCAAGCGATCGGTTGCTGGAGGATCTGAGAAAATGACGTCGTCGGGAAGCGGAGGCGTCTCTCATCTCCCCGTCTTCCCTTCCGGTCTTTTGGGTTCACGCAGCACGCGGGCTTGGGCTAAGGTAGAGTTCAGCAGGACGGCGCGCAACGAGCGACTGCTGTGCGTTGATTAGATATGGCGATGGCGATCTCCGGGCCATCCCCATCGTCATCCCAAGGTGCCCATCCAATTCCATTCAGACCAAGACCATCAACAATCCCATCCCCTTCTCGTCTTTTCTCCACACACGCCCCCTTCCCCTGGATCCCTGACCCTGAACTCCTGGGGTCCAGAGAATTTTAGCAGGGTGAACCAGGGAAAACCCGCAGCGCAAAGAGGTAGGGCAGCCGGGCAGGTATGCTGGCAGCGGGCCGACCAGGCTGTGAGCTTATGAAGTGAATGGAACGGTGGTGGGCTGGCTCGACTTTTTGCGTGAAGTGCTGCGTCAAGCCCACTCTTCCCAGCAACTATTGCTTGGTCTCTCCACTCTCTTAATAAAAATAGGCCCTGCGACTGGGTGTTTAAACCAGGGAAGTACTTCAAGAGCTCAAAGCAGACCAGACCACGGTCCACCAGCAGGAGACTGGGCCGACAAGGACGAAGGACGCGGGACGCGGGACGCGGGACACGGGAAGCAGAGCAGCCTTTCAGATTTTCTCCTTCTCTCTCTCTCTCTGTCTATCTCTCTCTCGCTCTCTCTCCCTCTCTCTCGTCTCCTGGACCCTGTTCACGTTCTTTCTGACATGCCCCTGTTTGGTCGACCCTCACCCTTGGCTGGCCTGCGTTAGCCGTGCCTTTGGCTCTTCTCTCTCTGCCTTGCCTAATTACTTACTGATCGGATCGCCTCCTCCTTTCCACATTCCCACCCGCTTTCCGCTCCAACCTCTCGTTGTCTGCTTCGCCGACCCTCGTTGTTGCTGTCATCATTTGTTGCATATCACTTCGTGTCGTGCCCATCCGTCCCACGACTCGGATTTTGTTCCTGTTTATCCATTTGTTCTTCATATCCTAATATCCCCCAGCTTCCATCCTCCCCATCGGCGAATCCCCTAGCCCGCCGCCCGCCGCCCGCCACCCACTTGCCCATCATCTCCATCTTCTCTGGCCTTGTGTAGTCTGGGTCCAGCTTTTCTGCATCTCTTTGCGTTTGGATAAAAAAAGTTTGAATGAGATCATACGGCTTCTGCTTTCACGCCCTCGCATACGCTCTATAGACTAATATCCGTCTCGTCGCCTTTCCGACTGTTCGCCGTCTCGTTCTGTCTCGTTGGACAGGCACCTAGGGTAAGTCATCATCAAGCCATTCCTCTTGTCCTCCCTCATTCCTCAAGCCACCGGGCGAGGCCTATACATAGCTACGCTTCCCCCTCGGATTCGCGACATCGCGGTGCGATCGGGAGAAGCATTGCATTATTGTTGAGCCCAGGTCCATCGCTAAGGCTGCTGGTGGCTACCCTTTCCGCAATACCCTCATTCCCCATCTCCCCGTCCCCCGGGTCTCCACGAAGGGCCACATAGCTCAGTCGCATACTGTGCACACTCTCGCGATACCTCACGCGCACCCAGTCGACCGACGGATTGCAGTTGCAGCTGACATTCTGGATTCTTTCCGCTACGCAGTATCGCCTCGCTTACCGCACTTTGGTGTCACACTCCGCACCAAGTACTGACACGAGCCACAAACAAAGCCCTCCCGAACCTCAGCTACCTGTCGTCATCCCACATCGGCTGACCCGCCTCGTATCGCCTTTTTTTTTATTTTTTTTTTTATTTTTTTTGCGGCCCCAGTCCGAGGCGAAGGACAAACTCGTAGCGATTTATCCTTACGAAGCCCGCCTCTCGAACTACTCGGTGTGTAAACGTGCAACGTTTATTTTATCCCACCAGGGAATACGAATAGCCGTTCCTCCATATGCCTAGATTCTCCGTCTCTTTCGGCAGGCGGCGATCGACCGTCAACTCGGAGGAGTTCCATGATGAGCCGCTAGAGACGACGACCAAAGAAAGGCCGACGTCCTTCCGCGTCTTAGAGCGGACTGAAGTAGGAGGACAAAAGTCATTTGATGGTGGACACAGGCTGCTCAAGGCAACCACGACAGCAATTCCTCCCAAGCAATATTCGGACCTGTCTCTCGAGGACAACAACATGTTTGCTGACGTGAAGAACAACCGGTATGTGCATCCTTTCATTCTCCTTGAATCACATTTCCATTTCAGAACACATTCTTGGCAACGATGGGCAGGAGGAGGTGGGATCGAGAAAGAAAGTAATTGAGACCAGGAAAGCAAAGTAGGAAAAAGAGGGTTGGCATGCATTCCATAGCGGCATGTCTCGGACTCTGCGGCGGATTGTTGCGCTGCTGATGGTCCTTTTTCTTGCTGTCTCGATCCCCCCCCTTGTCTCCAATTCATTTCAGGGCCTCGGCAAGGATTGTGTCTAACGTCGACTGACTCAGCTTAAGGGGAAGTGGGTCATCTAATACCACCAAAACAACCTCGACAGATACTTCTTCGCGCCACAGCAACGTCTCGACCACACCGTCTTCGGCTGACCTTGGCCATCAAGGGGCTCAGGAAGAATGGAAACCCTCGATTAGAAAATCACAAACCGAAGTTCCAGCTCCCAAGCACAGCTCCGGTGGGTTCCTGAGCAAAGCCGGCAGAACCTTTTCCTTTGGCGGTCAAAAGAAGAATCAAGTTCCTTTTGACGATCATCCGCTGCCTCCGCCGCCCTTGCCTCCCCAGGCGTCGCTGGAGGACGATCATACCCGCAGACCGAGAGGCTTAACGGATTCCACTGACAGGACGGCTACGCCGCCGAAGCTCAGTGAAGAGGACTTTGCCCTCGACTTTGGCAGTAATTTTGGTAACATGTTCAAAGGGTCCGGATTCGACAAAAGAGCCAGCCAAATGACGCTTCCCGGCAACGACAAGTCCAACATGGGACCTCGTTCCCTTACAACAAACCGAGTCAACCAACCCCAGCCATCGCCCATCAAGATAGACAAGTCCATCAAAGTTGAGGCCTCGCCTTATTCATGGAGCAGTCAACACTCCAATGACAATCTGCTGCACTCCGGCTCCACCTCTCCCCCGGCCACTGCACCGCCGCCAGTACCCCGGCATGGCTCACCACTGGCCTTCCGCAACAATGTGCCATCCGACATCATTGAAGACGAAGATGCGAACCTATTGAAGGACTCAATGGCAGCCAGTCGATTTCTTGGCGGTTCCAGTCAACCTAGCAACCCGTCTCCACCCGGGAGATTCCGCAGAAATGAAGACACATTCTCGACAGCGTGGGATGCAACGGACAGCAAGAAGGAGGAGGAGAACATGTTCGATAATAGCAGAGCACAACCGCCGAAGGCACCTGCGAACACCCATCGCTACACATCCAACAACACTCACAGCCCGCCCCGCAACAAAGTTATGACTCCCGCAGAATTCGAAAAGTATCGCCGAGACAAGGAACGCGATGACAACACCAGCGAAACGGTCAAGGCTTCCGGCGACAACCGCGATGACGATGAGGATCAGTATGATGACGACGAAGATGACATTGCAAAGGCGAAGCTAGCAGCCAAGCAGAGGAAGAAGCAGGAGGCTCACATGGCCGTCTATCGACAGCAGATGATGAAGGTGACGGGCGAGAACCCTATGGCCGGCCCTTCTGGCCATGCCGCCCGACCAAACCTTTCGGTGTCGCTTAGCACCCCAAACCTCGCAAACCTGACCGTTCCCGCGGGCCCACTGACGGGTAGGTCTGACGGTTCTGAAGGAGAGGAGGATGAAGAAGTTCCGCTTGCCATCCTGGCTGCACACGGATTCCCGAATAAGAACAAGCCTCCCGCCCGACTCTTGAACATGGCTTCAAACCCTGATTTGCGGTCATCCGCCCAGTCCCAACCCGCCCAGCCTGCGAGACCGGGCTCGAGCATGGGCGAGGGAACAGGTCCGAGAGGCACAAGCGGTGGGCATCTACCCGCATTTGCGAGAAAACTGCCACAAGACCCGTTCTTGGGTGCTGGTCTCATCAACGGACCTCCACGGGAGTCTCTTACATTCGGCGGAGGCTCTCCCGCACCCGGTGCCCAGCAGCCGGCCGTCGTAGGCGGCCTTGTCGGCGTGATTGCTGGCGAAGAGCGGGCCCGGGCTATGCGCAGAGGAAGCCCTAATGTTGAAGCTCAGAACGTCGACCCTTTCACGGGAGCCCCGGTCGGTCCTGGTAACGGAGTTCCGGCCTCCATGGTTTACAGCAATATGAACGGACTGAACGGAATGAATGGTGGTATGGGAGGCATGCCGCAGATGCAACAAATGCAACAGATGCAGCAGATGCAACAGATGCAACAGATGCAGCAAATGCCTCAAATGCCCCAGATGATGCTTACACCAGGAGACCAGGCACAGATTCAAATGACCCAGCAGATGCACCAGTTCATGCAGATGCAGATGCAGTTCATGCAGATGATGGCGACTCCAGGTCAGAACATAAACGGCATGCAAAGGCCCATGAGCCACGTTGGGACACCCTCCGTTCACGATAGCCAGCGGCAGTCTTACTTCGGAGATTCCATGCTGGAGCCCCCTCGACTCGACCCCCGAACAAGGACCATGAGCATGGTGCAACCCAGCTCCTCTTCATGGATCCAGCCTCCCGGAGGAGGATTCGCTCCATCTATTCACGGAGGCATGGGCGGTGGCGGTGGGTACGCACCCAGCATCCATGCTCAAGGTGCCGGGTATGCCCCCTCGATCGCACCCTCGGAACGCAGCAACGTGGGCTTACCAGGCCGCTACAGACCCGTAACGCAAACGCTCCAACCCCTGGACTCTGGCCGACGCATGTCGGTCATGTCGGGCGCCATGGGATGGGACCAGCCTCCCAAGGTCATTCAGCAGCAAGAGAAGAAGATGCCTGACAAGTCCAACAGCAACTCGGACGATGACGACGAAGAGGGCTGGGCCGCGATGAAGGCCAAGAAGGAGAAGAAGAGGGGACTGTGGAGGACAAAGAAGAGCATTGGCAGCGAGATTGGAGCACTCATCTCATAGGGTATAGACGATGACAATGCCATATGGACGAAAAGGGTGAGAGAAGAGGTGGAAATTCGGAACACGATAAAAAGACTGGACATATAACCAAAAGGAACAAAGACACGTCACACACCGCATCTGGGCGTGTTTGGGTTCTCTTTCGAGATCGGATTGGTGTAGGGTTTTTATTCGGCGCACCCTCCACCAAGTGTACATTCTGGGAGAATCTGGTTGCAGGGGGCGTCGCTGAGGAAGTGAAAGAGCAGGATGAAAGTGCTAGGTTATTGTTTACAAATTCATGATAGACAGCTCTTGGTGCTATAATCAACTAATGTTGGAGAAAAAAAAACCAAAATGAGCCAAGTATGTTTCGCTATGATTACACTTGCGTGAAGCTTTGGTGTATTCTGGAGCCCCGAGTCCACTAATTCACTCATGGGGGGGTCGAGCAAAAAGTAGAGAGATGATCTGTTTCCAAATGACGAGGTAAATTTCAATGGGTCGATCTCTATCCACGACCAGACCCATGGTATGATTATTTCGTTTCTTTTGTTTTCCTTTTCGGAATCTTTTTTACTTTTTTCAGTAAGCGTCTAAACATGATCCTCCCATTTTCGTTCCACTCAAGATGGCAGTGCAAAGCTCTTTTACTACTCGATCTTGCCCGCGGCCCAAGCCTTGCGCTTGACACCGAGCTCGACGGCAGCCAGGCCCCAGTCCTCGCCGTGGTTGTGACCGCCTGCAGTGAGCCCGGCGCGGGCCTGGGCTTGCTCGTCGTTGAGGACGGTCAGGACGCCAAAGATGACGGGGACGCCCGTGTCGAGGCCCACGCGCATCAGGCCGTGAGAGACGGCGTCGGCAATGTACTCAAAGTGCATGGTCTCGCCCTTGATGAGGACGCCGACGGCGATGATGGCGTCAAAGGGCTGGCCGGCGGTCTCGGTGGGGAGGGAGGTCAGGTCCGTGGTTGAGGAGCCGAGGAGGTCGCCGGCCGAGGTGCCGGTGCCGGATTGTGCAGATTGGACTTGGGAGGCTTGGTAGAGTCTGTATTTGGGAAGAGAGGGGAAATGATCAGCTAGCTTCGGGGTTTAGGTCGTGTTTCCAATCGGGAAGTTGGCTAGAAGAGCTTCGGAGCTTTCTGGGAGACCTATCGCGAAGCGCGGAAATCCCGAAGACGCCTCGTTGCCGTCTTCTTTTCGGCGGCTGTTGCTGCACTCACCTCTGGACGGAGATGGGGAGCTCCCAAGCTCCCGGGACGGACTGGATGACAATGTTGGACTCCTTGACGCCGCACGTAAGGAGCTTCTCCTTGGCGCCCTTGACCAAGGGTTCGATGATTGACGAGTTCCAGCGGGCGTGTACGATACCGACGCGCAGGGCGCTGCCTTCGTGCTCTTGCGGGGTAGGTCCTTTGATGCCGGACATTGTGACTGGTGGTGGTTTGTGAAGGAGGGGGGTATCTAGACGTCTCGTGGGTGGTTCTTCGCGACAAGTGGGCGCAGGTCCGTCGTTGGAGTTTGTTTTTTGGCGAGGTTTGAAGATGGCAAGTGGTGAGTGGGCAACAATGCTCGGAACTGGGGAGCTATGTAAGGTGTGGTTTTGGCTTAGGAATCAGCTTGGATTTGCATTTGTATTAGCAAGGCGGGTAAGGCGGGTGGGCTGGCTCCCGTCAGGAACGAGGACGGAGGACCTTGCGATGCGGGGCAAAGCGGTTTGAGGTGCTTGCGTGCCTAGCACCTGCGAGAAAGCTGCGGGGCTCGGCATCCCCTGGGAATTGGCTGCAGGAAGCACTGGAACCTAACTTAGGTAAGGTAGGTAAGCTTCGACGCGGGCCCGTCCGAGCTCCCAGCTGGCATCAGCTGGCAAACGGGCCGCCGCTCTCCGCCAGGCAAGGAAGGGATGACTTACACGGCTCCTTCCTACGTTCTTACGCCTCATGCATTCCCCCAAGTACAGGTCCAGCAGACTTTTCTCCCCCTTACGATACAATCATCTTGACACTCTATCTTTCCGTTGTTCTCACGTTGTTGTGCACTCTTTCTCCTTCATTCTCTAGTGGTCTCCTTCCTTTCGGGACCCTTGCCCTGTCTCACACATTTGCACCCTCTATTTGAATCCCGTCTTCGAGCCAAATGTCAATAACTCAGCTACCTCAGGCCACAGTTCGACAGCTGGGCTCTTCTGTCGTCATCCCTTCCCCCTTGTTACTTGTGAAGGAGCTCGTAGATAATGCTATTGACGCCAATGCAAACAATGTCGAGATCAGGATCTCCGCGAACGCAATAGACAAGATTCAGGTCAGAGACAACGGCCATGGCATCACTGTGGAAGACTACGATGCTCTTGGACGCTGGTCCCACACTAGCAAGCTTCGAACGTTCGAGGAGCTTCAGTGCAAGGGAGGCCAGACGCTGGGGTTCCGCGGCGATGCCTTGGCAAGCGTGAATGCCGTCTCGAAGCTCACAATCACGACGAGGACGAGTCGAGATCAAGTGGCAACGTTGTTGGTACTCAATCCCAGAGGCGGTGGTGTAATGGACAAGAAACGTGTTTCGGGCTCAGTTGGAACGACCGTCGACGTCTCGGACTTATTTGCCGACATTCCGGTCCGTAGGCAAGAGATCCTCAAGGAGAGCAAGAAGGCATATACTCAGATCAAGGAACTTCTCAAGGTGTACGCACTCACTCGAACACACATCAGGTTCTCCTGCAAAGTCATCAAAAACGATAAGTTATCCTGGTCTTATGCTCCAGGCAAAGGCGGTGGTGTCCGAGAGGCAGTTCTTCAAGTTTTTGGCCCCGATCTGGCTTCGCAATGCGTCTAGAAGACCTTCAGTGGAACCACTCCTGCGATTTCAGCAACGAGGCCAGGGAGACCAGACACACCAGCGTCGATTATGAGACTCGAAGCTTTTCTACCGAGGGCTGATGCCGAACCCATGAAGGTGTCAGGCAAAGGCTACTTCATCTCTGTTGACGCGAGACCTATGGCTACCACAAGGGGCACCATGAAGAAGCTTGTCGATATTTACCAACAACATTTACGCGGCTGCATGATTGTCGACGGTTCGTCCAAGTCCATTTCCAAACCCTTCATACGCTTGAATATAGAATGCATTTTCGGAAGCTACGACCCCAACGTAACGACGGCCAAAGACGAAGTCATCTTTGCAAACGAGCCAAAGTTACTAGCTCTGTTCGAAGACATGTGCAAGGAGGTATATCAACCAACGGAGCCCAACAATACGGCTGAAGTATTCACAGAAAGTTGCCACGGTGCAAATAAGCAGACTACACAGCAGAGCCCCGACAACCTCCCAGACGATGACGAAGAGCATTACAGTCTCCTCCAAGATCCAGCGTCAGGTGACAGAGTGACGCTGGAAAGGACACACACCGGCCTACTTTCTCCTGAGAGTGGACTACAGCTGCCAGGATCTCCCGACAGAACGCAATTACACGGTCGTATCAGTGCATCCGGGGCGGCGCAGAGTTCGAGACATCCCAATTTTATGAATAACGACTTGAGAAAAGCCGGCGATGGCCCTGTCTTGAACAGTTCCTCTCTCTTGAATTCACAACAACCGCGGATCAGCCGACAGGCCGAGGAAAACAACCGGGAGCCAGATTTAACCCAAACCCTCCTTCGCATCGGGTGGGAAGTAAACATGGCTAGGGATGAGACCGCAAGTCCTGAGGGCCGTACGCAGCCGATTCTTCTGTATCCTTCCGCCACGGGCATACACGAGCTCATCCAGTCACAGAAGGTGGAGCAGGCCCAACGCGAGGAGCCGAATCCATGGTCCCTAGCCAAAAAGACAAGAGGGCAACGTTCTACTCGCCGCGAAGACATGACTGGGCCTCTATTCACTGATGAGCATAGTGGCAGCAATCTGGATAACACGATTCCTCACCAGCGAGCCCATGTCCCTGAGGGGGCAGAGTTCATTCAGGAAGCCGATGGAGTGATCGGCCGGGGGATTGAAGATCCAAGATACGTCCGGCACAAAAACTCTCAACCTGTATGGATACCTGCAGCAACAAGGGAGAATATTTACGTGGCAGATAACTTTGAGTCACCGATACTGCAACACCCCATCGCCCCACCAACTACTTATCAGGCTCCAAGACACCAAGACCAGCGAAGAATTCCAAAAGATGATGAAGCATTCCACCTGCCTCGTACTAGACACGACATTGACGACCTGGAAGTAATACCAGAGAGAGGCCCGGGAGTTCGCGAACGCATTGGCGCTCAAACACCGTATCCCTTTGCGAATCTTGATCAGAGCAGCGTTTTTGGCACGCCTCCTCCGTCCTCTAGTCCGGTGCGCAAACCATTACGGGTACTTGCCCGAATTGAACCAGGTAGAAAACTCCATGGACGATCAGCAACATCGAGGCCTATTCAGACCGCTCAAGAGGTTGTCTCTCAAAAGAGAGACGGACCGAGACAAAGCAGGCTTGCCCTCAAAGCAAGACGAGAGAGGCAGCCCCTGGATCTAGAGGATACGGCGAACCATTGCTTTCCAATGGTGGAATCAAGATATGATGAGTTTCAACACGGTTTGGAGGAGACAAGGACGTCAGGGCATCACTATGAGCAAGCTAGCCCACAGCCAAACGAGAGGGAGATGTTGGAGAGATTGAACGTTCTTCGCCACAGAATCGTGGACGAGTATGGAAAAGTAGAAGAAGAATGCGGCAGATCGCTCTCTCGAAGGCCTACAACACCTCTGCCAGACATGTCTCCGCGGAGAGACCTGAAAAAGAGGCTAGCATCAAGGTTCAGGTCGAGGATCAAGACGCACAAAAGGATGAGGTCGGAGATGCTGCCATTTGAGAAGCTTTTTTCTGAGCCTCATACCCAGACACGGTCACTTACACTCGATCTACAGGATTTGCGAAAACAGGTCACCGATGCATCTGATTATGATCTTTACGTTCTCAGAGGCGTACAAGAATTGGCTTTTCACATGGAAACAGACGAGATGGATAATGTTAGCAACAAGCTTCAGGAAATTGTGGGCGCCTGGGCGTATAAGGAGCATGGCGTTGAACTGGAGCTTGAGATTGATATTGGCGCATTGTGCGATGGAGGAGACGTAAAGAGTATGATGGGATGAAGCATATGCTAGAGGGTTTCATATCATTCGATGATTGGGAGGAGGTTGCGTTACAAGGCGCCTCCGGTATTTGATCGATGATCATTATGTGTCTCCAGGGCTGTTACTTGCTATATCTAGTTAACGACAATCGCATATTTGCTTTCATGTGGTGTTCTTCCATCATGTGGTGTTCTTCCAACCGTTTATTCTAGGCTTGCTCGGCTCATAGCCCGTCCCCTGCATTTCATTTTTCATCCTATTGGGTCCTCTCTTACTGCGTCACATATGGTGGAGGAGACTATATGTAAGCGGCGATGCTGAGTTCCATCTTCCAGCCCGCAAAGTTTTATGCCCATAAAGGCTGTGATAACTCTTAAGCAAAGGAGAAAGTTCAAGCCTAGGCCGGGTAGATACTCCTCGTGAGCCTCTCTTCGCACGACTCGAAGTGTCAGTAAACAGTTGCTCCCCCAGAAGATTTCCTGAAAAGACAAGTTTGGGTTTCTATAACTCATTTGATATAAACACGAAGGTTTCTGAGAGCGCAACCTTTGCGCAAGATACCGGATACAGCCATCTCCCCCCCAACCCTCCCCCTCATGCTTTCTGTCATTTGTCCAACTCAATAGTGGCAAAGTGTTACAGTGATGAGATACCCTGGAGACCTTCAGGAAGTCGGAACCAGGTAGATAGGGAACGTACGAAAATATGGGCATGCTTTTATGCTGAGGTGCAGGCTTTCGTCACGCTACTGAGTTGGCATACTAGTTATAGTAAAAGGGGCGATAGTTTGCGAGTAAGAATATACGAATGATTAAAGTACTGCCTGCCGTTCAGTATCATCTTCGCGAAGATCGAACACAGCGGAGATGTCATGAAATTGCAGTACGCTTTGAGTTAACAGCAGCACTTCAACACTCCGAGGCAGAAGCCGTCAGCCGTGAAGTTGGCTAACCCGTTCGAACCCGTCCCAATGGTACGCCACTCCGTTGCGCAAGGAGCAGGGAAAAGGATGGAAAAGGGGGGAAGGAGGGGACTCAGGAGAGGGGTGGCGTTGCCGATCCGAGAAGGAAACGATGATGCGGGAGTCCACAAAACCCGGCCCCTTGGATGAGTACACGTACTTGATGTATACAGGTTTTTCTTAAACTTTGTGGGACTAGTCCCCCACCCCCCCCCCTTTTCCCTACGCAAACTCCGTGTTCCGCGTTATACGCGATATTACCGGCATGAACAAGGAGACGGGGGACTTGTCAGCTATAGTGATATGTCTTCATGCCATTGTTGCTTTGTCGTGCTGTCTTTACAGTTTCGGGAAGTGGTTTACTGTCTTCGCTGCTATGGCAGCAGATCTAAGTCACAATAGCCTTCCAGCCAAACCGTTTCCCCAGCATGGAAGTGCGGGAATATGAGAAGAGGGAGGCTGGCAAGCTGGGATGGAACAGGGCAGCATCGTATTCCGGCTGCGCCAGTACTAAAAGTAGCTGTGTGCGGAGACCACACCGTTCGGCGCAAGTTACACAGAACAAGTGGTTGCCATTGACGCGGGCGGCCCTGTGGCTTGCCCGTAACGGCGCATGTGAGGCGAGCCGGTGACGGCGCCCCACAGGCTCCGGCTTCCTGGCGGCTTCCTGACGCACTTCCCGCGAGGATAGGGCTGGGCCGGCCTGGAATCTTTGTAGATAGCTATGTAGCGGTGAGATCCAGAAGCAAGCCGAGGAATAGAGGGTAGGACTCTGCGTACTGCAAGAGATGGTTATTGCTAGCTACGGAACTTTTGCCGCTTCCCGCCCCTTCTTCGACGACGGTATACCTTGAAGGAAAACATGAGTATATCGCGGAGGGATTGCAATCGGATGTCTTGGAACCAATCTTTCTCGGCGCTGGGCCGATGTAGGAGTGTGAAGCACGCACGATGCTATTTGACCCACTGTCCACGGCTGACACCCAGCCCGCGAGACACGGGTTCCTTGCATCCATCTGTGAACATCTTGGTATTCCGCCATCCGGGTCTGTAAAGGGTTATCAAGCAAGAAGAAAGCCGGTGTATATTGGTGGACTCGGGACATTGAGTAAGGAGTCACGGAGTCAAGTACTGAACGAGACGACGATCTCCCCACCGCAGCCGACCGTGAAACCAGGCGAAGTGACGTATCCAGCTTTGTCGTCTGGGGCAGCGGCAATGATGGGCAAGCGGGGACGAAGAGCGTCGTTCGGGACAGCTTGTTGACACTCAAATCAGCAGTGCGAAAATGTGCATCTCACGCCCGGCAAAAAGCTTCCAAGTCACCATCTGTAGCACCATGCAAATCCCAAGTGTTGCCGAAAATAGCTACAGTAAAAGTAAGCGAGATAAACGGAGGCTGACTTGTGCAGAACTTCGTATTCAGGACGCGAAGGAATCTGATTCTTATTTGTTGTCGCCGCGTGGGGTGGAGGGAAAGGCAGTATGATTGGATTAGTCGACGGGCTAGTTATCGCATTTGACGGATGAGGGGTTCTGACGGTACTGATGCGAAGAGAGTCAATGTTTCACCACCAAAGTTTGACATACGTTTGCTTGAACTACTTACGCAAGCACGGCAAGTTTGACAAGGTATCCTTACAGATAGCACGTAATACCCAGGTAGTCAATGTGTTGAGTGGTTCCAAGTTCGGAAATGAAAGATCCAGCCTCTAGGTATTCGTAATGGCTGGGTATGGGCGGCGCATCGAGCCCGAATTGTCGTCGTACTGCTATGCGATCTAAGTCAATTCTCTATTCCTAGAGACGGGCGATAATGTTATGAGCATGTATGAGTTCCGTGACCATGGTCTAGGCTGTGATGTGCGAATGAAGTGTCGAGTTGTGCAACTGGGTGTATAATAGCCAGATGCTATACACGGAGAACCCGTCAATCATGATTGAACCTGGCAGTTTTTCTTGCTACTACTATGGTATATTCCGTAGCAGCTCGGGTTTACCGTTCCGTGGCCCAACCAGCCGAAACATCGACAGGTATTCCTGGCCGTGGGCGGTGTAGACGTCCTCTGCTGGGTTTGGAGCGTTGCACACGGTACCGCGGTTTGGACGATCCTCTGCGATGCATGTGGGCCAGCTATGTGCTCGGTGGCTTGGAAATTGGTCTTGCTGCTTGCTGGAGACAATGGGATTTCGATCCGGCGCTTTCGTCGTTTCTGTTTGTCTTTCCACGACGGTTGATGCTGGTGTTGATGCTGATGTGTTAGGTAGCGTGGACAACCCAGCTGGAGACAATTGGACAGACATAAAGGATTCGATAGGTATCGTATCGATCGGTGGTCCGGGATTCGTCTGAAGTCATAGTTCCGTACTGCCACATTTATGTTTGAGTGGTGATCCTGGCAACCTGGCCCATGCGCAACTCTCCTCATCTCCGTCCAAATTGTTTCCCGAAGGCGAACGAACAGTGTGTCGGTAGCGAGAAGAAGAGACGAGGATGACTTGCCGTATGCTTACCATATTGTAACCAGCAGGTTTCCATTCTTGATTTAGGGTCAGTAATTCGTAGAGTCCGTACAGAAGCAGAAACAGAGACGAACTGGCCTCCGCTGCACGGCGCAAGTGCGGAAGGCCGGAGATGCCCATCTACAAGTCACAACTGCGATTGAACTGCTATCTCCGGCCTCAAGTGTTCTGGGATTGAGCGTGTGCCCTGGTCCTCACGTTGCTCTCTGCTCTGCTCTGCTCGGGCTCACGGTACTTCATGATACTATGCGATCGGGCAGTTCATCGTCAACGAACGTGGTTTTGGTGATGGGTGGAAGATGGTGCCTTGCTAAATTGTTTCGAGGCTGACGTGTTAGGTATCCCCCTGTGAGACTGTCCCGGTGAGTGCGCGACGGATGGCATTAGGCACATCCTAGTCAGAGACAAGGTCTCACGCCAGCTATTGGCGTTGAATTGGATCGAGGTGACCACAGTGACCTGGCGCTGCGGAATTCCATCGGCACGTCATAGGGTGGGTGGGTGGCAGTCTTGGGTTTCAGGCCGGGCGCTAGACCAGCACTGCCATTAGGAAACCTTCCTCCCCTCGCACTTGTCTTACCTGATGTGCTTATGTACCGGCCCCGTCGTCTCCTTTGGACAACCCTAGATTCGAGCGAGGTTTGTGATGGCATAGCCGCTTGGGTACGGATACGGTAGATGGTGCATCTCATCGGTGGTCGGAGAGTGAGATTGAGCATGAGGCCACTCCAAGTGCTCGTAGCCGGAAGAGAAATGAAGTGTCTACGGTATTCATAGCGGCGAAGCGAAGACTGAAGAACCATGTCTGGGCCTCTTCTTTGTTGGCTGGGCGACGAAACGGACTGAAGAAATGGCCGGGTGGATGGTGGGCAGACAGGTACTTACTACCTTATATAGAGTGAGCCCAGAGACCGAGAGAGTATGTATCCGTACTAAGGTACCCAAGGTGACCAAATCTCAGGTCGCTCCCACTTTGGCTGGCCTGACCTGAATTGAAATGGGTTGAGAACTTGAGATGGGCCAAACGGGCAATGGCGGGGCTCGGCTGCGCCTTACTGAGTGGGGAACTGCACATCCATGACCTGGCTGGGGGTGTGCAACGGGCAGCCAACCGGCAACATTGAATGCGCCCGGGGGACTGGATGGATTGATGGAGGTTGGAAGGAAGGAGCCTGAGAAGGAAACGGAACCCAGTGAGCAGGCACCCAGCAAATTGCCCCCTGGCAAGACGCTGAGGGAAGGCACATTGGAACAAGTACCTTATATCTGAGGTGCATTTCGCAGGGCAGGCAGGGCCTTCACAGATAATGTATTCGTACTCCGTAGGTACATTGAAAAATATACTTTGAATCTCTTATCCTACCACGTCTCTCACTCTGGGCAGCTCCGAGTAGCAGACCAGCCGCCAGCGCATTGATCAGTCCTCAATGGCCGACAGCACCGAGAACCGAAGGCGAAGAGAATCGTTCTATCGTCTTACATACAACGTGTGAGCTGTCCGTGGAACGAGAGGGCGGCAGGGGGCACCAAGGGCGGGCAATCGTGCGCATACAGGATTCGGGACTCGGGACTCAGGACCAAGTGAGAATGCTCAGCCACAGCCATCTTGCAGTAGAATGGTTTCCGTGTCGCACTTCCGCTCTTTGCGTGCATCCCAGACGCAAAGTTCCCCAGGAGCAGGCCAGTTTTGTTGTCCTGTGCTGAGCTGGTCGACCGATCCGCACCTCACCTTGACAGGGCGTGGGCATGGACGGGCATGGACAGGGGACTGCAAGGTACATGCTCCAAAGTCACTTTTCGCAAAAGAAGGACGAGAAACCCGAGATGGATCCTTAAGGTAGGTAGGTGCTCTTACCAAATACTTGTTCCCCAGTTCACTCCATATGTTCCATTAAGGGTGCTCTCCCGCGCAACCGCAACAACATCCCGCCTTGCCTGCCTGCGCCTGCTCCTGCACCGCCGACACCACCACACAGTCAGACAGAGAGAGACACACCCACCCATCCATCCAACATTCCTCCCTCTCCCTCGTCGAATTTTTCGTTCTTCCATACCATACAGGCCAACCTACCACGCGACAAACATATCGACGGCTACGAGCCAAACCTTACGGATATCGGAAGGAATACAAATCGACAAAAAACTAGCGAGGTCAAGATCGCGATATTGCGCCAACGAATTGAGGAGCAAAATTACGGCGACAATACGAGACGAGGTGACCGCTGCAGAACCCCAAGATGCCGGGATTCTAGCACACGACTCCCGTGTTTCTCTTCCTTTCCTCAGTGCGTCTTTCGTTCACCCCACAGTGCTTCGACTTTCCCTCCCGCCTCTGCAACAACGGTCGACTATACGCCGAGCGAGACGCCTGTCCGAAACATGCGAATGCCTCCATCCGCTCCTTCACGAGAGCTCCACCATCTTGAGAGCGTTCCAAGACATGCAGCGATAGCCCGCCCTGGACGTGGAAAGCGAGTCCCTTCGCTGTCATTCCAACCCAGCAAGTCTTCACAGTCGCTGTCGAGAAAGAACACTCGCTGGCCTCTTCAAGGATCCCGACCTCCTTCATCACACTCGCTCACCATGGATTGCAGCCATGTTCGTTTACTATCGCTGACGCCATCCCGAGCCCGTGGATCTTTTTTGGACTCCTTCGGCGCGCTGCTCACCATCGTCCTCGCCTGCCTGCTGATAAGGCCTGCCTCCGCAGTTCTGATCCCTTTCGACAACTGCTTGCCCGACAGCTACCGGAACTTCAACCCGGTACCGCTGCAATGGAGTCCCGTATACGTAGACGCTCGCTTCGATACCGAAAATCCAGATCACTATCTTCGAATCATCGTATGGGGCAATGTGTCAGGCTCTCTATACGATGTGACTCTGCCTGCGAAAGGCGATCCGCTCTGGAACGATTCTAGCCACACGGATGGCAAAATCCTCGACTACACGAGAGAAGGGAATAAAGTCACAACTCTTGCCAGCAAGGTTAATTTCTTGACCTACGAGCCTTTCAGCAATGTCTCCAGTTTCTGTAACTACAGTCTGGTCAACGGGTCATGTCCTCTGTCTCCAGTCTTCAACTCAACGGCCATGTAAGTATCCCTTCGGTCACGGCGTTCTTATCTCGACTGACATCTTTCTAGTACCGACCCTTACGGGAACTTACCCTCTGTCAACATTACGGCCAAGATGGATTCGTCTTATGCATTCACATCGCTAGCTGCGACTTTGCAAGTCATTTACGGCGACGATTCTGCGAAACATATCGCATGTGCTTCTGCCACAGTAACTCCGGACTTGGGCAGTCTCCGCGACCTTTTGCGGTATCTGCCGCTTGTTGTTCTTCTTTTCGTAGGGTTAGCGACCATGTTTGCCTCCGTTTTCAGCCCGTGGGGTTCGACAGACATCTTTCACTGGACGACGAATTATGGACGAGATGCTGATCTTTTGCGCCTGGTGACACCAGGATTTGGAGATTGCCTCCAGTATATCCAGTTTGTCGCTCTCACCGGTGGGCTAACTCTCAGTTATCCCGGATTTTACCAACCAGTCGTCAGTCAGGTGGGTTGGTCCGCGTTGATGTTCAACGAGAGCTTCGTGAGCAAGTCCCCAGGCTGGCAATCGATTCAAGACGGCATTTACGTGACCAATGGCTCTTACGGACTGCACCAGTATGCACAAATGGTGGGCATGACAGATGTCGAGGATATTTGGGCGGGAACGATGGTTTGGGTCTGCGTCATTGTCGCAGCCCTCTTCGTCCTCATCCAAATCGGCTTCTTCTTCCGCTGGGTGCTTCGATTCATCAGCGATACCCCTGAAGAGGACCTCCGTGCTAAGAACATTCCGTTCTCCGTGGGGAACGTTGTGCGTGTCGTCTTCAACTACCTCTTGCTACCCATTGTAGCACTATCAACATTTCAACTGGTGGTTGCGAGTCAGTCACGCGAGTTTGCCGTTGCTCTTGCTGCCATCACCCTCCTCATGCTGGTATGCTTTGCCGCATGGCTCCTGTACCTGATTTTTAGGACCCGGCCAAGAGCCGTTCTGTTCGATGATTTGCCGACTGTATTGCTCTATGGCCCCCTTTACAACACCTACTCGGACGAGGCGGCGGCCTTCGCTTTAATTCCTGTCACGTTGACATTCATACGCGGCATTGCCATTGGCGCAGTACAACCTGTCGGCATCGCACAAATCGTCCTGCTCGCCATCTGTGAAGTTGTTCATCTCCTGACGCTTCACGCGTTCAGGCCTTTCCAGTCTCCGACATCTATGAACGCCTATCATACGCTCTTCTCTGCCTTAAGGTTCACCACCGTCATGCTCATGGTAGCGTTCGTACCGCAAATGGGTGTCACAGAGGGTCCCAAAGGATGGATCGGCTACACCATCCTACTTATTCACGCCTGCGTGTTGGTTCTTGGATTTTTTCTGAACGCCTTGCAAACCATGATTGAGGTGACTGCGCGGCTGCTCGGTGCTGGAGGCGACGACACACGGGGCCTTCAACGCGGCGGACTGTCAAAGATATTTGGCATGCGACAGTTGCAACGTCGTACCTCTAGAAGGGAGAATGGTCCTTCCAGAGCAAGCCAACTGTCGACCACGGGCATGCTCGACGCGGACGAAAACTCAAAGACTGGATACGTAATGCGTGGAGGCAGACTGAGGAGCGAGTCGGCAGGAAGCGGTTTCCTCCTCCGAAGCCAACAACGGAGCTCTTCCGCACTAGACAGCATTGACCCGTACAACGGCCAAGTTCGCAACTTTGACAGTGGTAGCAACATCACCCCAACAACGCCAGGCGAGGTTAGCACATTCTCATTCCTTCCGTCACCTGCTGCAGCCACTCGACCTCCTGCTGCCGTCACCGTCGAATCTGCCGATCCATACTACCGACCTCCGCGACGCCGCGGTGACACTCTCAATGGATCATCCACATCCCTACCACAGCGAGCCTCTGTTGCCGATTCTCGACGTTACAGCCAGGGAGGTGCACATCTTGGCGACGCTACGGCAGACTTGGAAGCACAACTGTCAAGGGGCCCGACTCCTGCCCCTCAAGCCCCTCAAGCCATCAACTTGACCCCGAGAGCAGACTACTCGACGAGAGAGGTGGACTTTTACTACGGCGTTCGGGGACCCGCTCTCAACTCGGAGGGCATCGGTCGTAAATTGAGGACTGGCCCCGCCGATCCGACCAAGCCTATGGCTACCGCCGCAGGATGGTTCCGCAATATGTTTGGGGGCAAGACGAAGGAGAAGGGCAAAGGGTTCGAGGTTGTGCGAAGCTCGCGGATGCCTCCAGCCATGCGTGCGGCGGCCGACGCCGAGTACGATGCCGAGCCGCCACCAGAGGGCATTCCGGTGGCTATGGGTGTTTTGAGAAATGGACCCATTGAATCCGATGACGATGAACCAAAGAACAAAGCGACACGGAAACACCCCGAAAATGCAGAGAATTCGGAAAATCTGCTTAATGATGATGGGGTTTCGGTCATCTCAGTCGAATCAGAGATCGAGGAGATCGGAATACAGAAAGTGTCTGATGCACCACCAACCTTGCCAGGAATTGCGAGTTCCGGCAGCTTCAAGCTGCCCAGCCGGGTCCCGTCCAAGGCAAGCTGGTCAGCCTCACAGAAACTCAGGCGCCAATCCACGGAGTCAGACATCCCCGAAATACCTCGGAAGAGCTCAAAGAGAGACTCTGGTATGGCCCAGGGGCATTCCCCAGCTCCTTCGTTCAACCTGATACCGCCAACGTCACCCGCTGAGCCATCACATGGCGAGCCTTCGGGAAGCACAACAGTACACGGTAGTCTTACGTCGTCTCCCAACCCCGGGCGACTTCCCTTTGAGCGAACAGAATCTCATCAGAAACGACTCTCTTCCACTGGTTCATCCTTGGAGGAGTTCAATATTCGTAGGACGCCAAGTACTGAGCGGCCAACCAGTTATGGAGTAGTCGCGCAGCATAGTATCAGCAGAGTTGACCCTGGCTCCGATCAGCAGGTCGATCTACTAGAGACTTCTGCCGAACTCGTCGACGAACGAGGGCCTTCCAGCAGGAGTTCATCGGCGGGAGTCGGAGGTTAGTGAGACAGCACGTCACTCTGCCAAGGCGCACTTTCCTTTTCCTTTTTAAATAGGTAACTTAATGCCATGTCGGAGTGGCTTATGAGTCTCATTGTACACGATGTATAAATCTACAAGAGAGGTAACCTAATTCCTCGGTGCAAAGCAAGCGGGACAAGGTCGGGAACGGAGTATGGTTGTTACATTTGTCCTTGGGTGCTAATTAGCGACGGCGTCTTAAAAACTGGAACAGGCTGGTATTTGATGGGTGGCTTGTCATTCTTATCATCGAGGATCTCAATATTTTATGGATGATGTCGGGGCTAAGAATTATATCTAGTTGTGACGCTGCTTCCACCAGGTTGTTTAGTCCCAGATCAACATGTTAATGAATGATCATTCCGTTCAATTGCTCGAGCAGCGCAAAAAAACACCACAGACTTGACTTCCCAGAGTTCCCGTAAACCAGGACCTTAGATGTTTAAGTTGAGGCAATGTGGTACGGAACAGCCGGCGTTCTCGGTTTCGGGTACACCGGACTGGGTCTGTTGCAAGCACCTACACTATACAGCCTGTAGTGTTTTACTAAGCCACCAAAGCTGACATCCTTTCAAGTTTGGTAGTCAATGGCCAAGACCTGGTAACCACAGAGTGAAAAGGCACATGATGTTTGGTCAGGAACTGAACCCAAGTTGCCAACGCAACTCTTGGTAGCGGGCCGTTGAGAGACGGTGAGAGCGAAGTTTACAGTGTCGAATAACCCCGCCATCATTGCGGTGTTATCGATAAGATTACAATTACGCGATAAGAATTTTTTCCTTGACTGGCCCAGTTTGAACCTACCATTGCGACTCTATGAGCAGCTCACTCCTCATTCTCATCACTCGATTTGATTCCTTGCAGCCAATTTACGAGGATTTTATGAATCTCATGCCAAGAAACATAACATTTTCCTTCGTCTGAAATAAATAATCCTAACTCCGACATGGCGCCAACTCGCCCCAACAAAAAGTCAAAAAAGAGAACGCAAAAGAAGCCCGCCAGCCCGGCACTTCAGCTCGTCGAGGCCGCCACAAAACTGACAGAAGGCGACTTGGAGAATGCCTATTCAGCTGGGAAGGAAGCCCTTGATGTCACGGGTGAGGGGGGCGACTATGAGCTGGCGGCGTTGAATCTCCTGGGACAAATCAGTGTCGAAATGGGCGAGGTTGACGAGGCGACAGCGTACTTCCTACGAGCCGTCGAGCTCGATCCCGAAGGCGCCCTCGACGAGCGCATAGGCGGCGGACCGGAAAAGTTCCTCTGGCTCGCGCAGCTCAGCGAGGAGGGCGGGCAGGACAGCGTCAATTGGTTCGACAAGGGCGCGCAGTCGCTCAGGGGCCAGATCCAGGCCCTCGTGGACCTGCCCAAGAGGAACGCCGACCAGGAGACGGCGCTCGAGGAGAAGAAGCAGAAGCTCGGAGGGACGCTGTGCGCCGTTGCGGAGGTGTACATGACAGACCTGTCGTGGGAGGCGGACGCGGAGCAGAGGTGCGAGGCGCTCGTCACCGAGGCCGGACTCGTTGCGCCGGATTCGGCGGAGACGTGGCAGACGGTGGCGAACGTGAGGATATCGCAAGAGAAGATTGACGAGGCCAAGGCCGCGCTGGCAAGGAGTCTGGAGCTGTGGGTTAATCTGCCGCCGTTGGATCCCAATGTGCCGGCTTTCCCCACGCGGATCAGCCTGGTGCGGCTGCTTCTCGAGGTGGAGATGGAACAGGAGGCCATCGAGGTTCTGGAGAGGCTGGTTGGCGATGACGATCAAAGTGTCGAGGCGTGGTATCTCGGCGGGTGGGCTTTGTTCATTGCCGGCGAGAAGGTCAAGGCCAAGGGTGAGGCCCAGCTGAGCGAGGACGAGGAGGACTGGAAGACTACGTGGGATACGGCCCGGCGATGGTTGATGCGCTGCTTGAAGCTCTACGAGGCTCAGGAGTACGAGGACGAGAGACTGGGCGAGCACGCCAAGGAGCTATTTGGCTCCATCAACAAGGAGCTCGGCGACACACCGGCCGGGGCAGAGGATGAGGAGTACGATGATGGATGGGAGGATGCTGGCAGTGATGATGGCGAGGCGATGGAAGAGTAAATGGCATGGCTAGTTGCATATAAGACAACGTTATGACAACGTTATGACCACTGGGGAGTTTTCTTCGTCAACCGGGACTTGGAGTTTGGAGTTTGGTTCTGGGAAAAGTTGTCACAAGTCATGAAGTTTCTCTCCTCCTTCTCAATAGAAGGGTCGTTCACTGAGGCATATAGATGAGGGTTGAGACCAGAACCGCAACCATTTCTTCTTAGGTTGCCCCTCCAAAACGCCAATTAAATGCACCGAGTTCGTTTCCCCCAATACAAGGCAGGCTCACTATACTGCCTCGACCTTGAGCTTCTCGACACCCTCCGCCAGACCGCCTTCTTCCTCCTCATCAAAATCAGTCTTGCCAGCAAGGCCACGCTCCCACAGCTGCCTCCCCGTCAACTTGACAGGCTCCTTAACCTTGGCCTTCTTCAGCTCGGCGAGGCGCTCCTCCTCCTCCTTCTCTTTCAACTCCTTCATCTCCTTGATGAAATCTGCGCGCCATTTTAAGAACGTTTCGGGTGTCACGGGTGTTCCGTGGAACTTTTTGTTCTCCTCGCGCTCAGCGGCCAGGGCCCGCTCCTCCTTTTCCTTCTCCTTCTCCTGCTTGCGCTCTTCGACGAGCACCTCCGCGGCCTCTTTAAGAGCCGAAACGAGGGAGAATACCATGGCCATGCCGATGTTCTCCTGTATTGTCTCCTCGATGCCCTTGAGGAGCCGCCCCTTGTCATCCGCGACGCTGAACCACTCGTAAGGCGCAGCGTCACGTACGGATTGCAGATCGAGAGTGGGTGGCTCATCGGGGTAGGCATCTGGATAACGGACCTGGAGAAACATTGTCGGGGGGTCTTCCTCTTCGCCGGGGATGTCGAGGGCGATCTGTATTCTGAACTCTGTCTCTGAGATGTCTATGATCCGGGGTTCAGTGGATGGGCTGGCCCAAGATGGCATGGTGGGGTAACTGTACCGGTGATCTCATCTGGAAAGATGGATTCGAGCACCTCGCGCTCCTCGACTTGTTCTTCGCGCCCCATGTTGAGTGTGTGTGACTTCCAAGAGCTTCCTGTGAGATTGAGGCAATGCGCTGGTCGTTGTTCGTTACTACAGCTGCCGTTGAAGATGTAGCTAGTGGCTCGAGGCAGCCGTTGATGGCACCGAGGTACGTACATGCACAATGGTGGGGTGGTGAGTTGAATCTAGCTTAGCGTCACGCTGACCGCCCGGCAAATCAAATAAAAATTTCAGAATTCCTTGAGCAATTGCGACCGCTGTAAGTTCCCACCCGTGTAGTCCAGTCGCCTTGCTTTCTTTGCACGCCGAGAAAACGTTTACACTTTGCGATAGACCTTTGGCTGTCCACCACCACAACTCTCCACCACCTCTTACAGCCAGCCAATTTTCACAATGGCTTCCAACGGCGTCAAGAGAAAGAGTGCCCCTGCCGCTGGGAAGGGTGCTTCCGACGGAAAATTTGCAAAGAAGGCCAAGGTCGAGTCGAAGAAGAAGGCCGAACCCGTTGAGACCCCCGAGGACGACGGTGAAGAAGACTTTGAGGATGAGTCTGAGGACTCTGACGACGGCGGTGTTCAGCTGACCCCTCGCGACCGGGCCAAGCAGGCTCAGGCCAAGGGCAAGAAAGATGATGCGAATGGTGCTGATAAGAACAAGAACTTCGAAAGAGGTGAGGAACTTTCTTGGGCGATGCCTTGCCTCGCCTGGCTGGCGCAAGCTTGCAATTGCAAGCTAATTTGGATTTCCAACAGGTCAAAACTCCAGAGAGTCCCATGCTATCCAGAAGAAGCTCGCCCTGGAGCGCAAGATGGCCAAGCCACTCGCCGACGAACTCGCTCGAACCAAGAAGATCTGGGAGAGGTTGCGGAGGAAGTCCCACGTCCCGTCCGAGGAGCGAAAGCAGCTCGTCGATGAGCTCTTTACCATCATCACCGGCCGCGTCAAGGAATTCGTTCTCAAGCACGACGCCACACGCGCTGTCCAGACCGCACTCAAGTACGCCACAGCTACGCAACGGAAACAGATTACCCGCGAGCTGCAAGGAACCTACACTCAGCTTGCCGAGAGTCGATATGCCAAGTTCCTCATCGCCAAGATGGTAGTACAGGCTGACGGCGAGATCAAAGACCTCATCATCCCCGAGTTTTACGGCAAGGTGCGCAAGCTGATCAACCATCCCGAGGCATCATGGATCTTGGACGACATCTACAGACAAATCGCGACGAAGGAACAGAAAGCCATCCTTCTGAGGGAATGGTACGGACCCGAGTTTGCCCTCCTGGAGCGCAGCATGGACGAGAAGCCGACTTCAGACCTGGCGACGATCCTCGAGCAGAACCCCAACAAGAAAGCCTATATCCTCAAGAGTCTCAACGACATGATCAACTCACTGGTCCAGAAGAAGATGACCGGCTTCACAATGCTTCACGACGCCATGTTGCAGTACTTCCTCAATGTCGAGCCTGGAACGGAGAATTTCAACCTGTTTGTTGAGATGATCAAGGACGACGAGGAAGGTGACCTGTTGAAGAACATGGCCTTCACCCGTTCTGGCTCCCGTTTGGTGTCTCTGCTGTTGGCCAACGGTTCTTCCAAGGACCGCAGAAACTTGCTCAAGGCATACAAGGACAATTTCGTGCTGATGTCGGGTGACCCAAATGCCCATATTGTCATCCTCGCCGCTTTCGATGTCATTGATGATACGAAAATGACGTCAAAGGCCATCTTTCCCGAGCTGATTGGCGATGACAAGGACAAGGTGACAGATAATATCGTTGTTTCTACAACAAATCCCTTCGCAAGGGCAACTCTCCTGTATCTGTTGGAGGGACAGTCTAAAGCTCTTTTCCCTGCGAACATGAACGAGGACCTGGCCATCCTCAAGGAGGTCCATGAGATCCGCCAGACCACCAGTAAGAAGGACGCCGAGACGCGAAGAAAGGAGCTGGTTGCCGTTATGTCACCTTCGCTTATTACAGCCGTTGTTGAAGCTGCGCCGGTTTTGGTTGCAGACCCCTTCGGTTGCCAGCTGGTTGCTGACGTTCTACTCTCTACGGAAGGCGACAAGACGGCAGCTCTTGAGGCCGTAGCAGCAGTCGCAGAGGGTAAACCCGGTGCGGAGCCTATGGAGGTAGAAGGTGTTCCTACCCCGGTCCACGTCTCGCGGACAGCATCCGGAGGTCGGTTGATCAAGACGCTCATTGCGGGAGGCAAGTTCAACAAGGAGACTGGCAAGGTCGAGCCTGCCGAGCCGCCATTGAAGTTCGCTGATATCCTGTATCCGATCATCAAGGACTATATTGTGGACTGGGCCACGGGCCCTAGTTCCTTTGTCGTTCTCAACATGCTGGAAGCCGAGGACTTTAGTCACGCATCTGAGCTGAAGAAAACACTCAAGAAGCACAAGAAAGATCTGCAGAAGGCCGCGACCGAAGAGACGGCCGAGCAGAAGGTGGCCAAAGAGGCCAAGGCGCAGAAGGATAGCGAGAAAAGCGAGAAGGGTGCAAAGAAGGGCAAGAAGGGCGGTGCGAAGGCAGACAAGCCCGTGGGTAACCTTGGCACTAAGCTTCTGCTAGAGAAGTTGTAAGCGATATCGCATAAAACGTAAGTGGACTGGCGAGCAAAAGTTCTTCCCCTTGTTTTGAAATACCCACACAGGCGTGGCAGTCTGACGGTGTGTCGATGGCGTGCAATTGGTTTAGCTGGGGTGGTGGCATTAATAGATGGAGTTTGGCTGGTTTCTGAGATTCAAAGCTTTTGGGCGGTGCCCGTCCATCGGCCGTGACCCTCCCTTCCTTCATCGCAACCGTCCTTGACTGACATCTAGCCGCGCATCTGAGCCTTTCCCGTCGGCTAGGGGCCATCCGTCAATGTCGGTCACTGTCTGGGTCCGTGACGCGGTGGCAGATGCGACTGGTCTGATGCATTTGGGCTGTCCCGTGATTCTGGCCCTTGCATCTTCGTGAGGGACGACAACTGTGAAGCACTCATCCGCGAGCAATTACCAACGCAGTCGCTTCCGGACGCGGCGAGCAGGGCCATGAGAGAATCAACGGCCAGAATCAATCTGTAGAGTAAGTTGGCGTTCAGTGAACTCGTCGATTGGAAGCAAGGTTGCTCTGGATTGCTGTGCAAGTGCAAATTACGGACTGTAGGACTGCCTTGGCGGGATCGTCAGTCCGAATTTGAATGCCTTCAAGCACTACAAGAAAATGGTCGAAATTCACCAGGTCACCTGCCTAGGTACGAAAGATAAGGTTACCTCTCAGAGCGAGAAGAGAGGAAGGCACCTACGTTGCAGACAGGTACCTACCTAATTAACTTACCTACCTGTGGCAGGCACGACGGGAGGTGAGGCCAGTATCACAATCGTTCCTTCCTTCTATCTTAAGTGACAGACCGCCAACCACCTCGACGGCTCCTTCTTCCTCCTCTACCTTGCCTCAGAAAATAATCAAGCCCGTCTCTCATCGCTGAGTTGGCAGTGTAAATTTTATCTTCTTCACTGATTCACTTCGAGGAAATTTTGTCTAGTCACCCACCAACTCAAAATTTCTCTTCGTCGCTCATTCATCACACTTCCATTTTGCCTCATCCTCCGCCATTTTCACCATTTTCACCGTCGCAATCACGGTTCCGATGGTGTTTCACAAACCGTCGAGCCATTGACCACGTCAAATCTCACTTTGCTCATCATCACGCTCGTCGATTTATTCGACGAGGAAAATTGTTGACCGCAGACATGCGTCTCTTCATCCCCGCGAGACAGGCGAAGATATGCCCGATCGGCACATTCCCCTACTCCTGCAAGCACTTCGAGGGTTGCTGCGAGGTGAATCCCTGCGAAGATGGCCGATGCCCGGACGAGTTTAACCCTTACTTGACTGCGACCGAGCTCCGGCCCATGGAAACTATCGCCTCTGTCGCCGCGCCGGTCTTGGTGTCTGCCATTACATCCTCGTCGAAGATATCCATCACTACCACTGACAAGAAAGTCCAGACTTCGACCTCCTCTGGCGGTCTCACTACTATCTTCTCTATACCCGAGCCAACTGGCCCCGGAGGTATCTGGCTCACTGACGACCCCGGCTCATCAGCTTCCACTTTCACCTCCGTTGATTCCACTCAGAATCCATTCTACGTTTCTCCCCAATTTTACACTCCAACTGCCCCTACCGAGACCCAGGTCCTTGGCGCTTCGGCTCCTGCCCTGGCGGACAAGTCTAACCATAACCAGAACGACCTTCCGGTAGCTGCGCAGGCTGGTATTGCCGTTTCCGTCTTGGTGGTGATCTGCGTGGTTATCGCTGCCTACTTCCTGTGCACCAAGCAGAGAAGGAAGTTTAGCGCTTCTCTAGAGTCCATCAGCTCTCTCAGAAAAGCCGGAAGCAAGCGTGGTTCTGAGGATGAGATCAGCCAGCCGACCATGAAATCCAATCCGTTCTGTCCCGAGGAGGTCTTCTCCCCCTTTGGAGGCAAGCTGTTTTTGAATCTCCTCTGATACAGGCCCAAGGAGGCTAACAACTTACAGGACGGTACGAAGAGCCTCAAACCCGCTTCAACCGAGTCAGTGACAAGACTGCCAGCCGAATGATGAACCACCCGGTCAGCCCCGACACCCGCGATTCCGTGTCTATGCGGATGCCGCCGCTGCCGCCGACTCCTCCTCCTGCGATGCTTCCTGCCATTTCGAGGGCTACCACGGCCAGTCCTAATTTCTCGTCTCGTACCGCAACCGCAACTCCCGACCTTGGCTATCCCACGGCCACTTCCACTCCCGACTTCACGTCTCGTATGGTAACCCCAGACTACATGTCTCGATTGGGCACTGCCACCCCTGAGCTCCAAGGCCCTCCTCAGCAAGCGGCCATTGCTGAGCTGGCTTCCCCTGGCCTGCCAAAGGTCGTTGAGATCCACAGCAGCCGCAGCGGCGTACAGAAGTACAAACCGTACCGCCCCAACGGTGGCTCACTCTACCCTGTGGCGGAGACTACCCCCAGTTACCTCACCGGTAATCTGAATGCCACGGAGCTTGAGCGCTCGGAGGGTAGATACGTGACTAGCTGGTCAAAGTGGGACCCTGCTGCTTGAGAGCCAGTCGGCTGATGCTGCTTGAGATTATGAAGTTTGGTTCAGGTTTAAAGGGGAGGAAAGGAAATGGTTTCGGATTTCGGCTTTTGACAGGCGTTGAGATACCCAGGCTTGCTTTTCGGATACGCGATTTGCCTGATCTTGCTGGTTCTTGTCAGAGTAAATTCAACGCACAATCGGGATGGTTCATATGGAAATGCAATTGGAGATTGAGATCAAATGGTCACCTATAGCTAGACCTACTAATAGCTTTCTCTGCTCCACTCAATGAAGGAAATGACAGATGCAACTCACCCTGATGTCGTTAGTACTCCTTGTGATGATAAGTAGTGGGAGCCAATATACTAACCTTCCTTGCGAAGACAAATGCAGAGAGTGAGAAATACGGATGTGGCCATTTTTTGCCGAATTCATGGGTATTTGGTATTCAACACATACTTAAAGACAATCTGATCCCCTTCCGGTTTACGCCAAACATGCAGTATATGCTTCTTGCGAGAAGCATTTCCATAGCCATTCCTTTTTCTCTCCCCTCACACTAAAATAACAGGCCATGCTGACTCCCTAGTTTCCATCCGCTGGACAGTGTTGTCAGCGACGCAACAAGGGTGACTTGAACGGGATCGCCCAGCTCCTGACACCCCAACTCTCCATCTCTGCTTCTGCCGGTTCGCGGTGCAATGCGTCGGATGTGCCAAGCCCGTCATCTGCTTTGGAGCTTGCTAATCTCGTCGAGAAGTATTTGGAGGTCATCGTCGGAGATTTTATCTTGTAGGGACGGGATGAGTGTCTTGGCTTCTTCGGCCGTTTCGCAGCAAAGCGACCCTGAAGAGCCAATCCAGTTAGCAATACTGTTGCTTCGACTTGATTCTCACAAAGGTAAGCAAGTGGATAGGTGGCGCGGACCTATTTGTGCACGCTCAAACTTGGCCAGCTGCTTGTGTGCGGAGAGCAGTCGTTCGACAGCCTCGACGTTTTCCTTCTGGCGGAATCGGGAGAAGGCGTCCAGGTAGTTCAGAGTCTGTGTCAACATCCTACAGAGAGACGATATGTCAGCCGCCTGAGAGCCATAACGACGAAAGGCCATCGCTCTACGAGCAAATCACATTGCAGATTGAACATACTCAGTCTCGTTAATGTTCTTGCGATCCATCTTGCGCTTGGTCACGAGGGCGTTGATGACGAGTGATGCTTCGGACAATGTGAGCGTGTCGACGTGTTGGAATTCGCCGAGGTTGAGGATTGACGATGCCTCTTCGCTACCCGGTGGAGGGGGCTTCGGGCGCGAGGTGGGAGCGTGATGCGACATTCTCGATCTTTGCGACTCGTGGTGGTCAATTCGGGGGGGGAATGGAGATTATTCAAAGTTCGCGCTGGTCGGCAACGGAGCGTAGGACCCTATGCCGTGCAATGAGTGTGAGCAGATTCTGCGTCGATTGGGGGACTTGGACGAGGCGAATGGAGTCCGGGAGGGTGAGCAGCCGTTGTCGGCGAAAGCTGTAGGTGAAAAGAAGGTAGGTTGTAGATGAGGCTGAGAATTTCCCAAAGGCGGTGCTAATAGTAGGTAGGTAGTTAGTTGTCAGGGAATGCCACCCATGGTGCTTGCTTGCCTTGTCGCCCAGGGCATGTCCTCCTGTTTCCCAGGTCGGGGAAAAAAGGAAGAGGATTGTGTCCCACTGGGCGCCACCCAATGTCTCTGGGGCTAGTGCAGGCACCAGAAGGGGCGTTCGTCCAGAGACCTTGGTGTGGACCTAGCGACTCATGTGCGCAGAAAGGGTGAGGTGTGCGGAAGGTTCCTGGCTGGGCTAGGTGCCTAGGAAGCGTACCAGTTCACCAGCTCACCCACATCTCTTAAGGCCCGCAAACCTGAGGCCAGATGGGGACATCGAGGGCAACTGTATGAGTGCATGCTTCAGATGTCGCATCGATGAGAACACTCTCGAACCATTACCATATTTCCCTTCCGAAGAGTCATCAGCCGTGAGTTGATTCGACCACTGAAGCTATGTGCGTACTCTCTGACCCGAAGTGAAGAAAGCGCTCACTAACCTTGGAGATAGGACCGTATTTGCGCTCATCGTGATCAATAAGGCCGGAGGCTTGATCTACAACCGCACATTTCACGAGGGAGGCCTCAACCAGCTAACAACAAATGACTATCTCGTATTGGCAGGAACATTTCACGGGTGAGCACACATGTGTCCTTCATTGCTCAAGTCGAGAGGAAAGCTTACGCATCCTCCCAAGTGTCCATGCTATTACCGCCCGTCTCAACCCTCTGATGAGCCGGCAAGATGCCGCGGCCGCAGCAACTGCTGCCAGCGTGACCGCCGCGGGCGGGATCCCGAGTCGGCCGGAGCCGCCAACGGGATTAGAGGTGATGGAGACGGAGAACTTTCGGTTGCAGTGTTTCAACACCATGACAGGCACAAAGTTCCTCCTTTTCACCGATACGACTCAGACCAATATCGACGTAACGCTTCGGAGGATCTACGACCTCTACAGCGACTATGTCATGAAGAACCCGTTTTATCAGCTCGAAATGCCCATTCGCTGCGAAATGTTTGAACGCAAACTATTATCATACATCCGGGAGATCAATAATCGATAGTTTCCGAGGAAAGTCGCTACGGATGGTAAACACAGCGATGGAGATGATTCACAGGAGTCTGATTTCGTTTGGATGGGGTAACGCTCAGTGCGAGACGGCGTTTGCAGGAGTCAGAGGCCCTTCTATTGAGCAGCATGTTCCTCTAGGACCAAGCCAATATTCTATTTTACATACTCGAGGTAGTGATCAGGCAAAGAACGAGATAGACGATTCCAAAACAGTTGTTTACGAGGTGTCCATCGAGTCGTCGTCCTTCTTGTCGTCCTTCTTGTCGTCCTTCTTGCTTGACTCGCCATCTTTGTTGAGGAGGGGGGCGCCCTCACCCTCCTCCTTAATGTCCTCAAGAGATCCCTTCTGACCGGACTCGGCCTCCTCGCGGGCCTTCTTCTCCTGTCGTGCCTTCTCGTCCTCCATACTCATGCGGAGGGCAAGGGCCAGCTCCGGGTCCATGGCGGGGTCGAAGTCGAACTCGCCAAAGTTGCCGCCTCCGCCGCCGCTCTCCAAGCCGCTACCACCACCGCCGCCGCCGCCGCCGCTTCCGCCCGCATTATCTCCGAGCAGGATCGGGCTAGAAATGAGCTGGTCGCTGAGAAGCTTGCTGCTTGGGGGAATGACGACTAGGTTGGAGCCCTCACCACCCTTGACGCTCTCATTGAAGGCTTGCAGCTTCTTCTGCGTGTCGTCGTCGTCTAGGTCGCCGAACAGTACGAAATCGACCGAAACGTTGCCCTTTTTCATCTTCTTAGCTAACTGAACTAGCTTTTTCTCTTCCTCCTCGATGGGCGAGCAAACAAAAACGATTATCCGTTGTCGTTGGGACTTGTTCTGACGGTGCTTGAGGGCAAGCTGAGGGGCGGATTAGCGAAAAGTCAGGTGGTAAAGCGGCAGCGATTATACTCACGCCGGCAACTTGAATGCCAGTGGCCAAGTGTGATGTTCCCTTGATCTTGGTCTTCGTGCGGTGCAATCCGTCTAGGATCTTGCCCTGATCTGTCGTGAGGGTGACCAACACCTCGGGACCCTTACCACCCATGCTCATCAAGCCAACCGAGGACTCGGGGTTTCCATTTGTAATGGTCTGGAAAATAACGTTGACGGCGTCGGCTTGGGAGTCATATCTTGTGGGCTGATAGTCGCCGTTGCGACTGCTTTCGCTGTTGTCGACGACGACCATCACCGCTTCGAGGACCATCTTGACGGTTTGGGCGGAGCACTGACGAGTGTTGTAAGAGGAAAGTTGCGACGGTGAATTAGAATGCTCGCCGGTGTCGTCGGCGTGGTTTAAATTGCTGGAAAGCTTGAGGATAGCGGTGTTGAGTGGTGTTGGACGGGCGAGCTTCGGATGGGTGAGGGAAGCTTGATGTTTGACGTCGGCAGGCAGGGTGGGAGAGCTCCTGCGTAAGGCAGTTCAGCCTGGTGACGCTGGTTGCGTATGGTATGGGTAGAGGTACCTGGTCATTCGGGTAATCCCTTCCTACCCCTAAGTATGAAGACTTTCATTCAAGCGTAGCTTTGAAATTTCATATCGGGAAGTAGTACTGTGTGAACTAGAGTCTAGTCATGTGTAACGTAAGCATATATCATTCTCGTTCCCGTCGGACTTGCAGTACCCAGCCCCAGATCATGCTCTTTCAGCTCCGTTTCCCAGTGACTCTATGCCCCTAAATTTCGAAAATACTACCAATAGCGCTCCAAATAGATTTGCAATTTTCAAACGATTATGCTAGATTCAGGCCGGCACAACGTGGAACACCGCAATGGCAGGCTTACAGCAAAACACTACCAATTCGCTGGAATTCACAGGGTCAAGGCTGGAGACGAAACTAGGTGGGGCCTTGGGTAATCCATGAATAAGGTAGCCGGGACTGGTCAAGATGCCATTGGCTTAGGTAAGGGTCTTGCCCGCTGTCACGTTTGTTTACTTTCTGGAGCACTAGCCACTCATAACAGTGCCTCCGCCCCATCATTCTTAGTTCTGTCGTCCTCCACGCTCTCGTCGCGACCAGGCTCGTTTCTCCAGCGCCAAACGCTTTCACCCACAACGCCTTGCAAACTTCAGCAGACGTTATGCCTTCCGCGCGAACTAATAAGAGAAGCTCAGATGAGATGGAGCAGCAACCTACGATGTCAAAAAGACAGATGGTCACTGCGAAGGCTGGCACGCCTCCCATGCTAGGCAGCAGTCCGAGCAAGCGGCAAAGGCTTGGAATATCTCGGGAGCAAAAGCAGGCCATCATTGATAACCTGCAATTAGAGAGCAAGAAACCCCTTAACGCTGTTGGCCGCGTCCTCCTAATGGTTTTGTAGTCACCGATCGCGCCAGGCGACTGCGCGCACAATACAATCAGCAGGCACAAACCCTTCGATCACGAATCCAAATGCGCGTCAACCGCGTTCCCAGAGCTATGCTGAAGATGACCATGGCGGACCTGGTAGATAGAGCCAACGAACAGCAGAAACGCCTTGAGGCAGCTTCGCGGCCGCCACCTGTTCCCGAGAAGGACTTTCCTCCACGGGGAAGCCCACACAAGCTGGCACCGCCGACGCGCCCTACCAAGCGATTGAGGTTTGTCACATAGGAAATTGATATTTTGTCGTACTGACATGGTATGCTAGTGATGCCATTGCGGGCGGAGACAAGGAGAACGAGCAAATTCTTAACCCCAAGAAGAAGCACCGTGCTGCTCCAGCTACGTTGAGTTCATCGCAGGTCTTGTCGCCCACCTCATCCAACACCCGATCGCTGGCGCGCGAGCGACCACCATCTTCGCCGTCGAAATCTTCACAAATTGCGCGACCGACATCGTCTCCCGTTAAGCAACATACGAGCGCCCGATCAGCCCTTTCGAGCATAGTCGAGAAGGCAAAGAAGACTAGCCGCACAGCTCCTTCGCGTCCTTTGAATGCATCGACGGCCAGCTCGAACGCATCAGCGCCTGCACCTGCTACGGGAACCGTGCCTCCTACACGAACCCGACGAGCCAACACAACCACGGCAGCTAAAGCACCGTCACGGCCCGAAACGCGGACGGGCAAGCGAGTCAGTGACTCTAGTGAGGGCAGCACTGGAACAGTTGTCAAGAAGACAGCAGCGGGAGCACCCGCAAAGAGAACAGTGATGGGCACGATTAGGAAGGGTGTTGGGGCAGCAACCACCAGGAAGCCTGCAGCGTCTAAATCGGCTCCAGCATCTGCGGCGGGTACTACCAGGGTACTGCGGAAAAGGGGTTAGCTCCTCATGGATTCAGAGGAGCGACCATTTTCGTTGTCTTATGCTGTCACTTTTATGGCGGGGCGGGTGCTCGGCGTACTTGGGCAAAATCACGAAGGGTTGGATATATATGGCGTACTGGGAATAATGACGGGAACATGATGACGGCCAGGCATACTCAATTGATGGATTACGCCTTTCAAGGCTCAAGCTGTCGTGCTGGCCTTTTTCTTCTTGTCCTCCACCAGCTCAATGTTATCCTCGGGTATCTCCTTGTACTTTTCCAGTAAAAACTCCTCAATCTCGTCACTAACGTCTCCCTGCACGACAATCTCCTCACTGCCGCTTGGGGTCTTGGTAACGGATGAGCCAGTCGCGAACTTCTTTCCGAATTCTTTCGCGACCTTCTTCAACTCCAGACCGAACGACTCGAGACCGGAGACTGATGTGACGTACTTTCTCTTGTTGCGCTCGATTCTTTTGATAGTGACCATGCTATTGGCCAACTTGTCGGCTTGCTTGGCCTCCGCAGCTTCGGCCTTGGCAGCCTTCTTCTGTGCGTCTTTGGCGGCTCGCTTCTGGGCGTCGACGGAAAGGGATGCGGTTGCTTGCTCGAGAGCCTCTGTGGGACAAGATGTGAGCATTCAGTCCCAGTGACCTGGTCATGCGAAACCACATACCTGCTGACCAGATTCTCGCATACAGGTCGGGATGCTTCTTCTCCAGCCAGTCCTGGCACTTCTTCACTGTGCCTCCATACTCGCAGTACTAAATCGGGGAGTTTCAATGAGTGTCCCGAAGCTTTAAGGTGGCTTGATTGATAAGAATATACCTCTGGGGGAAGAGTGCAGACTAGACGTCGGGTGGCAAGTCAGAATTCGCGCCGGGAGTATTCTTGAGGGACAAGGTCGCGCATGTTTACTTACCACCACAGTAGGTTACATGGCGGCCTTGAGGCTCACCAGAAGTTTCTGACTTGTCATTGTCGGCCATCACGATCTGAAAGGGCCGGTTTTGACAGGAGAAGAGTCGCTCGCAAAGGATGTCAAGTAGAGGTATCAAGTACGTAGGTAACGCGTTCCTCTCTGTCTCTCTCTCTTCGCACTTCCAAGGACGGCCGACTGCGGGGTTGATTTCGATGGCGGGGCAATGCATGAACTGCCACAACAGACCACCTCATCTTTTCTGCTTAGGTAATTAGTGTGGCTGGGGGCTCGGTCCCATCGAGGGGCAGCAGGTAGGCACAGCTCTAGCCACACACAGACCACGCCGTTGATGTCAGTCTCCAGGCTCCGATTCACCTACCTCCAACTCCCAACCCCAAAGGCATCACAAACGAAACGCGGACTCGACGTGCAAGTGATACAACCTGCATTTACCCCCGCGTTCGCCTTTAGCGTGCGGTAACAGACGACGGCGGCGACGACTCCCACAGCGAGGCCACCACCTTTGCACTTGGCGGGGCTGAAGCTGAACATGATATCATCAGGAAAACGACGACGTCTGAGCTTGGGCGCAAACTGCTTCACGGATCGAGCAGTCAAGACCGATATCTCATTAGACTCTTGCATGAAGAGGCTGTATGAACTCCATGCGACGGTCAATAGCTTGTTCTCCGCCAGGCCAGTTCAGAGACCTTTCAACTCGGAGATGTAGCTCGTGAAGTGGCCAGCCGTCCAATCGAGATCGCTTCTAAGCGCCCGCCCAGCGCCTGTCATTGTCATTGGTCGGTGGCACGACAGCTCTGCAACCCCAATCAGGCTTGCTCCCACCTTCCCGCCTCCGGTCTTCGCGCGCGCCAGCCAGTCGACGCTCACAAAGGCCATGTTCTTCTTCTGTATGCCCAAATTAGATTCTCTTCTTTGTGTGCCCATTGGTCAGAAGATGTATCCGTGGCTCGATGGGATAACCTTTTGGGACGGGGATGTGTTCGTCGTCTCCTCATCACTGCCTCCCATGCGCCGGTAGCACATCCCCATTCGGGCCAATGCAGTGTGTGCAGCAGGCGCGCTGCATCGAGAGTGCGACCTACTGACTGCAATGCATCAGTGAAAGATGCTGTGCTGTCGCTCTTGGGTGCGCATCGTACTGTTCCGTTGTGCGTGTGTGTGCGCATATCGCACCTCGCAATCCACTCGGGCGACCTCCTAGTTAGCCGCCTCCTGTCCACGCCACGGATGAGCAAGGCCTCATCACAGTATATCACTCGGCCCTGGCCAACCGCCGAGCCTCTTCTGCTATTCCTCCCTTTCATTTTCTCATCTCTTTCTCCGCGTCATTGCTGTTGCAACAACAACCCTTGAAGGCTTCGTTGATCGAGGCAGCCTGTCGTTTACACGATTTTCCTACTACCATTTTGATATTAACATTCACCAAGCAACGACGCCGGCCGTCTTATGACAACAACTTTTTCCAAATACACAACGTCGCATTTTGCCTATATTTATACCGTTACAGCACACAGGAACCGCAAGTCTACATCAGGATATCTGACTGCATAGGAGAAAATGGCTGAGATTATTCACTTACCCTCATCAACATACAGACCCCCCTCCCCTTCGCAGGCTCGGAGGCAGGGGAGGTCACTTAATACTATAATGGAGGAGGAGAGCGAGGATTTGCAGTATGCCACCGACAAAAGACAGCTCAGGAGTCAGACCTCAACTCTCAACATTGAGGCCTGGCTATCACCCCTGAGCGACCACTTTCCCACCCCAAGAGGCTTCCACTTCCTCTCCGCTCCCATCTTGCCGTCCTCGCCATCGACTGTCTCGGCCGAAGAAAGCAGCTCTCCCTCGACGTCATCAAACCCGTGGAATAACAACCGATCAAGCGTCATGACCGACGTCACCGAGTTCGACGACCTATACGATGTCACCGATGAGGATGAACCAACCTCGCTGCGCCGAATACCATCCCGCAAGGCGTCCGTGAGGCGTCGCAACTCTGGTCGCAATGAGATGACCAAGCAGAATGCGACTGGTGCTCGCAGAGCTTTGCCCCCTCTCGTTATTCCTGGCGCTCGGAATACATCTACGGATGATTGGTCTGCTGCCAGTCTCAAAAAGAGTCTCGCATCACCAGTGCCGCCAACACCGCCAACCCGCGTCGAGATGTCTCCCCAGGTCTTCTCATTCATGCAAGCGAAGCAGGCTCAAGAAATCCCTACCATTTCGGCACCGCCATCGCTCGATGGCAGTCTAAGCTCAGAGCAGTTGGCACAAATGTCAGCGCCGCCAACCCCTATTATCGGTAGTGACAGTGGCAAGGAGGAAGACTGGTCAGGTGTGCAACTGCAACCCGGCGTGTTGGCAACCTTGCATGCCCTCTCTGGTGACAATGACAGTCTGCATGAGCACGACCATATCCACTCGGAGCAGGTACTAGAGATTCCTCAAGAGCCCATCACCGAGATGCGCCAACAGCCTCCGCGCCTGTTCACCAACATACATCCCGAAGCACCGCGTGCGGCCTTGCTTACCCCAAACTCCCGCCGCCAGTCTTTGGCCGACCTCACCAAGCTCGACATCCCCTCTCCTGGCGGTTTTTTCTCTGGTCTTTCTCCCAGAACCAGAACAACGTGGCACATGCCCGCGGCGACCCTCGAGGATGTGGTGCCGCCAACATCAACCACCGCAGAGCAGTTTTACCGCTGCCCTTGGAACATGGACGCTTCTGTGCCTCCAGTGCCATCAGCACCCGCCAAGCTCATTATAAACGATGCTGCGGAGGACTTTTATCGCAGCTCTTTTCCTTCATCCTCTGCAATTATAGAGCAGGTTGTTGAGGTGAACGATGAGGAAATGGATGAGGATGACATGCCAACAGCCAGACCCATAGTCCCTGCCAACGACTCGAGCTCATCGGCAACGCTGGCCGAGCCAACTTCCCCTGAAGTCGAGGACATACCAACAGAGATCGTAACGGTCTACGACCCCGAGTACGCTCGCAAGCAGCAGGAGGTTACCCTCTCCAACTTCGACCGCACCGAGCTCTGGCTCAGGGCCCAGCGCGCATACTTGAAGCCCGTAGAGGCTGAGGAGGCTGAGGAAGACAACAACCTCGATACCATTCCCGAAGCCGCTGATGAGGAAGTCGAGCACTTCCCCGAGCAAGATATTCCTTCTTCGGTGCCCCGAAAGAAGATGGTGCGCTTCTCCGAGGTCGTCTCCAAGACCGACATTCCCCGCCGTCTTCCCTCCAAGCTGTCGAGACAGGAATCCGCATACTACCGCGCTTTCCAGGACTACGTCGTTCGCTCGAGCAAGCAGGACGTCATCGTCCATCAGCTCCCCCGCTTTGAGGCTCTCCAGGCCCAGCGCGTGTGCCTCCGCGAGTTCCACCGCAACCAACTCCTCGGCAAGTATCAGCTCAGCGTCGTGCCCCAATCCGCCAAAAAGCGCCTCAGCGCCAATGTTGCCCGCGGCGACGACATACTCCACGATGACCCCGAGAAGCTGCGCCGCGAAAAGGAGCACGAGGCCATGTCTCAGATGGCCATGCCCACCTGGCACGTCGCCGCCATGAAGATGCTCAACGGCGGCAAGCTCATCTCCGCCCCCGTCATCAAGCGCCTCGGGCGTTTGTCACGCATGGCACCCGGCCGTGACGGCGTGGCCCGCGACAGAGCCCGAATTCTCGATCTCGGAGGCCAGTCTGCATGCGACTGGGCCTGGCACTGCGCCCTGCAGTACCCCAACACCAAGATCTACACCGTTACCACAAAGACTGTCCGCCAGCTGTCAAACTCCAACATCCGCGGCCCGCCCAACCACCGCCAGGTGGCCGTCGAGCGCCTGACCCGCCTGCCCTTCAAAGACGACCAGTTCGACCTCATCTCAGCGCGCGAACTGCACAGCATCCTCAAGTTTGTCGGCGAGAACGGCGAGGACGAGTGGGAGACGTGCCTCAAGGAGTGCATGCGCGTGCTGAAGCCCGGCGGATACCTCGAATTTTCGGTCCTCGACTCGGACATCATAAACGCCGGCCCTATGGGCCTCGCAAAGAGCGTCGAGTTTGGCTTTGACCTCAAGACGCTGGGCTACGACCCCAGCCCGACAAAGATGTTCCTCGGCCGTCTCTCGCGCGCGGGCTTCGATGAGATCCGCCGCGCGTGGATGTGCCTGCCCATGGGCGCGCGTCCCCAGTCGTCGCAGCAGGCGCAGAAGCCGCTGCCCTCGCTGCCCGCCGTGCGGGAGAGCCCCGACGGCGAGGAGGTGAGAACGGTGACGATGGAGGCCATGGTCACCGGCAGCACGGACGGCGTCGCCAACGTCACCAGTATCGTTGGCGGCTGGAGCTGGGAGCGCTGGCTGCTGCGGTGCGAGATGGAAAAGGTCAGCGGCGAGCTGCGGCTCGCGGACACGGTGACGGCCGGCGCGGCGATGAGAGAGGCCGGCAAGAGTGTCGAGGGCGTTGCTTCCATTGTTGAGGAGGGTCGGGGTTGCGGCGCCGGATGGAGGATGCTGAATGGTTATGCGAGGAAGCCCAAGACTGGCACGGGACTCATCCCCGTCGGTTTCGAGGTTTGAAAACACTTTCAAGACTCGAGCCTGGTCTGCTCTTTCTATATATATACTACATCCCACACGTTTATAGCCCTCCTCAATGTTACCTTTTGCCCCCCCCCCCCCCTTTCTTTTGTACAGACGCAACGATGGCAGGACGGAATGCAAGCAAGATGCGGCGGAATCCCAAGTATATTGTCATGGAAACTCATGTGACTTTGGATTGTAATGAATTGTGTGGACAGGCGCAGCTGTGGTCAACAGGCGCCAGAGGCTTGTGCATGGGGTTGGGAATACCGGTGATGAACTAGATGTCGAGCACTTGAAACAGGCTTGTACTGGCAGCTGAATGATACGCTATAGTCAGCAACTTTGCTTCTTGCCCCCAAATGCAATGTGCTCCCGTAGATAAACTCTCAAATTTCCACCATGGGAGACAGGTACCAGCCCCGAGATTGAGACAGTATCACTGAGAAAATCCTCATGGCGCGATGTTTGTCGTCAAAGAATCAGGCCACCAGGGACCTTTGGTATCGTTTCATTAATAAGTTAAGCTGTATCGAAAAGTATTGCAAACCGGGGGTATTTGGGGAAAGATGATTCCAGCCTATACTTGACACAAAAACCAAAGCAACGTCCCATCTACCCAACTCCAAATCGTCGCTATGGGTTGGTATCCATTTTTCCGCCTACCGGCGACCCAGTTTGTACGTTGATAGTATCATTGTCGCCTAGTCGTTCCCTTTCTTCCACACCTGGCACTGAAGAAGGCAGCACCGACGAGTCCCTCGGCGTCTTGGCTGACGTCGGCACGATGACATTGAGAACGCAGTCGTCAAGATGCTCGTAGAATTCTTGAGCTGTCCCGAAATAACTCTGGCAGATTGAGCATTTGGCACCATCGCCTCGCACATTGCCGGATCCGCTTATGATGAGCTTCCGGCTGTTGGGGGGCGTCTGCTCAACGTTGTGCACCGATGTGAGATGTCGCTTGAACACGTCGGCACGATTGAAAGCCTTCTCGTATGCAGTGCCCACCCCCGGACAGAATGGACAAACCATTGTCCCTTTGTAGTGCGTCAGTGCATGTCGATTCTTGTCATACTTGCGCGCGAACCCTTTCGTGTGGTACTCGCATGTTTCTATCGGGCACTTCTCCGGACGTTCTTCTTGATGTGTAAGCATGTGTGCTGCGAGATCCTTGAAGACGCGGCCGCAATCTGGGTGAGGACACCGGGTCCGATTGTCAAGAGTCTTGCTGGATGGGCTGCTCATCTGAGAAGACACCATCGATTCAGCGGGAGCTATCATCAAGGGGACGGACGGCGGTGCTGCCGCGAGAATTGTTGGACCAAATGTAGGGGATCGTGCAGGCGGCGGTGGAGGTGGCGCCTGGGTAAAGTACTCAAGCGGCGGTTTGTAATCGGCCTCCTCCCCTCCACTGGAGTCATCCTGGTCCTGGACATCAACAGATTGCCGCACCTCTCTCATCCAGTCCTTTAGAATGGTCATGGGTGGCCAATCCCCACTGGCCTTCCCGCCTCTATGCGGGTTGAAGTGCGCTCTCCTGAGATGTGCTGCCGCATTGTAATATGCTCCGTATCGTTTCTGCGTCACACATGCTTTACATTTTGAAAGTGGTATGACAGGTTGCGGCAATGTCGGGCTATAACTGTCTGGCTCAGTGCACACCCAGCGCCTCACCAGGGAAGCGTGTTTAGCATCGGTATGCCTACGCAGTTCGTGCTCCCCCCTGAAACCTTCAGGGTACTCATTGCACTTGATGCAGTAGACTCGACGTAACGGGGGTCGCTGATACGTAGGCCGCCCTCTGCCGCCTGAGATCGGGGATTCCAAAGGCCTCAAAGAGCCGCGTGGAAACGTTGGACTCTCTCCAACTGTATGTCTGCGGCCCAAGGGATCTATTCCTTGTGGCGAAGTAAGGTAGTCAGGACCAATTGCAGCGGCAAAGGGATCTCGGTCTGAGAGTGGAGTCGGATTCGGGATCCAAGGATCACCCAAAGCCCGAGGGTCGTGCATAGGACGCCTGGGTTCATCACCGGGTTTTGCGATGGGCGGAAGAACAAACATGCCGGGGCGTGCTGGGACTCTTTGCCTTAGAAACCCGTTGAATGTGGCTGCACCTTCCATATTTCCATCTCCAAGATGGATCAAGAAATCCTTGGAAGAAGTATAACCCTGTTGGCCCCAGATGTCCTTTCGCATAATCATGTACAACGAGTCCATGACGGCCCTGTCTCGTTCGTCAAGATCCAAGGTCTGTTCGTCGAGCAACATCGGCCCGGAGCTAGCAAATAGTGTGACCAGAAGCTTGTAGACGCTATTCATGGATTGCACACCACCTGTCCCTCTCCAGGCTGGAGGAGTCTGCGATGAATGACGTCTCGGTAGATAAGACGCAATATCTACCAAAATCGTACGCACAACACTGAAGATGCAAAGCGCAATAAATGAGGCAAACCAGCTCTTTGGATCATGTGGCCCCTTTCTGACTGTTGCATTCTCGAATGCCTGGAGGAATTGCGACATGCAAGTGTAGAGCAAACGGAGGTGCGCATCTTGGTCGACCTCATCAGTAAACAGAGGTCGATGAGGCGGGCCTCCATCAAGGCGAATCGAAGGTTCGGGTTGTTGAAGATCCCAGAATATGACTTCTCGCAGCAGAAGTTTCGCCCGGTATAGCACTGGAAAAACCGCTTCCTCAATCTCTCTCGTTGTGGCAATTATGCCGCTGGTCTTCAGCAGGTGGAGGAAGTTGTACGCAGTCCCACCACCATTCCAACTCGCCGTGAGGATGTTTAAAATCGGTGGTGGCCGATCGATCGTTTCTCTAGAATAATTTGAGAGCGTAGAGTTGGCCAAAGGACGATTCGCAAGCTCCTCCGTCCACCAGAATCCGTCATCGAAATCAAGGTTTATTTTGACTGCATGTAATATGTCTGGCGATATGCGGTAGCTGTTTTCTAGATGCTCGTTCATGCTTCTTCGTTGAGCCAGCGGAGATATGATCGGAGTTTGTATTTGTCTTGGTGATACTGGCGCTTTTAGGGTTAGACTGAGCCTGTTTCTGGAGTGCGAGTACCGACCTGGGAGCATGATATCCGAGAAGGCGTCCAGGGAGCCACGATGACAGCCGATGGTCTTCCAGAAGTCACTGCTTGGAGTAAGGGGTTGGTCGGCACAATAGTAGCAAGGCTCGTTGGAATCGCACTGCCGGTATGTGTCAATGAATCTACCCCAAAAAGTTGCTATGGACTGCTTTTCTTACAGATTGTTTAGTTACCATACAGCGCAAGCATGGTCCGGAATCTTGGAGTAGCCTCAGCTCTCCAATCGACTGGAGACGAGACTGTCCAACTCTGCTACGTTTTAAAGGGGGGAGCAGGGGATCGACTTCGGAATCAACAGAGCCGCGCCCAGGAGCCGAATATTCGCTGACCAAAGAGTAGGACTGGAGGGTATCGCGGCGTTCTTTCGGCTGGCTTGTCGTCAGCGGAGCTAGCTGTGTTCTAGGTGACGGCTTTGGAAGTTGAAGCGCTAGCGGCTGCTTTCCTGTCTCGGGACCCCATGGTCGTAGGGCCGGGTACTCAGGAAAGGGAAGTGGCGGTGTGTTGTCGACAGACATGCCCGAGTCACGATGTGGGTGAATGGTGTGCTCTCGAGCATGGTTGTCTCGCTCGTCTTTGTTGTGGAAACCGTAGATGTAATGTATGCAACGTTCGTCCCAGCACTTGAACGAGGATGTGGACCGAGACGACGGCGACAGGCTTTCCCTCATCTTCCATCCGCGGATGACCGGGTCGTGGCCCTCAAGATTACGGTCCAACCAAGCCGTATAGCCAGTTGGCGCTTCGTCATATAGAGATCGCTTGAGGGCATCGACCATGTTTGGGTCCAACAGATCGTGCCCTAAACCATATTAGAGACTAATTGCGGAGCACGGTTTGGGTGGAATGGAAAAACTCACCTTGCTCTAGGCAAGCAGTCTCAATACACTCGCACCGATACTGCAATGACCTAGCCTCCTCGAGCCCAGAATTGACTGGTATGCTGGCAGAAAAATCTAAAGATATCAGTCGGACGATTGAGATGCAGACCATGCAACAGTTTGTAAGGGCGCGGTAACTTACGGTGATGTTCGGAGTAGGCTTGCAACACTCGTAACTTGTGGCGGAGCATGTCAAGCTCCAAGTTGACGTTGAGACCATACTTTGCGGGCAGCAAGGCAGCGAGCCTCGCCTGGATTTCGGCCTGCTGATCGAGAAGTTGACGGATGGCGCTATCGAGGCCGGGATCGGTGGGGTCGGCCGCCATTCCTCCCGGGCCACGAGGGCGTCCTCCTCCCACCGACGACGACGACAATGTGGGCGTACTCGAAAATTGTAGTCGACAAGGCGCAAGGAGAAATAGCACAAATAGACATGAGTTATCGTCTGTTCTGCTTTTCAAAAGCTCGCCCGTTTATACGTCGGTGCGACTGGTCTGTTTGCATCAGATACAAGCTAAAAGCGCCCGGTTTATGCCGTCTCTCAAATCCTCTCTAGATGTATGCGCAGTGTGCATATCATCAGTCGTCGAAATAGCGGCGAGGGGTGATGCTATCGTTGTTGTGGCGTTGCTTTTTGTTGGTGGTTGTGCCGGGGGCGTTTTTGTGTAAGGTCGGAATGGACTAGGCATGTATTTAATTGCCGGGTTCATGCTTTCCTAAGTGATCAATGGGTGTCGGTCAGTGTTTTGCATCCCCTTGCTCGCTTTCCTTCCCGGTGTCCGCAGATCTTTCTCTGTCTTTGGCGGATTCGAGTTATTTCCAACTTTTTTTTTTTGCCTCATTCCCACCAGGGGTGGTTCGTCAGGATCGAGCGAGGTGATGTAAGGTACGACAGGCGAGATTTGCACAGCTTGCTTGGATGAGCGGGACCCTTGATCGGTCGAGTTTTCATTCCAGTTCCAGGTCTAGCTCCAGGTCCAGATCTAGCTCCAGTATCCAGCTCCAATCCACAAGTGGCTGAGGTCTCAGCGAGAGAATGGTGGTGGTGGTGCTGCTGCTGCTATGCGGTCTCCGGTCTTGTTTCCGATGCAAGCTTGGTCCTCACTGCCGCTCTGATTTCCGTCTCTTTTCTGAGCCGACCTTGGAAGAAGAAACACAATGCACAGGCGAGACGAAGGAAAAGAAGATGCTCAAAGATTACGAAGAAATCCAGAGACCAAAAAGAAGTTGAGGCAGCAAAATGGTGGGTTTGACGGACGGATTTTGGCGGGAATGGTTTGAATAGCGAGTGAGCGCACCGTACCCGATCGCGGTGCTGCTGTGCTCCTCCCCCATTGGGGAAACAGGACCTTTTATTGCCTTAGCACCTGGCCAGGGTTCATTTGGGGAAGTGGGGCTATCGTGGCTAACGGTCTTGTAAGGTAGATTAGCAGATATGGAGCAACGGCGAGCAAGACTTAGGTGGGCAGGGTGGAGAGAGAGGCGACGTGACGCTGGTGTCCCGTCGGGAGACAGAAATAAAGGGACCCCAGCTTGGGTTGGACTTGGAGGGAAGGGGGGGGTTTGTACACAAGTGAGATCGGTGCCACAGGGGAGATGGGTTGAACGGTGGATAGACAACGGGACAATGAATTCTTAATGACCCAGCCTGACAAATGGGAGACACTGTGGCAGAGGCTGACAGAGAAGGAGAGATGAAGAGAAGGCAGGAAGAGGGAGGGAGAACGAAAGAAAAAAATAAAAGAGAGGCTGGAGGCACCCACTATACACACAGCGTGGTAGTTAGGGAACGAGGATGGGGACAAGGACGAGGAGGGTGGGTGAAGAGCAGCGACAGGTCCGGCCGGGATCTGGCAGAGGGCTATTGCCTTGCTGCCTTGAGCAAGCAAGCAATTGGATACCTTAGAGCAAGGTACATCGTCCACAACGAACTACCTTGCTTACCTTAAGGCACCTAAGAAACCCTGTGCAGACCGTAGCTGACGGATAGGGTTGACTGTGAGGTAACTTGGTAAGGTACCTATCCAAGGTGGAGGGATTAGGGGACCTATAGATTATGGTTCTGAATATGGATGTGGGTATGGAAATGGATATGGAAATGGAATGACCAGGAAATAAGGAAGGTCCCAAGCTAGCCAGCTGACTTGCGTGCTTGCCTCATTTCTTGCTATGGAATACCTCGTCCCGTCCTTTGCCCTGTCCACTTTGTACCTTCTCCTGCTTCCTCCTCAGGTGTTTTAGTCCTCGCCCTTTCCTCGCCCCCACCCTTCGCCCAAACAACGACTGTGTGCATGTCACTCGAGGTATGTCTCTTTTTCCTTAGCCAAGTAAGTAGATAACGTGCGATGCCTCAGCTACTCAGGTATCCCAACGAACGGGGCCTTTACCGTCGACTTTGGCCCCAAGATCCCACCGATACCCGTATTGGTTGTGGTCAAAATCCCGACTTCTACTCTACCGGTCGGCCCTGATTCCGTCGAGCTCTTCAATGGCTTCCCTTTTCTCAATCTACCCCCTCCTCTCCGCTTCTTCCCATCCCTCCTACCTTAATGTCTGTCGCTTAGAACAGCCCCAATAAACCAGCTTCAGCGCCAGCACCTTGACCACAGACGCGACCGCAGAGATCAGCTGCTCCTCAAAAATTGACTACTCCGCCACGGGATATCCCTGGGTCTGGTATCAGGGGCTTTCCGTCCCAGCTCAAGATGCTTCCGCATCAAGACACGCTAGCACTCCCTCTCCCCTCCCTCTCCCATGCCTGCCGGCGCTTTCATCGTCGGCATCGTTCCATGATCTGGTTCTGCACTGGCGAGTGCTCACGAATGGCACCAAACAGTGTCAGGGACAGTCGTCTTTCTCCAGCTTCGGCGCTTCTCATTGACAGTCAACAATTCGCTTCTCGCAGAGTACAGACGACCACCAACAAACCCGCCTTCTCAAACACGCTCAACGCACTGTGGGAGACTTCGGCCGCCATCCGACCGATGTTTATCCAAGGGTCTCGATGTACCCTCACCGTACGGAGTAACTGCGCATCCGATCCACGGCCAGACAGATACCATGCTGGCCTTGCCTCATCTTGGCTCGCCTGGCCATGCCGCGCACTTATCGTCTTCCACTTCCTCAGTCCTTTGCACTCTCGAACCTATTGGTCTTCCAAAGTCCCTTCGTGCCCTCTCTCTCTTAACCCATCAGAGCAGAGTTGACCGGTGGCAACACAACCCGCAAAACTACGCCATGGACATCTCTGGATCTACCAGGTAAGGCGGGAGCGGGCAAATCGACAAAATGTTGGCCTCGCACGCCTCACGCCTCTTCGAGTCTTATCAGCTCCCCCTTCGGCCCTACCTCGCCCGTCTCCCATTCCATGACGCCCGTCTTGGAACCGTACCGCCCTCCGATTCGCACGGGGCATGGGCTACAAGCAATGCACACACCTTGAGTCCCTGTCGTCTGGCATCACACCCCGGCCTCATCCCAGCTTCTTCCCTACCAAGTTACATTAGCCACTTGCTTGGCCGGTTAGCTTCTTAGCTCTTCTGACCAGCTCGCGGCGAACTAAGATCGTTTGACTGCCCCGATTGCTTTCACGCCGTATACTGCCGCCGTGGTCGCAGCCAGTTCGAGCTGCTTTCATGATGGCTCCTAAATCACGGAATCTCGAGCTACTGCGGGCTGGGGAGAGGGGAGAGGGACATGAAGTTCATGGCCGTTATGTCGTTGAGGGGGTGGTCAGCCGCCGCACACACACGCAGTCGACCTCAACCAATCTGGCTTCCAACCCCTTGAGCGCGTCGACCTGTCCTATGGATTCTACCCTTGCCACCTTCCGGTAGGGTCTCCTGCTAAGGTCTGTCCTTTACCGCTTTATTTCCCGCCTTGGGAACGGAGGCGCTGAGAAAATGGTGACCAGACAGACGGGCGAGTGAGGCCTGGGAGAAACAAACTAGTGTAGGGAACCCAGGAACCTCCGTCCAACGGGTTCATGGGGCCCATGAGCCTGGGTGTGGGCATCGACGACGTGGGGCCGCTTGCGCCATCTCCGACTCCCCGACCGCCGGCCGCTGCCCCCAAGTCAAACAAAAGCCGACTAGCAGCAAAGAATTAGAAAAAAACATCAGACGAGACCAAGCTAAACGTCCGTTTAGCCTTGCTGTCTGTCCGTCGCCTCCGTCCTGTGTGTGTACCAGTCGGCTTCGTCTCGAATCACTCCGTCTGCTCCTCACACAAGTCTTGACGTCTGTCAGCTGCATTGGGTGCAAAGGGGACCGAGCGCCGCCCCTACCCTTAATGCTTCAATCAGGGCTTCAGCTGGCCAATTTTCATATCAGCGAGGGCTCAACTACTTACAGCCTATGAGATCCTGGGTAGTGATTGTATGGCTAATATTGAGCTCTCACGGCACTGCTGGTCTTAAGCTTGCTTTCCTTTTGGCTTTTCGCTCGCTAGCTCGAGCTTGTAACGTCAGGTTCTATCCGGGTTGGGGGCGGTTCTGGAAGCATCACACGAGTGCAGGGGGATCCCTCCGTGAGCAAGAGATTGCGACATTTCCGCCTTGCCTGGTCGACGCAGCCTGCGCACCAGCTCTCCGCCGCAGGTCCTGAGAGACAACCCTGACTGGTCTTTACCTCGAATCTCATCTCGTTCTGCCTCTCGACTACGCGGGTGTTTCCCGTCGTAGACGCACCTAGAAGGCGCCAAACCCACGTCGATACGACCACGCCCACGCCACACGGATCAGCTTGCTAGGCTCCACGTGGGGCATGGAGTCCGTGGTACGATGCTGGGGCCAGTCCCGGCAGAAACAAGCATGTGCCGAGTCACCATTACAACCTGCAGATAGCTGCTGCGGGTGACGGCGAAGGGGTGGGGCCACAGCCACAGCTACCTACACAGAAGCAAATCTGACCTTAAAGCAGCGATAAACGTGCAGCGTCGACCGTTACACGGTGGATGGGGTTGGCCGCGCCAGGCCTCAAGCCTGGCAAGCAGGCGGTCACTCTCGATCGAAGCTTCACTAGTGGACGGAATATGCTCTTGGAACCCTCCCCATGCCTCTCCACCACCCTCTCTTGCCGTTCTCCCCTTCTTGGACGAAGTCAAAAGTCACCTCAATGGAGAGGGTGGCAAGTGCATGGAGGAGATCGAACAAGCGGTACATAGTGCTCTGTATTTGTACAAAAACTCCCGGACACGAGACCAGCTTCACCACATCCTTCGTTGCCGACAGAGTCCCCGGTTTACAGTCGTTTGTGTCGGACCATCATCTAACACGATCAAGACAACCTACTTGACGAGCCGAAAACTCTACCCAGACGACCCTACTAAGCGAAATATTGCCAACTTGGCCGTTGCATTCAAGGAAGGGAGAGTTCAGCTCAGCTAGGAGGGCCCGCAAGACATCGAATAGACCCGGTTCATAGCGAAGGGCACGTAGAGTTCGACAATTCTCAAATGTTCGCGGCGTGAACTGCAAAAGCACCATGGTTATACCATGAATCTGCGGTACGTGCTCATGGCTCGTTCGCCATGACACATGAGCCACGTCTTGCCATGAAGTCAAAAGTTCCTCAAGGTAGGGATGTCGCTGGAAATTGAGTTGAGGTTGATGAAAGCAGGAGATGAGCAGTCCATCGACCCGTCACTGCCCGTGTCACACCTCGTGATTATAGCATCCTCCTGGCCGGTCGAATTGGTACCCAGAGATTTCTGTACGACCTTTCCCGACCTTAGGTTGGACAAGTGTTTTCTACTGTACGGCATACTTTGTATCAACATGAATAACTCCCCGGTGACCGCCCTCGGACCATCTGCTGGCTTTGGTTCGGTCCAGTGGGGGAGTTCATCCTCCTTGCAAGCCAATTCATCCTGCCCCCCCTCCCCGGCAGCTAGTATCCTGATCCCTGGATCCGGTACCGAATAAGACATCATCGTACAGGACGGCAAATTACTCAATTAAGCCTCGTGAACAGAAGGCAACGTACCAGATGCCAAGTAGATGGCCAACGAGTCTCATCTTTGATCTGGCAGGGTTGACTCAGGCGCAGGCGCGTTTTCGTAACTCTCGGGTAATTCAGACATCCCGCCAGATTTGATTTTCGAATTGGCCCGTCGGCGAAGCCTTCACCCGTTGTTTCGATCTGCTAGTTCCACGCGCGTCAGGAGCAGCACGGTTGGCCCAGCGGCTCCAGCCTCCGAAACGAAACCTCTGCAAAAGTGCAGTGGGATGGGATGGAAAATACCGGAATTACTGCCCCGTCACCGGGCTTCCTAGCCTTTTAGGTTTTTCGTCAATCTCGACTACCCGCTTGTCTCATTCCAGCAAAGACGCGAGCGAGGCAGCCGGCCCCTCCCCCCCCTGGATCTCCATCGTCGACTCAACAGATCTCGATTGCATGGCCCGTACCCGCGAGACGTCCGTGTCTCTGACAGTTCTGTGCTACTTGCCGGTGTTGTTGTTATACCCAGGCAAGTAGTTCTATGACTGCTGATGGTATCGAGCCTTTTTTTATACTCAAGCCTAGGCAAAATACCTTTTGCTATCAATGATTGTGGGTCTAGGTCAGGCAAGGTACGGATGGCGTGAGGGCCCCTAGTTGAATCGACAGTGTGTGAGGCTGCCGGTCCTCTCTCCCCCGCCGCCAAATGCCAGCATCAATCCCCTCCTCCTCCTCCTCCTCCTCCTCCTCCTCCACGACGATCGATAAGTTTGGTCTTTATGCTGGCAACGACGCATTGATGACAAAATGGAGGACACAGAGGAGTAAGCTCAGACCATATCGATCCCCTTCAAGTGCCCACCCGCCAGAGAGGTGGTCAGTGCAGAGGCTGAAAATGGGCCATGGGTGACATGAGGAGAAAGGGACGGGAGGGGTGTGTGGCTGTATGGTGTTGGTCGAGCTCTGGTAGAAAAGAGTCAGGTTGGAAGGGGAGGGGTAGATGTTCTTTCCGAGCAGGGTACCAAGTACGGATAGGTACGAAGGGTGGGCAGAATTTCCTCAATTTTAACATGTGCTTGCAGCTCGCAGATATCACACATACATACGACGCTGCGGGCTACACTGTTGCTTTTCTTTTTTGCATTTTACAATATTGACTCTATTGCAGCCGTTTTTACCCACATGCTTGACTCGCGGCAGGCAGGCAGGCAGACATACAGACGGTGGATACCCCAGAGCTTCATGGCTACGCCCAGGCTGGCCCAGCGGGGCTGTGGCCCAATCCGTCTGGCCGGTAAGACGGTTTGAATTGGGGGCCAAACGGGTGTCACCCGCCATCTGCTCGGCCGGAAAGGGACCGTCGGGTATCTCGTCCAGTACGGGGCTATTATACGACCGGCAAACATGCTTCCCGGGCTCTCTGCCTTAATCGGGTCCGACCTGGGGAGTGTTTTTGTCCGTCGATAGTCGCCTAGCGCAAGAAAGTGAAGGCGTAATCTTGGCAGCCCAGCCGTAGGGTTGCTTCCATCAAAGTACATGTGTACGTTCAAGTGTGTACTGCCTTGTATCGGGTATCTCATCCCGATTTATCCTACTCCCGTTTTCCTTTTAAAAAAATTATTGTCAAGGAGATTACCAGATTTCTTCCCGAGTTCTTTTTTCTTACGTGGTATTTGATGTATTATGTATAAAGAAAATTCCCGTCTAACCCCTCCCTAAACGCCCCGGAGCTCTGTCCCGGCCTTCGTCGAGCTCATGTTGAATGACGCCGGCCCGTGTCGATGTCATGCTTCGCTGCCTTCTATCCATTTCTGTTTCGCAGTCGAAATTGACGTAAACAAATCATTCTTGCCGAATGTCCTTGCTCAGGTTGGTTTCTTCCCTTTTCCTTGTCGTTCATGGGCTGCTGTCATCGGAACTCCACAACCTCATAAGCCGATCCGGTCATGTCAACCTTCTCACTTTACTCCAGTTGTTCCCATCGTCTCTCGCGCAAAGGTTTCTCTTTGCCGGCCGCGGCCCTGCTGCCTTCTTTCTCTTCCTTCCACGCCCAGTACTCGGCAAGGCGCGTTTCCGCATACGAGGCGTAGTCAAAATCAATCTCCGAGATGACGGCCTGGATCAACGCCCAGATACCCCAGTAGAATCCTGGCACACCACGGAAGAGGTCCACCTCGTATGTAAGTTTTCTGACCTCCGTCTCGACATCGACATTGGTGTTGCTTTCGGAGTATTTGAAAAACGAGCGAATATACTCCTCGATGAATTCTCGACGCTGGGACTGGGTGGGCATGAAGTTGTAGTCGCAGTCGAAACCACCCCATTCGGCCAAGTGGTTGGCGATGTCGAAAGCGGCTGGCGACGGCGTGGCATATTCGTAGTCGATGAACGTGACTATGGCTTCCTTCTTGCTTCCCTTGGCAGGAACAGTACTCGGCAGCACAATCACGTTTCCGCTCAATAGATCGCAGTGGGCAAAAACGAGCTAATACGAGCGAATGGTTAGTAATCACAGACGAATTATAGCGGCTTTGTGAGACTTACACCATCGACACCTAGACCCGGGCGCTGGCTAAACTCCTCCACAATATATTCGAATTCTTTTTGAAGCTTGTCTTGTCTCTCCCTCTGGACTTGCGTGTCGCTGGGTAGCGCCAGAATCCATTTCTGCATCACTGACCAAAGGTTAGGCACAGGCTTTCCAGGCGCGGCATTCTCGATGATGGCTTCCAGGTCCTGATGGTAATCCTTGGCATTGCCGTTCGTCGACAACGGGTGCGTAATGCAGGGCACTGTCGCATGCCACTGAGCCAACCTGCTGGCAACAGCTCGATAGATATGCGGCTTGCTGAGGTCCTCCGGGGCTGTAACACTGCCCTTGATGAAGCGGTAGAGCATTCCATTCTGGAATCGGGCGAGCAGCTCGGGAGCAAGGCCATGCTTCATGAGAAGCTCATGATTCTGAGCCTCGCGCTCGCGATCGATTAGGACAGCAGTTCCATTGCCATATGCGCGCAACAATATAGCCTCCCTGTCTATATCCTCCTTGGACCAGCCTTTTCGCTTGTTGATGGCTTTGAGCAGGGTATTGGTGATGCCGTCGGTGAAGCGAACGAATTCGATGTTGGAGTCGTCGGAGGCCCAGTCTGGTCGAACAGTCAGGATTAGACTAGTCGCAGATTGCTGGTAATCTTCGCTGTCGTAGAAAAGGGGAAGTGTTCGGACATGAGGCAGCGCCAACCCGTTAGGGTGGCCGTTGCCTGCACCTTGGGTCATGATTTGACCGAAGGGATAGCCGAGAGGAACTGCGTGGGCGAGGGGAGGGAGGAGTACGTCGATAGGGCAGGGACAATACCGAAGAGGTTAATTGCTGAAGTAAATGAAGACGCCCCTGTAAAATTCTGCTGCGAATTTGTTCAGTCGGAAGTGTCGTGCAATTCTGGTAGTCTGGATAATTGTGGAAAGGGGGCTGAAGGTGGTCGGCGAGACGTCAAGGGGTAGTGGGAGAGCGAGGATATTCGGGAGTGGTGGAGAAAGCAATGGGACAGGGCGAAGTAAGGTACGGAGAGGAGGAGGGCGATGCCGTGGTGGCGCAGATATGTAAGAGGAAGTAGTTTGAGCGACGGGAGAAAAGGGTGGGTATTGTGGGATTGATAATGGAAAAAAAAAAAAGGAGGAACGAGAGGGTAATGGACCGGGGATTGGCGCCGTCGAGATAATGGCCGAGCACGAGACCTTTTTCCTTCCTCGTGCGGATCCCCAAGGTGTGAAAGAAAAAGCCGGTACAGAATACGTACGGATAGTGGCAGTGGCAATAGCTCCTCAAGTGATGTGGTGCGTTAGTTTAAAGTGAGATTCGCGTTGGGGAAATTACGGTATGTGCGTGGTGGCTAATCTTCTTTTGTCGTCGGTCAACGAATCGAGACAGGAAATCAGAAAAGAGCGAGAGCATGTGAAGGTACATAGCAGAGCAGAGCAACTTCCCACCTTAAGGGACCTACCTACCTGATGGATACCGTACACGCAGAAAAGCCAATTATCTACCAGCGTGCCAGTCTTACGACCGCCGCATGAGTGGGCCTGCCTTACCTTCCCTTTCCCTCAAGACCCCGACCGACTCTCCCATATCCTCGTACAGGAAGGGGCTGTCGATGAGCATATTCCAATGTTGGCTGTTCAGGGTCGTCTGAGCGGGGGCAACGTAGCTAGTGTATGATTGGGGAGCAGGGCGCCGCCGCGGGCGCTTTTTCCCAACAACACCTCCACTACCTTAGTAAGGACAGACCTCAAGCAAAAACCCAATGACTTTGCCCTTCCAAGGGTGCCAAGTTGTTTGTTGGCCGTATCTCTGTTTCTGTGCGGTACGCGTGGCACGAGCGCCACGGCATGGGCACCGGGCAAGCTCCCGTCCAAGTCTGGGCACGAGGAGATGGATGGGGGCCCGAAACCATAACGACTGATGATTCAGGTGCCCTCTCCTCCCCCTCCCCCTCCACACCTCGGGCTGTTGAAAGTCCTGAAAGCATTCTTTCACGAATCCATAGCAGTGACATATCAGGGTCTTGCAGCTTCTCGGCAATGCAGTGTCACAGACGCAACGGCTTCACGAGCCTGGTTGGATAGGAGGACCTGGTGGACCGTCTCAATGGCTTCCCCTCATCCTGTCCCTCCAATAGTCGTTCCCGATTGAATATTCCATGCCAGAATTCCGTCATCGTTGGAGCTGATCCCAGATTCAGAGCACTTCTAACCTCATCCTCCCTTTCCCCAGAAAGGGCCAGCGCGAAAACCCGTACCGACTCGCCATCTCTGTAATGCAATTTTGAACGATGGTCTTGCCTTGATATGTGGCATGGGTCTCGGGGACAATCGCGCTACCTCATGCGAATGTACCATCACAGAGGCGTACTCTCTTGATGCACCGTTATCTTCGCTCAATTCACAAGCCGGGGACTGGAAGAGGGCTCACCGACTCTGTGTCTCTCGTCTCATGCAGTCTAATCAACCTAGCCCAGCCCAGCCTCTCCATAGATCGTGAACTGCTGTCGGATGCCATGTCTCACATTTACCTCACACTGGCTACCTAATAAGCATTTCTAAACGGACCACACCTTTGGCGCAACACTAGTTCAGCCGAACTTGATGTGTGCAATAGCGATAGGTTCAAGCTCGCGTTCTCGCATGAGGAGAAGCACTTTGGATTGCCGCTGGGCTAACTCGCCTTGCCGGTTGTGAAATGTACGGATACGTACCGCCGAAACCTTGAGAGCCCCAACCCCACCTTGAAGCACCGGCTAAGGTAAGGTAAGGAAGGTAAGATGTGCTCGGACCATCTTGCACCTCCCGGTTCCTGCTGGGCCGCTGGTACTGCACACCAACACGCCCACCCAGCTTCGGGCTTAATACATCAGACCGGATCGAGCCCACGACATCCTTCGTCCCATCTACGGCCCAGCCACGACAAATAGCCGCTTGCACCACTCTAATCCCGCGGGCTGCCAGCTCGTCTACCACACAGAACCACCTCCAGCTTTTCCCGACTTTACGTGCAACAAAGCCGCCACGGCAAGGACTATTAGGCGATGGTCGCCGGGGTACGGCACCGTTGACATCTTGCAGCCCTTGACCGCCCTGTCATAAGCTTCTGCAGTCGTGATCTCTTATCGCTCCCGACATGGCGCCGCCCGTGCTCCCGAACCCAGCCAACTTCCTAGCCGTGGCGCTGGTTATCAACAGGTCTCGTGATGGTCCCAACTTCGTCTTCCATTATCCACCCCATGTCTTGCCGCCCAACGTGCAATCCAAAAGTCACGAGCCAGCCGACGGTTCGGCTGAGTATGACGATATTCTACTGGAGCGTCTCAATGCGCCCGGCTCAGCATCGCTCGACTCCGATGCTAACGCGGACGACCTCCAACAATGGACTGCCAGAGACGACCACTTGATCACCGAGGACGGAACACAAATCGTGCCATGGGAACACGTGGCTGGGTTTCCTACGAAAGATCTCGCCAGCATTCTGACCCCAGGTAGAGCATACCACAAGAAGCTCTTCCAACTCTCCTTGGACCACCTATTCTGTGTCTCCTATCCCATTCACGTCCCCGAGAGTGGGATATGGAAGAAGAAGAAGAAAAACAAAAAGGCCAAGTCAGAGAGGGCCAAGTCTGTGCGGACGGAAGAGTCGGCGGTATTTGTCGACATCGACGCAAATGAGGAAACTGAAGACACCCCCAACTTCGCTGATGCGTCGCAGAATGAGACCAAGGACGATGAACAGCCCCTGCAAGATGAACCCGACGACAAGCGCGCCTCCATGACCATGTTCAACCTGGTTTTCTTTCTGAATCCGAAGAAACATGAAGCCAAAGAACTCATCGAGACACTTTACATCAACATCATTAAGAAGATCAACAAGGCCTTCAAATACTGCCAGCAGCGGAGCGAATTCGTGTGGAAGGAGTCGAAGCGTATATCAGCCCTGAAGGACAAGGGACGGGAAGACAGTAAGCCAGAATGTGCAGCACTGTCGGTTGTAGGTCACTGATATGAGCCCAGGACGCAAGATGAGTTTACTATGGGAGGATATTCTCGCGACATCGTCCCTCGCAGCTTCTGTCCAGGACATTTACGAAGCCGTCTCGCAAAACAAAATTGCGGCCCTCCAGCTCGACACAGCATTGGGTCCAGTCACTCCGTCCGTGCAGATTCCCGTGCCGTTTTATGTGACGGACTTACACAACTATGGTCAGACGGAACAGAGGGGCCTCTGGCTGACGACTGCCAACTCGTTCATCGGCGAAGACACCATAGATGAGCCAGGTTTCTTAGACCGAAACTTCGCCTTGCTGCTAATGGGTGGTGAGAAGAAGATCATAGCTGAACTGCAGGCAGACCTGGATCCGAGTACTGTGGCCATGGTCGAGTTCGCCCGACTGTCGAAGCCGACACAGTCGTGAGTTTGAAAACCCTTTTCAAAGGCTCGTCATGTACCCCAGCTAACGCATGTACAGTTTCTATCAAGTTGGTCAGAGCAATGTCTTGACGTTGAGCCAAGTACGCAAGTATGCGCAACACTTTATATTCTGGCGTCGTGCTATTGCTATTCCGCCCCTCCATGCCCGCGACATTTACATCATGTCCCCAAACTGCGACACCCACAACCTTCCCAGGGCGAGCCTCGAGTGGCAGAAGACGTTCCCCCTCGCACCACCGCTCAGCAACTTCCTCGCCGAGCTCTCGTACGCGCCGAGGTCATATAAACACTACTGCCCAAGCAAGGCTCATCGGCCCACGTACCTCGCCATGCTTGCGTGGCTCATGCGCGGCGCGTGGGTAACTCAGCTGTGCACATTCGCTTACGTTGTCGTGTGGCCAGAGATTATCTACGAGGTAGAGCACAAGCTCGAGAGCGACGAACTGCGTAAGGCTGAAGATACCTCCTCCCTCAGCACCAGTAACAGTTCAGGCCTTGACGCAGAAGAGGGGCAGTCTGAGGCTGCAAGCAGCAGTGGTGGTGGTGGTGGCATCGGCGGCAGCAGCAGCGGTGGCTTCGGAGCATACGTCCCGTCGCAAATCGAACAGACGGCGGAAAAGGCACGCCTGGAGCGCATCGCAGAAAAGACGCAGCGTGTGGCGGCGGAAAAGGCCACAGCGCACGCGCGCAAGCTACCGCCGACCGCGACGGATCACCCGTCGACCAACGAGGCGCCGCATCTGGCGCGGATGCCTCCTTACGTCATCGTGGACGCCAAAAAGGCGACAGGTAAGGAGTCGCTCTACCTCGCGGCCATCGGCAAGCGATTCAAGGACCCCAAGGTCGCCAAGGCGTGGCAGGCCATGTGGAAGTACTTCAACGGGCAGACGGCGCTGGAGAGGATCGCGTTGCAGGAAGACATGAAGCGTAAGGAGGCGTGGAATCTGTTAACGGCAATGAGCGAGCACCTGTTGTGTGTGAGGCATTGGTAGACGTTGGTCACTTGCACTTCGTTGCAAGCTTAAACGAATTACTTGAGGGGCACTTCACGAGATATGGCAAACCGAGAGCCCCAGAGGTAGCAGGGAGAAGGGTAAAAAATGCACTGAGCTAGTGTGATCCGACAGCTGGAACATACGTGCGGCAAGATAGCAGTTTGTACTTCATGTACAGAAAGGGTGGGTATCATTGTATGTGTGCGGGAAGTATAGCGGCAGATGGAAGCTGCTCCCATGCATGCCAAACGCAAGGGGCGCGGAGGACGAAAATGAATCACGCCAGGATCAGGTAAGTACAAAAACCGTGTGTTCCCAAACAGAGGTGTTGACCGTGAGATTGCGTGTAAGCATTAAGAGAAGAAATGTAGAAATGATTTCAGGACAGGGAAGAAGAATATTGGGAAGAGATTGCCTGAAAGATGTCAACCTGCGAACCCTTCTTGCCCTCCCTGGAAATTAGCGATAAACTATAAATGACCTTGAGCAATGCCCATCCGACCCAGAGGTATCTCGTCTCCCAGTAGATAATGCTCGGTAAACCCAGAAAACAGAAATGAGAATGAAAAACAAGCACAATCCTTGCCTCCACGTTGGGCGTCAAGGGCCATGTCCTAGCCTGCAGCCGCCCACGTAACTAAAGGAACTCTCTCAACGCCGTTGCCCACCGAAATCCTTGACCGACCCAACGTGTTTGAATGCAACAAAGTGACCATGGCTGCGCGAATGCATGAAACAGAGTAGAGACTTGAAATGATAAGATGAACGCCTCGCCCAAGGATGTCGTACGGCATCGGCGATCAGTAAGATCAGAAGCGGGACAATAAGGGGTCGTCATGAATGCCAACATCCCGTCCTACTGTGTCAGGTCCATGCCAAACTCATCTTCCTCCTTGAAGTTCAGCGAAGTTGGACCACTGTCGTCATCGTCTGGGTCATTCCAGAACTCGCTTCCAGCGTTGAGGTCGTTGGCGAGGCCGTTGCCGTTGGTGGCGCCAGGGCTAACGGAGGTACCGTCACCCGCGTTGCCTAAGCCATTCATGGGCTCGCCACGGAAGTCGGTGTGGTGGGGTACTCGAAGGCCAGATCCGGTCGTGCGAGAGTAACCTGGGACCTCGTTCTTGGAGATGGCTTCCATCAGTTCGGTCTGCATACGCTTCTCATCCTCTGTGAGCTCGAACGGGAAATGACCGCCGAGTTCCGCGATTGCATTCATGAGCTCCTCTTGCTGCTGCAGCTTCAGATGCAACATCCACATCAGATCTCTCGTCCAGCTGACGGCGCCATTTAAGATATCTCCCTTATTGGGACCCTTGTCCTTGTCCTCGAGGGGAAGGCCGGTCGTGATATTGCCCGTTGCACCAGCTGCGCGGCGTGCGCCGGGACCGGCGAGACCAGAAGTGGCCTGAGAGGGGTTCGAGATGCCGGACAACGTGGGCGAAAGCGGGGTGCCGTTCTGAATCATCTTGCGAATCTTCTCATCTTCTAAGCGATGCGCGGGAACCAGTCTGCTAAGGTCCTGAATCCTCTCATTGATATTGTCTCGTCGGCGTCGCTCGACGAGGTTATGCGATTCCCGACGCCGCTTCCGCTTCATCTCTTGAGAGGAAACCGCGGTACCAGGCTGAGGCCCCAACTTCGCAGGCATTGATGTGCCACCCTTCATCATGACTTCGTTGAGCTGAGCGAGGCCGGGCTGTATGGGCGACGAAAAGCCAGAACCGTACGACGCTGCCATGCTTCCTGTAGGAGTCTGCATCCACTGACCTCCGGATGGTGACTTTTCATGCATGCCTTGGGCCCGGATTGACTGAGGACCAAAGCCGGCAGACTCCTGGGTCGCCATGGGTACTGAGTGCATCGCTGACTTTGGAGTCATGGGGCTGCGAGTGTTGGAAGAGGAGCTCTTCCGCTGCATGGCTTGTGCCATTCTAGCTCTATTCTTAGCATTGAGGTAGTTGTTGTCGGTAGCATCAACAGTCGGATCAGATCCAGCCAAGGGTGAGCCCGAGTATGAGATTGGAGACTGGAGCGAAGTGCCGAGCGCCTGGCGATGGTGCATCTGGCCGAATTGCGAGTTATTGAAACTGTGGACAAAAGGGCTTTGGATGGGGTCACCATCGGGTGTGTTAGAGTAGCCGTTGATGTGGTTTTGATCCAGGCCGTGGTGGGAGCCGTAGATGGGTTGGTTGAAGCCCATATCCATATTTGACATTCCGCCACCAAAGTCCTGCCCATGACCATGTAGTGGCTGCTCGGTCGGGCTTCCGAGACCGTCGAGCAGCTCATCGTCTCCGAAGAGGGCAGAGCCGCTCGAGAAGCCGTTCGTATTTGCTGAGTTGGAGTTATAGTTGTTGGAGTAGGATGATCCGTAGTTTCCACCCATGGCCAAGTCGTTGGGGTCGATGCTTCCACCGCCACCTCCACCGTGGCCACCATTGAACTGGCCGAAGCCGTGTTGTGCCATCGTGTGTAATGTTGGCACGGCGTTGAATGGAATTTGCCCTTGAAATACGTTGGATCGGCGATTATGCGAGGCCTTGAGGACCTGGTTGTGCTCACACCGCCTCTTTCGTCGAGGAACGAAGTGACAGGCTGAGCTCTAATGCTCGAGAGGATCGGGGGGGTTGTTTGAGGTTATAGCTGCAGTAAGTTGACTAGTCAGCGATGCGACCGAAAATGAAAGGTAGCGATGTTGCGCAAAGCAAAAGTGCTCATAGGTTCGCTGCGCGCAATTGTGCTTTCCTGTCGGATAGACACGAACCAGCGGTTAGACATGCGGATATTCTCCACACATGCGCAGGCAGTTCAGAACGCCACCCAGGCAAAATAGGCTGGGAAAGTGGTAGAGGAGTGCGAATGCGGGAAGGAAGGCGCGCAACCAAGGCAGGACTGACTCACCGAGCAAAGGGGGAAAAGCCGGTAATACGTAGTGTTGGTGAACAGCACACAAAACCGTTGTTACACGGCCATTCAAAGCAGTGCTGTTAACGGTGTGGGTTTGGCGTCCTAGGTAAGGAAAGCCGGCGTCGTGGATTGTAGCGAGGCGAGAGGCAGTTGAGAGGGGATTTGTGTGCGGAAGAGGGAGGTAGAGAGAGAGAAAGAGATAGAGAGAGAGAGAGAGAGAGAGAGAGAGAGAGAGAGGGAGGGAGGGAGGAGGGGGAAAGCAAGGCAAGATTTGATGTTGGGGTCGCTTGCCGCGCAAGTGTAAATAGATGTGTAAGAAATCGCTGCCTGTTTAGCTGCTGAAACAGAGCAAACGAGAAAGGATCAAAGTGGTTGCCGGGTCTTGGAGGGAAGAGGCGAAGAAGAGGAAGAAGAACAGCGAGTTGAGTCCTGTTAAGTTGTGATGGAAATGCGGTGTCGGGGAGCCGGGGGTTTGTAGTGTGGTGCGCTGTTGTGCGATGAGCGAGGTAGGTATGAGTAAGAAGATGCAACGTGTAGGAGCCTCGGGGCTGGGCTGGACTGGGCTGGGGAATAATTAGTTTAGGACTATGTTGAACGAGAGGACGTGTGTAGTGTCAAGTATTCGTTAAAGTGCACGAGTACATGGGTGCTAAGGAAGCCCATGCGGGAGACCGATGCCAGACGCCGAGGGCGAGGGCGGGGGAAGAGGCGAGGGGTACCAAAGTACCTTGTATCTTGGGGGGAAGGGGATTCGGGACGAGGACTGGGGCTGGGGAGGGTCTGGGTATTGTGCGGTGCAGCGTGCACCACAGTTCACCTTACCTGCAAAGCTGTGGGGGAGCGAAAAGGTCAAGCTCGTGTCTGTGAGTTGGTTGCGGACGTGCGACGTCTGTTCAGGAAATAAAAATGGGACGCGTCCGCTGCAAGGGAGGTTAGGACTCTCTGCTGGAATGAATACGGACACAGAGTACTTTTGAGGCGCGAAGCTCGCCTCAAGGCCCGGGTGATCCAGGCCCAGAGACAAGGGTTCATGAAGGGGCTCAAAGCCGGGTTTGCTAGGATGGGACAAGACAACTTGTGGTTCAGGACCTCGAGGTGTGCTTGTGCTATCCAGCATGGCAAGTCTGCAGTCCGGTCCGTGGGCCGAGGGGGCAAAAAGGGAATAAGAGCAACGCAAAGGAGAACGGGCGAGGCGATGGGACACAGATGCCGACTTACAGAATATGTGGGTGGTGGGTAGTAATCACCTATCTCTCCCAACTACACGGTGGATGCTGTTCCTTTCGAGAGGTGACGAAAACAGTGCTTTGGCTCGGCTTCCGCCTGACGCTTGACGTTGCACAAGCAGAAAATAGAGGTGAGAGGGGAGACGGTGGTAGTGATGATGGGAAAGGGAGGGAGGGGCCCAATACCAGAAAAAGGTGGTGTGCTGATTCCTTGGTGTTGCTACCGTACTTGGCGCTGGTGCTTGCTTCCTGGTATGCTTGCTTGCTTGGTGCGAAGTGCCCGCTAGCAGAGGCGGGCTGGTAGATTGAAATACTGGTGGTAAGAGCTGCGAGGGTGTGAGATTGTGCGACAGTGGGAATGGGTTGCCGCCGGTTCGGACGGGTCGGAGACAGGCGGTTGTCTTTGCTGCGATGATTGTTGGACCCTTGGGTACAGTTGGCTTCTTACACTTGAAAATGGCCGAGGAATGCAAGACCCTTGGGACGACGAAGTATTGGATATGCGCCGATACCAAAGTGCGACGAGCAACTAAGTCGACGTTGGCGGCTTGTCTTTCGACCAGTCAGAAGTCAAATCCGAGCCACGAAAATAGGAGGAACGAGGGAGATAATGAAGGAGAAAGTGAATAGATGCAATGCGATGCAAGGAGTGGGAAAAGTGCGGAAATGACAGGTATAATAAACGTGTGGCGGAAGAAGCGGCTGCGAGGCTGAGTCGTGGGATGCAACTCGACGAGGGGGGTATGAAGGATATGAGGGAACGAGAAGGATTGGACGTGATGGGTGCGCAGAGTGGTTAGTGTACCAACCTTGATGATGATGAGGAGACAGCAGTATGCCCAAGTAGGTATCTCTCTGGATATTGAAGGCAGCAACGGCAGGCCAGTAAGTTGAATAATGTCTGATGCGAAAGTGAGGTGGCGTTTGCTCACAGAGTCCCCGGAAGAGCGGTGCGGTTGACGTGCAGCGATTACTGGGGCTCTGGATTGTTGGTTGGGGGCTGTTTTGGAGCGTTTGTTCCAGGTAGGACGAAAAAATTCCTCCGTGGGGAATGCGGCCTGTGTGCGGGTACAGGTGTGACTGGAAAGTTGGAGAAGTAATAATAGAGAGCGAGAGAGAGGGAGAGGGGGAGAGAGATAGAGAAGCGGTTCGGGTCCAAGATCGCGGTCGGAAGCCGGCTCGGAGTTGTAGTGTGCCGTGATCCTTGTCGATCGCTGTACGTAGGTGACGTTGTTATAACCAAGTGGTAGGTATTATCGCGGTTTCTTGCGCGGGATAGCAGGGGACGAGACAATGTCTCGAACAAGATTTAATGGGTAGTTGGAACGTGTCGCCTTCCTTCCAGATTGGTCTGATAACAAAAGGTAGGTATGGTATAGAGTACTTTCCCTCGAAATAGTAAGCGGGTAACCGTCGGTCCAAGCAAGGTATCGCCGTTATTTCGAAGCAATGAGAGCGAGCCAGACAAATTGAGTTTCCGCCTGCCGATGTCTGGAGCAAAACTCCCAGTGGATTCCTCCGTTTCGGTGGGCACTTGAAAAACGGAGGTGAGTGGCCCACGAGGGTTTGCTTGTTCTGCCTCTTCGATCAAGCAGTGGCGGCTGCGATGGTGAAGTATCGACGGAACGTTGGACACCTGAAGTCAAAAAAGGTCGGCGAGACGGACTCAACTTCCTTCTCTGAAGGCCGGAGGGAGAGCTCCACGGAACGTCCACGCCGATGCGCAGGGGTTTCGGACCCGGCGGCTGGGCTTTCGTGAATAACTCGCGCAAACGTATCCAAGATCACTAAGCAGTGACCAACTTTAAACCTGGAATGTTCCAACTTTCCAGAGAACCCGGGCGGTGATGTCCGGCTGAGTGTATCTTCTACTTCCCGGTCTCTCGGTACTATTCCAGCGTTGGGGTCCGTGTTGATGGGTTGCAAGTTGGTACGAACAAGCGCGTTCCTACTGCTTCTTGTATCGGTGGCTTGTGCGTCGGTGAGTCGAGGTAAGGAACTTTGGGGCCTCTGATGCATTGGGTCCGGATATCGGCTGGGGGTCTCTGTCCTCCCGTGTCAACTTTCCTTTCCCTCAGAAGTCTTGTCTTTTCTGTTTGCCAACTCCAAAAAGGGGCATCTCTACCTACCTACCTCCTCTTGATTTGTGTCTGCCGCGCAACTCAAGACTAAATCTGCTGTTTGAGGTTTGTTTGCTCAATCGTTTTCTCTTCTCCCCTCTTCCTTTCTCTCCGGCGCAGAGGGAAACGCGCTAGCATTTATATCACGGCACAGCTTTCTATTCACAGACACGGTATCATCTGGTCGAGGCTTGTCACTTCAGTTGCATCTCCTGACTCGTCTCATATTCTGGGGGTGGCACCCCCGTTCTATTCTCACCGGTACGTTTTGGCAGCCTCTTGGTCCGAGTCGGGATGAGATGGAGGGCAGCCGAACCCCGTGATGCCTCCAAGTCAGACAGCTAAGACAACTTACCCACCTACTGGACCCGCGCCGGCCACGACGACTCACAACGCTCATCGGGACCTGCTTAAGGATCGGCAAGAAGAAGGTGGTCATGCACATTGAATGTCTGGCTTGCCCTCAAAAGAAGACATCACGAACTGATGCAAACTGGGCTGCTCCATGGCTCCTAGACTGCCCGGCCAGGAACCCGAGGCCAGAAACGCCCCAGAATGCCCTTGGCTCAGATATGGGATTCTGTCTCATTCGCATCGCCTTGTTTAGAAACCAGTTTCCTAAACCCCCCAAGAATACCTTACCCATGGCATGCGAGGCCGGCTCGACTCCTAGGTAGTTGGACGACAAGGCTCCTGAGGCCTATGCAACCGCGCCAGCAAATACATTCCTACCCGGAGACGCCCTGTAGATGCCCTGGAGATGCCCAAGATGTCGGTTTGTTGGCACCAGGCATGGAATGGAAAGCCCTTGCCTGCGAGTCTGAGAAATGCAGCTCGGTCAACGCAAGACTTGTGTGCGCCATAGGCTTGGAAACTGGCAAAATCCGGAACGTGTGCAAACAAACATCTTCACCGCCTCGAACCTTTCCTTATCGCCTTCTGCCTTCCTTTTGACTCGCTTAATAGAAAAAAAGGAGCCTGACCGCCGTCCTAACGCAGTGATTGATATCTTGGGTAGATCCAGTTTGGGGGCATGGGCGGTACACACACCCACTCGTACATACCTGCATCGGGCAAGCACCTCAGACAATCCAGAGGCCGCCGCTGTGATGATAAGTACTCACTCTCGAGCCTTGCCTCCTGTGGCGTACTGTGTGTAAACTGGGCTCTTGAAGCAAGGTATCCTTGGGTGTGGTCATCGTCCTCCGAGCATCGTGAAGAAGAGATGGGTGGCGCCAGCGCCAGCGGCAAATATCTCTGGCATTTCTCTCTTCTTCCGGTAATCATCACCACCATTACGGCATCGTATCTGACAGGAAATCACCCCGGGCCAAGATGTGATCGTCGTCTCCGCAGTGAGTGCCGGCGGTAATCCTACCCCAACTGGCTTTTTATCTGCTCGATGTGGCCTCGACTCTCCCCCTTCTGCACGGCTACCAGCAGCAGGTCTCAGAGTTGCAGCCGCACTGTATCAACGACAAAGATGAAGGTAAACCTGTTAGAATCGCACTCTTTGCAACATTGTAAAGGTTGCAATGTGCCTCTGGGAGGTCGGGTCGGGTGTGGAATGAAGAAAGGCTTCCAATCATGTGCCGCCGATTAATGATAAGGATGACCTGCGGGGCCACCCAGACTCTGAAGACTGCCTTACCTTACCTACCTTGCAATACTAAGGTATGTAATTATGTCAAGGTAAGGTAGTTAAGGTAGATAGGTAGGCGCGGTACGGATAGGCAGGTTGGCTGAAGCCCGGGATTCGGGGGATCGTGGGTACGTATCTCCCGCCCACGAAAGGTCTGGGTCTGGGGAAGGGTGCAGCCGCCGATTGGCCGAATCCAACCGCACCAGGTGCACCTGCGTCGCTTCGCTCTGAGACATTCTCGAGCTCACCCTGCCTTACCTCCTCTGCCTCTCTCCCAACTTCCGTCCCGCTTCATCACCTCCCCACCCCTCTCACCAAGCTATCAAGCTCTTGTACCAGCCGCCTTAGCCCCCCCTCCATCCTCAGACCGTTCGCCTTTTGCCTTCGCATCTGCCTTCGAGACTTACGTTACAACTACGCGGTGCGGTACGCGCGGACACTAGGCCACCACCAGGAGATCAGAATCAGCCTACGTCGCATCACAAACCGAACAGGTGGTCACCAAATAGCCCACCCTCTTAGGCACGTTTAATCGTATGCGCCTTCCGACCCTCCCTTCCATCATGGACCATGACCCTGTATATCAACCAAGCTGACCATGTTGACTGTGGAGAAGTAACTCGACACTGTTTCCCCGACGCTCATCTGCCACGCTATACCAGTCATCTACTCCCGTGCTCTCCCAGTACTGGCGACGGAGGCCACCTCGAAGTCGCCCTCCATCCAATCATAGCTCCTCCGCAAATCGACCGCGAGCGAACTGCCCCCAAAACTGTCAAAGGCTGTCTGTCACTTGACCACCTACTGCTCGACACAAAGAGGACGCTCCCGCTCTTGCGTACATCTTTGCTATTCATCCAAGGCCCGCGGGAGGTACGATACCGGCGTGTAGCACGTCCTTGTTGCATCTCGCGGCTCCCATTTCCCATCGATACCATGGCGTCCGCTTCTTTTAGAGACTCGATGAACTCCCTGGGCTGGTCGCGGCGGGATGAAGACGTCCCCGTGAATACGGCGCAACAGTCCGGTCTTTTGTCGTCAATCAAGTCGCTAAACCCCTTTGGAAACAACAGCTATATCCAGCTTCCAACAACCGAGGGAGCCGGCGCGCCTCTGCCTGCTGCCAGCAGGAGGGAAGAGGAAGAGGGTTTTGCAACGCGTGAGTCATTTCGTCGTCGTACTTTTGCCTTCCCACCAACTCTGGCAGCTTCATCCTGGAGCTCTCAGCGCCCCTGCAGCTGGCATAGCCTCGAGTTATGATTCTCATGTCTCGGATTGCCATGTGAGCAGCTGGGCTTACGAGGTGGTGTTGTCGTGTCCGCTTCATCTTCTCCGGAACGGCCATGCTAACGTAGTATCTTCCACTTTAGTGAGTCGCTGGGACCGTTTACTCATTTTTGGTGCTTGCAACCTTGGCGCCCTCGCCTGCTTCGTCATCTGCTTCGCCTTATTCCCAGTCGTAGCTGTGCGGCCGCGCAAGTTTGTGATTCTGTGAGTTTCCAAATTCTTTTTTGTTTTGCCCTCTACCACCTACCTAGTCGCCTAGCGATCATGCCCTATTCCGCGGAGAGTTACCCTACGGGTGCCTATCAGTCCGGCTAGTTGCCGGCGCGGCAGATCGACGAAGATTTGTTTGAATCGACACCTAATGTGCCGTACCCGAATGGGTCCCTACCCTTCTGTATCTACCCGCCTTTTATGCCAGATGATCTTGCATGGCGAGCTAGTTATGAACACCTTATCCGGTGACCGAACGGCGTGATGAAGGCTCTCACAGGACTCCAGCCTTGATACAACAGTCGCCTTCTCCAAACATGCTCATCATTTGCTAACAACATCCTTCTCCCAGATGGACACTTGGCTCCCTCCTGTTCCTGGCGTCCTTCGCGGCCGTCATGGGCCCGATGGCGTACGTGAGACATCTTGTCTCCGGTCAGCGTTTACCTTTCACTGCAGCCTACTTTGGATCGCTTGGACTTTCCATGTACTTCTCTCTTGGTGTAGGTTCCATGACGTTATTATTGCTAGCTGGAAGCCCGCTGACCAAATTCCGACACAGCTTCACAGCACTATTTTGACCTTGATCTCGGCTGTAATTCAGCTGGCTTGCCTTGTTTGGTACCTCGTCAGCTACTTCCCCATGGGCTCAAGTGGACTGCGCCTGGCCACCACATTCGGCGCCAGAAGGGCCGCTGCCTGGATGACTGGTTGAAGTTATGGCTGAGCTTGTAGCTATTATGTACACATTGTAAAACGAAGATGGAAAATGAGCTTGGGATCTAATACGACAGATAGCATGCACTGTGTCTCGTAGGTGCGTACAGTATGAGTTCCATTGTGTCGCGAAGAGGCACACCTCGAAGCCTCGTTCATGTAGGCCAAAAGTATTCAGATGAGCCCTTGGCCGCTAAGAATCACCACTCATATGAGAGAAGTGTGTCATTTGCTTTGAATGGTTTCTTCCAACTTAGGTATTATGGGACGAAACGTTAATCTCCAGTCACAGCCATCCAGTTTGTTTGTCTTGAAACTGAATCCCATTTACTATAGCCTTCATCGGCTTGCATTGCTCTCTCGCCACGGCAATAGGGACTAAGCGACCCGGAAGTGAGTTCCAAGGTGGAAGACAAAGGTATCATTGCTCATGAATGGTTCAACACGACGTACGGCATTATGTATCTAATTTATGGATGACATCTTCCTTGGCTTATGTCCTCGTGTCATCCGATGGTGTGCTTCTGTTTGAGCTTCCGATATTCTGAATCAACTTGACACATTGCCGAATCAGACTGACGGCTGTATACCGCGGCTCTCACGTGGGTTCAATCGTCAATGCTGCCATCATGTTTATGAGAGACTATTGCATAGCGCCTCATAAAGAAGACCATCGAGTGATCTTCCTCTTATAGAAACTCCACGGTTAGCTCAGCTTCTTGACTGTTGACTATCTCCCAAGGGACTAATAGTTCCTTCGTGGGCTGCCTATCCGCTTCGAAAAAAATCTCTTAAAGTCCCCTTGTATAAGTGAGCTTCATCTCATCTCCTGATTGTGTCAAATTTGAAAGCTTCGAATTACGTGGCGTAGAGAAATCCGAACAAGATGGCGTAGCCATGGATAGGCTAGAAAATAAATCGTTGACTCTCATCTAGATTGATGAACGATTGAAGTTCTCTATGTGTCGTGTGCTCATACGTTCGCTTTCTTTTCCTTTTCCTTTTTTCCTTACTTCTTCCTCAAGAGGCTCTGGACTGCCGGCCCCACAATGATCGACGGATTAGCCTCTGCTGTGAACCCTTGGAACTCAAGAGAAGAGGATTGGTTAAGCACGGTACGAAGACGCCTTCTTTTTTTTTTTTTTTGACCCCTTTTGCCTCAAGTGACATTTCTAATAAGCAAGCCTAGATCCCCTCTCATTCGCAATCGATTCCATTGCGAGGCTGAGAGGGTAGGGACCGAGAAAGAGGACCTCGCGGGGGACAGAGCAGTTGCCGAAGTATCCACTTCGGACGGTGGATCCCGGCACGGCTAGGAAGGCTCGGAAGGCGAGTCAGTCCACCTCATCCAAGAGGGATACGATGAATCCCAAGCACCCCGGTGGAGAAACCACTTATTGTGCGATCGGATCCTGGGAAGCTTTGCCAAAGAGGGAGAGGGGAATAACAGGTTGGCGGCCGAAGTTTACGTCCGGCGGGCTCGTGTGCCCAAACCCTCTTAGATGAGCATTTCGTCGTTATTTGGTTGCGACAGCGCCCAGGCCCCTGTTTAGGCTCCATTGCCCTCAGATAGACGAAAAGACTTACCGTTGTCCAAGTGAGCCCTTTGGTCTTCCCAACAGAAAATGTCACTAGCTGGCTCATTTTGAAAGAAGCCGGGTATCCGTAAAGTCCTCCGGGTTTCCACAGTGACAGTCTTGTTGCGCCAGTCGATCCGTGGCTGGAGGTTGAGACAGAGTCAGCAAAGATGTCTGGTGAGTGTGGCTGGTCCCCTACTGCTTTTGATTCTCCGCGCAAGGCTCGCTAAGCCCTTTTGGCTTTAGGTAGGCGAATAATGCATTGCAAGGCTGTGTTGTGTCGGGGTGAACCACGAATGCGCATCTTTGTATGAAAGAGGTGATCTGGTCCGGGTATTGTTCGCAATGAAAAAAATAGATACCGAAAACAAGAAGCCGAGAAATAGAAGAATTGGGACCGGGGTCGGGAACTACCCACCACGTATGGATAGGCGAACCAGCTATGGAAAATCGCTGTCTCCGATAATATTTCACATGTCGTTCTCGGCGCGGTCTCACAGGGTGTCAACGATGACTAAGACAGCTAAAGTCAGAAGTGAGAGGCGGTCGTCGCGTGAGGTGGTTAAGGATTCGCTGGAGGGCCCCCCATGGCCTGCCTACCTGAGCCCCATGCCCCTGTCCAGTGCATAAGACAGCATGGAAGTCATTCTGAAAACAAATTGTTCGAGGAGGGACAGTCGAAGGTCGATGGCCAAGGAGAAGCCCTGTGGCGGTGCATGTGGCACTGACTGATGTGAAGTTAAATGACCCGTGGTACAGCTATGCGATGATGGGCACATGGAGTTGACGCCCATGGGACGAGTGAGGGCTTCAAATTAAAATGTCAGAGAGGAGGCGTAGTTATGTAATGCAAGAAAGATAACAGGCCCTGGGCAGGAGGTAAACCCGGACAAAACCAAGCCGATACAAGTAGCCGCGGTTACAGTTCGCCTCCTGACCATGGGAATTCTGAGGATTGGATGCAACACAGACTGCAGAGGAGAGGCGGTCCAACCGGCAGCCATGCCATTGCAGATGAGATAGGAATTGTGCGTGGATATGCAAATGGAGAGAAGTTCAGCCTCCAGCGGGCTTCTCAGTCTTCATTTTGTCCGCGTCAAGGTACGTACCGATATAGCCCATGGCGCCTGCCGCTCCGAAGGGTACCTGTATGGGAAAGTACGAAGTCCCTCGACGCATTTCAATCACAATTGAAGCTCGCAAAAGATCACCTAGCTTGAAAGTTCTATGCCGGTGTTGATACACAAGGGCAAAACGGGAAAACATCCAACAGATACCTAGCTTAAGGCAGGTCTGAGTTGCAGCAAGCATAGTCGAAACCATCCATCTGCCCGCTCGAGCGGATGGTGCGGTGCGGTGCGTCTGTACGTCGAAAGCAGCTCTCTGTGACATACGACACAATCGATACGAGCGAATAAGGCTTTAGCTGTAGGGCCATCACACAAAAAGGCACCTGATAAAAATGAGAGAAATTGCCTTGGCCTGGTGAACAACCGACTTATATTCGCGCAACCCCACCAAATCCGACAAGGAACCGGAGGCGGAGGATTGGGATGGGCACGCATGCAGAAGGTCGCAGCCAGCAGGAAGAAGAAGCAGCGGGCAGGCCATTCCGGGGTTAGATGGAGGAGCAGGCAAGAAAATGACCACAAAAAGGCACAGAAGTCCCGGTATTCGATTGATCAAATACAATGCCAGGCGGTTACTTTGCTGAGAACTAATACGTATCATGGTGGAGGCCCTCGAGCACTTTACAACCTAAGAGCACCCAGAATGAAGGGAGGGGTAATCAGTATAGATTTTTCTCGTTCCTCTTGGTATTTTGCCAGACTTGGGGTTTTCACTCACAACTCAACCTATTCCTGACTTACACCGAGGTGATGATCCAATGATGAGCTGCCTTCACCACCTTTCTTTGTGTCATGTCGGTCAGGTCAGGTACCTACTTCAGACGTCAGTGCTTGCTATACTGCTTATGCTGCTGCTAGCCTGCTACCTTAGTGCCTTGGTCTGCACCCTGCCCTGCCGGGTCGGAGCGATGGGCAATTTCTGCCGTTGCCGGCCACTTTAAGCCTACCCATGTCGTCGGAAGCCCTCAGTATCCGTGTTTCCTAACTGGTCCAGGCCTCATAATAAGGTACCTTTGGCCTCAGGTAGGAAATATTTCGGCCACCGCCCGCCCCGTCAACGACAGACTGAGGGTGGACTGGAGTCACTGGACGCCTCACCCACGTCAGTCGGTGGTGACCCCTCCATCCTCGGCCTCCTGCGCGCTCTCCCACTTCCAGGTTGCTCCCGCCCCTTCACTCACTCCCAGCCAGCGCCTGAGACGTGGACCTATTGGGTGCCCCGGGTGAATCAGACTTCCGATTAGATCACCATAATCAACTATTCACTTATAGGCTGTCTATTAAGGCCGATGAATGGTTGAATGGGTCTCCTATTAGATGGTGTACCTACCTTATGCTTCACCGACATGTCTTGCATCTGCCTGCCTGACCTCAGCGTCTAAGGTAAGGTAATGAATGCCCTGAGATGAATCACCAAGGTACCTACATGGAAGCCCGCGGATGAAGCACTGCCCGCACCTCAGTAAAGTCAGTGCCGTGGGGTCCCTTCCTCAACCCCAAACCTCGCAGTCTGGCAGTCACCAAAGATTCCAATCGCCCGCTGTGCCAGCGTCCTTCCACCCCTCCCCGCTAAAAAGTCAGGTCAACAAGCTGCCTCCACCTTTTACCTCAAGTGCCAACCTGGTAGTGGCTTTCCCGAGAAGAAAAAAAATTCATTCACAAAAAAAAACTCGGGCCTCAGATTTTATTCCTGGGACTTTTTCCACCTCCTCTCCCACAACCACACATATCCTCTCTCTGTCTCTCTCTCTCTCTCCCTCTCCTCCACAAACCTTGCCCTACCCGGTATCCTTGTGGTCATTCTTCCTCTGTTCACTCGTCCTGCTCGGCCGACACCTTTCTGTTCGCCCACTTTCCAATAGCGGACATTTCGTACACGACCAGCAAGACCCCTCAGGCCAACAGCCAAGCCCTCCTCCAATCGAAGCCTTGCGTTTACCGTCCTCCACGTTTTCTTTGGATCGCCGCAACCCGAGCATCTCCGGAACGCTTCGCCTCGCTTGTCCCCTCGCAAACCAAAAATCATTTCGTTGACGTACCCTCAACCCACCTGCCCTCTTCGTTTACGAGGAACACAGCTTCCACCACACCTCAAATTTTCTCGCTCGCTCGCGCGCTCCTACTGATCCATCAGCCCTCGCGTGCCTTCGTTCTGAGCTCGTTCCCGCACTCGCCCAAAACTCTAGCCAACCTACGGCTTCACTGGACCAGCAGCACCTGCTCGTCCTGACATCCTTGCGCTTTCTCAACATCTTGCGACTGCTGACGACGTCAATCGGCACCTCAGGCCACCGACCGACTCTTTCTTTCGGACCACGCGGAGAGGTTTGGTTTGTCCTCTCCGGTCTGTCTCCGCCTCAGGAGTTGCTGGTAAACTTTGGTTTACCCAACAGCAGGATACACAACAGCCCGTTCGCGGCTACTATCTTAGGACCTGGCAGGATTGGATCTGTTGATCGTCTTCCTTGGTCCCTTTTACCCCCATAGTCTTTCGAGGCATGCCTATTTCTGCATCAGACCTAGCATCAGACACGATGGCTACTGCATTTTCTTACGCTCAAGCCGCCAAAGGTCAGGCGGCCACCACACCCGCGGCCCAGGCCACCGAGAACGGCAAGGATTCCGCGAGCTCAGTAAACGGCGAACAACCGGGCCCCGAACCCAACGCTGTCAAAAGCACTGAATCCGTTGACGACGATACCTCGAGAAATACCCCTCTCAAGGCCCAACTGGCTGCGAAGCAGGATGTTTCCTCTGCCCAGGCAGAAGCCAACAACACCAACACAACATCTGCTGCCGCTTCCGTCGCTGACTCTCGACGCGATGACGAGGAGGCCGTCACCGAAGCCTCCGCTCGCCGAAGCGAGAAGAGCGTGAGGTCGGCAAGCGCATCCACTCGCGTGACTGACGAGGCCGAGCCGAAGAAGGGCTCCAGGAAGCCGAGAAAGGGCAAGGCCGGAAAGGAGTCGAGCGAGGATTCCAAGAAGGAGAAGGCGGCAGAGCAGGAGAAAGAGGAGCCCAAGATTGAGCTCGTTGAGGCGCCGCTTCCCTCGGTCAACATCTGGACCCAACGAAAGGAGACTCAGGCTCACAAGACGTCTGTCACCTTGCCCACCGCCAATGGTGCTCACAACTCATCTACCCCGGCCGACACCTGGCCCAACAGCCAGGAGTCCAAGAAGAAGAACAAGGCAGCCGACGGTGCTGAAGCCACCAACGGCGCTACTGCTGCTAACAAGCCTCAACGTAAGGCTGGCGATGTTGATGCCGCCGCCAGAAGGAATGGCGCTCGCGGTTCAAGGGTCATTGAGAGAGAAAGCCGACTTACCGAGGTCCCCCCCCCTGTTGGCGATGTTCACTCATGGCCCACGCCTGAGACGGCGGTTAAGGAGATTGTGAAGGAGGAAAAGCGCAAGCCTTCCGAGAAGGTTGAGCGGATAGAGACCGAGGTTCAGGACGATGCTGGCGCCAAGGGACGTTCCAAGGATAAGTGGGAGCGCATGGATTTTGTCCCTACTGTCCAATTCTCCACCCCCATTCCCTCAGTTAGAGGGTCTCGAGGAGGACGAGGTGGTGCTCGTGGTGGACGCGACGTTACCTCTCGTGGCGGTCACGGTGGTGCTGCTGCTGCCTCTGCTGACAAGCCGGCTGGCACTGCTACCCCGTCCAAGGCAGGAAACGAAGCCCGTGATCGTGTCCGCGATGGCAACGCTCAGGCAAGAGCCAATTCTCAACCCCCAGCTGCGAACAAGCGGGCCTCGATGGAAGTTTCCAACGGTAAGGAGCAGCGCAAGCCCACGGCGCCGAACTCCGGCGAGCGCAACAAGGAGTCGCAGTCGAATGCCACCAACGTAAGTTGCTTCCTGCAAGGTGATCGTGCGACCCCCGTCTACAATGAGTTTGCTAATCCATGAAGCAGGAGCAGGCCGGTCCTGTTAGAGAGAGAGGGGAAGGTCGCGGTGACAGAGGCCGGGGTGGATACCGAGGCCGCGGAGGTCACCCTGGAAATGTGTCCATGCACGCTCAGCAGTCTTCTTACTTGTCCAACGGCAACTCCTTCGGCTCCCAAGGTCCCAGACAATATGCCAGCCCCCCTCTCCACCAGGGTGGCAGCTTCCAACCCTCTTATGGAGGCTCGCAATCCCGCGGTGGTCGCGGCGGCCGCGGTCAGTCAAACGGCTCTGGAGCGTTCCGCGGTGCGGGTGGCCCCTCAAACTCCGGCCGTATGCGCCAAGTTCAGACCAACATGAGCCAGGTCTCCTGGGAATACGGAGTTCCCATGACCCCCGGTTCTTATGCCGCTTTCTACGAGCAAACAAGACACATCATGATCCCTCAGATGGAGTACTACTTCTCCGTCGAGAATCTCTTGAAGGATACCTACCTGCGCAAGAACATGGATAGCCAGGGTTTCGTGCCTTTGGACCTTGTCCTCGGCTTCCAAAGGGTTCGTTCGGTTGCCGATCCCCAGACTCTGCGCACCATCATTGCCGAATGTCCCCAGCTGGATTATGTTCTCGGCGACGATGGTATTGAGAGACTGCGATCTCGTACCCACTGGCAAAAGTTCGTCTATCCAAACATGGAGCTGCGATTCGATGCTGCCCGCAATGAGGGACCTCAGTACTTCTACCCCCGTTCCGTGCACGCCATGGCTCACTACGATCACGGCATGCTCGGCGACTACCCTGTTATCTCGCCGACTACCTACCCCAATGGCGCTGAAAACGGCTACGTCGCCTATCCTACCGAGGTTCAGGGCGGACAGCAGAACGGCGGCGTGAACGGTAATGCAGCCGAAACACAGCTTTCTGCTCAAGTCCCCGAGTTCCAGCCTGGCCCTACATCCGAGCAAACGGCTGAGGTGTCGTCGGAGACAGAGTCCAAGACTCAGCCTCTCGTCAATGGCTCTGCCTCCCATACGGAGAGCGCACCCTTGACAAACGGAAACCACGCTCAGCCTGCGGAAGCCCTTCAGTCCTAGTTGGACGAAGGCAGTGTCGTAGGCTATCGCGGCAAGGCGGCAGCATCGGGTGGCGGGGACGGCGGCAGCAACTTGTCGAGTCCTTCCCAACGCGCCCACCTGGTGATGCGTGTTCGAGGAGGTGAGAACTCGGTTGCCGAGTCTCACGTCGACGACGTCCCGTACCCTGAATTTCGTTTGCTTGCGCTCTCCCAACGGCAAGACACTTTCGCCGGGGAAATCTCCGGTGACATGATATCCCTTTATCGGTTCTGGTCTCATTTTTTGCCCCAGCATTTTGATTTGGAGATGTTTGAGGAGTTTCGGGCATATGCGGTGGCGGACGCCACGGGGGAGACCGTCAACACAACTGGTCTCCAGAACTTGATTGCATTCTACGAAGCGATCTTACAAGAGGACGAGGTATACCCTCTGGACAACATGGAGTTTCTCTACGGAGAAGCGAAAAGGCTAGCTGCTAAGGCCGAGATGTCTTGAGAGGTGGCATCTCGAACCAGTCCAACAAGACGACGAAGTTCTATGGATTGGGCAACTCTTGCTGGGATTTCTTCGACAACAAATTGTGTTGGACCTAGGTTGCGGACACTCGATTCTTGATCTTGGGCAATGTCGCGCATTTTCCGAGTATCGTTGAATCTGCAACGTTTTTTTGGGGTCAGTCGAAATGAGTTCGCGCCTATTGTCGTCATCAAATGATTGGAAAAAGTTATCTGCTTTTTTCTCGCAGAGGGGATGGGCCGCAGAGAGACATGCTACCAGGTGGCTAGTGACATACCCAGGAGAGGTTTGATTCGGAATTAATTGGGACGGGGGAATAATCAGAGGCAAAAATGAGGCAAAGAGGAAGGCTTCGCTCTTCTTGCGTTGGAAAATGGAAGCCTCGTCTCGAGGCGGCTTCGGACACTGGTTGATGAAAGTCTCTTCTCCGGCGTACTCGGCATTCAGGTCCGAGATGACAATCATCGGTCTACTTTCGTTTGGCGGTTCTCCTCATTATGGATGGATTTTCTCTTCCTTCTCCCCTCGCCTCATGCTAGACGAAGAAAAAAGTTTTCTTCCTTTTTAACTGCACATAGTTTCTGCATGCTTTTCTGGGACCGGCGGGGAAACGGGGGTTGGGTATGAAATGCATTCGAGCGGTCACACAAGAAATTGGAGGCAATGGTTCATGGTTCTACTAGAGTTCTCTTTCTTTTTCCCCTCTTCGCTAATCAGCACCCACGGGGATTGGGGAAAGAAAGAGACGGTATCATCACGCAATCCGTCGAGCTGATGATGTATTGTATGAATAGGACCTCTTAAAAATGAATAAACACGGAGTATTTGGCGTTCACCCCGGGTAAAACCAAACAGCATCGTTGCAAGTGAAGTCGTCGAGTCTCTCTCTGGAGGCAGTGAAGCAGGATGTTGAAGCTCACTTGCGAACGTGACATGGCACGTGGCTGCGTACTGCGAGTGAGCTCTTGATATGACTGAACTGCCAGACTGAGACTTTGAGAGGGGTTATGGTAGAAACCTCTCCATGCCTATTGACCTTCCAGGAGATATGATCCACAGGGAGATAGATCACTTGCTGACTAAGCACACCGTCTCCATCCCTCTTGCCTACCGGCCTACCGTAAAACATCTTTGAATACCTAATATGCTGTAGGAATTCAATATAACAACATCCAGACGATCCGCCTAGTCAATGAAGAGACAGTCTGACCACTACATACAAAGCTGCGTCATATCAATATACCCGAACCCCCTTACCGGACAGAAACGGAACTTTAAATATCCCAGGAATTTCTGGCCCCGTACAACAGGAGGCCCCCCAGATCCCCTCAGGGCCTCCAAATGCTAAGAGGTCTCGGTTTTACCACCCCCCAAAGCGCAGGACTATTCAGTTTAACGCCCTTGCCGCTCTTGCTCTTGCTCAGCTCAGTTCGAGCTCAGCCACGCCCATGTCGACATGAATTTATGCCTGGTACCTTACGCACAAGAAACAAAGTTCAAACAACCATATTGAAAACCAGTAATGGCGTTCCATATTAAGGCTGACTGAGCCAACTGTTTGCTTGATTGATTGTAGCGCCAACCATTGGCCGCCTGGTGCTGATACCGATCCCAGGGCGGTTAAGACGATGACAGCTTTAACATACGCTTACACCCTCCTTTCCGTCCTTTCTGATAGTAAGAATAATAAGTTTCTTTAGGCGTTAGGACGTCAACGCGATAGGGCAAAGACTAAGGGCTAAAAGCTTGTTAATCTGCCCAGAGTTAGTGCCCTGGAATCCGGATGGCGGTGTTGCCTGATTAGAGTGCCATAACATTACAATCATGCCGTCAACATCCGTGCGGGCAAGAATCTCTGTTGTCTCCCACTTTCTTTTATGCTATTTGCTTCCTCCTACAATCGATTACTTTTTTCAGGATGGGCTGTGCAATGTTGAGTCAGAGGGGTTGACGTAGGCGGCGCATGGGACATTTATATGATTTCCATAGCAAGGATCAGAAATCGGCGACGGCGTGTCTGTATCCCTTTACCTCCTGGTGGTTTTTAGTTGTATAATGCATCTTACCAATGAGGGCGGTGATGCTAGGACGTCTTTGCCAGTCTTCGTCTTTGCCCGGGCGTTTGACACGATAAGACTGTTAACGAGGGGCGAGACATGATCAGAGAAATCTCTTTCTTTGGATAAATATACACACTGAATATTGCTAAACTACTTGCATAAAATCTCACTACTAAACAGCCACGGTCCATATCTGCTGTCGACACATCACACATGTAATGGAATCCTCGCAAAAGACGAGGCGTGGCGTTTCAGAAAACGATACGTTGTGCACCAATAACTACGAAATACAGCTCAACGTATTGGAACATTCGAGAAACTAAAGGATATCGTGAGTATCGGCCCTGGCAATACATACGGAAGCTTCCGTGAGCCCGAGATCTTCATCGCTTTCCTCTTTATCGGCCTTCAGATGTGCAGGTCTGAAATGTCTCTAGGATGAGATGGAAGTTGAGTATATCCTATAGAAACAGCCTTCCATTTTTATCTCGAGAGTTGGTTCCCATATGCTATAATCACCCGTCCGCAGAGTATGGTATAAAATCAGACAAAGCCTCAACTCAAGAAAAAACCGTGTCCGGTGCCTACCCAGCACGACAAATAGCTCAGAAACACTGAATCCGAGAAGGATCCATGGAGGGCGTTTCTGTTAGACTCGAAAGTTGTTGTGCCTTTTGAAGGAGCAAACCCCATTGACTTGCTTCGAATCCTCCAGCATTGGAGCATACCTGAATCCCCCCTTTTTTTTTTTTGTATTGGTACGTCATTCAATAAAATAACGTGGCCTACTCTGATCAAAAGACCTCAAGACCCAGTCAAAATTTGGTGCTACTTACAGGAAAACGCTGAAAGTGACATTTACGTCATAGGCGCTGCGGCTTGTGTTGATGCGCTTTGGTAGGACTACAGCCGTCCCCATTCCTGCCAGCTATGTTCGCGTGTGTTGAGTCAACAAAATACCAAGGAGATACACTTGATATGCATAAGAAAACCTCCAAGGAGACCCTGAAAGAGAGTAGATCCCTTCAATTGTCGTCGAATACCCATACCCAGCCAGCTCGAAGAAGCAGACAATGCTGACCAAGTTGAAACTCCCAGAGCAACTATTCTTACACGACTTCCACTTGGAGTGGGCCGTAGACCTAAACATGTTCAAAAGAGGTATATTAGTGCGCGCGGCCGACGACACGTCTAAAGGAGAGATTTTAAGAACCGAGAGCCTTGTTCAGCTAGAGGGAAACAACTAGACGGAAATTTTACTTTCTTAGCAGCGCTGGCAAGCCTTGTGAGATTTCTCTCCGTTCGTTCTCGGCTCATTACTTGTTCCCATAGAACATGCAGCCATAGGTCGGCAGATGACCCGACCGCCGGCGACCAACTAGGCCAGCAGGGATTCGTAAACAACCGGTCGTGTGGAAATCAGGAGCTTTGTATCAATGTACATAGGAAGGGGGGTTCATGAGTAACTAGGCTTATACTTGTCCTATTTTACTTAGCCACCTTCGGGAAGTAGCAGTTTCAACACAAGCCAACAAAATATTATTCAAGTAGGATGTGACGGGGGAGAATCATGTCATATTACTCATTATTACATAAACATCCTAATCTTAGTCTCTCTGGCTGCGGTCATGACAGAATTATGGACTAGAAGAGGTGGTTGTTTAGACCGAATGATCATTATCTACAAGTCTTCATGCCGTTGCCTCATTATGTCGACCGTTTATTGCGTTTCACTCAACTTGGGCACTCGTCATTTCACTGCTTTAAAAGGCCATGACGAGACCGACAACAGCAGCGGCAACACCAGCGAGGCCGTGAACCATGGCAGTCGGGGCAGCGTTGGGGGCCTCGGTCGAGGAGGGTGTGGCGGAGCCTGAAGCATCAGTGGCGGAAGCGCCGCTGGACTCGGCGCCGCTTTCAGTCACGGTGGCGGTCTCGGAAGTAGTGGTGGTACTATCGACAAGCGTTAGCGAAGGACAAGCTGGATGATTGTATGGGTAGGAGATGCAATTTACGCAGTGGCGTCGGGAGTTCCAGTGACAGACTCGGTTCCGGTGTTCAGGACTGTTGAGGTGAAGTCGCTGCCGGCGGAGTCGGTGCCAGTGACGACGCTGGGGGACAGCGTGGGGACGACATCGGTGATGATTGTGGTCGGGATGGGAGTGACCGTGGCGGAGATCTCGGTGGTGATGGTGCTGCCGTCCGCGTTGGTGGTGGTGACGGCGATGACGGTAGGCACGGGGGTACCAGCCGGGGCGGCAGTAGGGCGGAGGCTCTCAATGGCGGACTCAAGGGCGCCGTACTGGCTGGTATATTGGGTTGGGATCGCCGCGGCGAACCAGTTGGGGGTGCTGGTGGCCTTGAGGACGGAGTAGACGTAGGACTTGAGGTCCCCGGTGACGCCGGCAGCGCTAGCGGCGGAGCCGAAGGCCGAGGTCAGGGAGTCCCACTGGTCGGTGGGAATGTAGGCCGAAATGAGGGCATCTGCGGCGGAAGTGAAGGCCGGGGCGTCGGAGCTACTGCTCTGTTAGTGCATGTTTGGGTGGCCCCGAGGCTTCCCAAGGCTGTCTTGGACCCCCGGGAGCGGTAGAGGCAGTCCTTACGCTTGACGCGCGTTGATGGGGTTGGCAACGGCGAGCTTGGTGGCAATGGCCAGAGGAATGATGGCGGACTTCATATCGAAAATCTGTGCGGTGTATCTTTTCTCAAAACCGAGGTCGGGTATCACAGGTCTATTGGAATGAGGCGGCAGAAGTTCTTCCGAGGGGTATCACTGGCTGGCTGAAGCAAACAAAGGCGGATGAAGGGAAGGAGAGTGAATTACGGAACACCGCCTCGAAGGGTGGATGACTGATTTAAATAACAGACGAAAATCGTGGTGATGCAGTCAAGAGACAAATGACGCCGTACGCGGTGAGGAGCTGGGCCGGGTACGACCAGGCCAGAACGAATGGGGAACCCATGGCAACAGCGATGGTGGAAGCGAAAGCTGGGAATTGCGCGTTTGTTCCCATTGTGAGGGGCGAGGAACAGGTGAGCCAAAATCTTGGTGTTGGTCTTTCTCACACCCTTGGTCTGTTTTCCTTGGAAAGCGGAGGTTGGGTAGAGATGCTCGATGCTTCGAGGCCCTTGCAGCCGCAGTAGTAGCAACCAGAAGCAGCTGGGCAACGGCAAAGTGGGCAAAGCGCGAACAGGGAACAAATCGACGAAGCTGTAAACGGAGGAGGATGACAAGCAGGAAAAGCAGGGCAGGGCCATTCAAGCGTGACGGGCTGAAGGTGAGGCCCCAGGTCATAGATGAGATTGTGCTGGTGTGACGTTGACGGTTGGCCCGGCTGCTTGCGTGTGTCATTGTGCCGCCGAATCAGGTCGTGGAGGACTGCCTTACACAACGTGAATGATTGCGTCGAATGGGTACACGGGTGATGGCAATGCAGTGTTGGCTCACTCGAGCAAGCAGGGTAGTTGATTGGCGCCAGGTTGCGTGTTTGCCGGCCTTGATCGTGGAATGGGTTGTTGAGGACTTGAGAGGCTGGGGAACAAGTTGAACAAGGATGAAATTACGAGGCCGAGGAAAACTTCCTCCGCGAGGTATTCTGTCAACTGTATCGGCTGAACGACCTTTGCGTTAAGTGCCATGCTTGTCCAGTTGATATCTGAAGAGCCATCTCGCCGCCCTCATGGGAATTGAAGCCACATGTGCAAAGGCTTATGGAGTACTCTGTATTCGTACAAAAATTGATTTGGTATGCAAGCGAACACTGGTGATGAAGATGTGGTTCTTCCCCGCGCTAGTAGTTAATAATCAGGTTACGGTGAAAATCTGGAAAGCGGAATAGTGGAGGTGGAGGGATATGGTTGGCGGGTAGCAGCCGTGACCCCATCTCGATAAACTAGGCCGCATCATTGGCCGACACCGTTTCCTTCAGACGAATTTCACAATGTGATTGTTTGGGCTGGGGACGGGAGACGGGAACAAGGAGTGCCCACTCACGGCCGGTGCTCCCGTTTTCCGCCGTTGATGAAGGACGAGGTAAATTGTGGACTAGACAAGACACGTGACTAGGACTCGAAGTCTAGACCGTGGACGTGTGGCACTTCCAATGCAAAGTGTGGCTGCGCCACGTAATCAGCCTCAGCTGGTGCAACAGAGGGGTGAAAAAGTGTAATATTTACGTCACGGGCTCCAGACCACCACCCCCTTTGCCTTTCCGTGCAGGTTCCCAGGTTCCCCTCTTCGAGCTGGTCACCGCGGGGAATTTCATTTGTTCCACAATCCACCTCTGCCCAAGCATCTCACCTCCTCATCTCCTCACATTCTACCTGCTTGTCATCCGTGGCTACCTTAGTGTAGGTACCTATTCGTACGTCCTATCTCTTCTGTCTGGCACGTTGATAGCGCAGTCGCTTATCAGGATCGTACTGGACGGACACTGATGAGGTCTATCGCATTTTCGGTGACCTTGAAGTGCTTGAAGCCAATGACATCATACTGTAATTCCGGTGAACCCCCCTTGCCCCCCAAAATACACCTAACCTTGTTCCTGCCTCGACGCCAGTTTCGACGTATTCAATTTCATCCTGAGATGAACAACTCCGTGGAGGGTAAGGCATTGAGGGAAGGGGCAAAAACACAAGGGTCCTCCTCAACTTCGTTTATTACAGACATAGTTGGGCATCGTCCGACGCGGTACTAAATGGGCGTTTCTGCGGACTGACCGAGCACTCGGTGGCAGCGCCCACCGTACCAGGTCCTGGGCCCCCTCTATCGGCGCTCGGCCAAGTGGAGGGCGCACTTTGTAAGGTAAGGCACAAGCGATTCCCGATACCACATTGGTCGCAATGCCTGTCGGTATGAGGTCATTCTCCCTGTCACTGCTTCGCTGTTCCTCCCCTCACTTCCGCCTCCCAGCTAAAAGCCTTCAGTATCCGTCCGTCCAGCCCCCTCCCCCCCCCCGGGCCCCCTCCCGGAGGGCCCCAGGCAAGTCGGGTCACACTTTGCAGGCGCTACATGCAGGTAGGTAGGCTATGCTAATTGCATCGAAGGCCGCGCACATGCTCTCCCTTCTCGTTGTCCTTGAGAACACCGCCTTTGCCATCTCTCGGGGCCAAGAAGCTACGCTGTTTGAAACCCAAAAAGTCGTAGCAACATCTTCAGAGGTGACTCTTCCACCAAAGCCACCGCCTGGCATCCATCACCCATCCGCCTTGTCCTTGGTGCGCAGCGGCATCGGGTTTGTCGCAGGGAGCACCCGTCCTCTGATGCCACTTATGACCGCGCTAGCACAAGTATCTAGGCGCACTAGACAGACAGCCTGGCCACTCGTCTTACTTCTTCTTGGTGCCCAGCCAATGTGAGAATGAACAAATGGAAAATTAGATGACCCCAAAAGGGCACACTACCTTCGGTCAGACGTTGGAAGGGCCTTCACAGCATGTCCTAATGACTCCTTTGCCTGCGGCTTCTATTGTGTACCTTATGGGCTGCCTTGCCATTCGGACGAGAAAAAGGGGCCCCGTTTAGGTTGTTCAAGACCTAGTTCAGAAGTACTCAGCTGCCATGTGATGGCGGATGAGGTACTTTCGCATGCCCGTCATGAATGAACATACCTTTACCTTACTTAGCATTCCCTGGTTCCCGCACCCTCCGTTTCTGCTGCCGCTCCAATGCTGCATCTCTGGAAGCAACGCTGAGTCGTCGACATGTCGCATACATGTAATCGGACGCCCTACCCTGTTCTGCCGTGCCCAGTCCAAGCCTAAGGTGACTGTATCTGGATGGCTGCTCTGCCTGAAATGTCTTGCCTGTCCTTGCCGTCCGTCTCTTTCGTTCCATGCCTGATTGCCTTTACCCTCCCGTCTGGCTGGACCCTTGCCCACCCACTTTCTCTAGCCCTGGCTCCCCCTGGTCTGCACTCATCATCTCTTACCATCCTTCATTTCTTCCCGGGGCTTGGTGCTCTTCGTCTTTCTACTTTTGACAACTCACAGACATTGCGACGTCTTCATCGACAAATTCCAACCTTCCTTCACTCTCGTCAGTTTGAACTACCATATTTAAAGGCACACTCGAAACTAAACCTGACACTTTGTCACTTCACTCATACGACTTAAACCTATTACCCCGCTTCAAATTGAAGCTATCCACCGAGCCTATTTGGCTCTTAAGCCCACTCTCGGCAAGCCCGACATGAGTTACTACGAAGAGCCTCAGCGCACCCGTCGCTACGTCCGCGAGGAGCGGCGTGAGGAGAGAATCGATCCCCGTTATGCAGACGAAGGCTACCTGAAGGTTCACCAAACGCGCGAAATCATTCCCCGAGCCCGAGAAAACAGCGATCTCTCCATTGAAGAAGTCCGCCGAGACTTCCCTCCTCCCGGCTACAGAGATTCACGAAGAACTCGTTCAGCAGAGCCCGGCTACTACGACGATCCACGAGGCTACGATGACCGGGACCGATACTACGATCGCGAACATGATCGTCGCAGCAGAAAAGCTGGCAGCCTTGTCTACGCCGAAGATGAGAGGTCCCGTAAGCGCGTTATCAACCAACAAGAGAAGATTTTGGCCGCTGTTGCCGGCGCGGCTCTGGCTTTTGGTGGCAAGGAACTCTACGACAGAAAGGAAGCCAAAGAACACCGCGGCGAAATTGAGAGAAACTATCTGACTTCTGCAGCATTGGGAGCAGCTGGAGCTCTCGCCGGTTACCAGGGCGCAGAGTACTACGGCAAGCGCAAGGAAAAGGAAGAGGACAAGTCCACCTATGTCCTCCATCGTGGCCGTGATGGTAGAGTTTCCGAGTACTACTCCGATGACGAGGGAGACCGGGAGAAAAAGGGACATAAGTCTTTCTTGGAGAACGCTCTTGCAGCCTCTGGTCTGGGAGTTGCCGTCAAAGCTCTCACAGGCGCTAGTGGTGGTGATGACCGGCGCAGTGACACCAGAAGCCGACGAGGCAGCCCTGACTCGAGATCCTCTCGGTCCAAGTCTCGAGGACCTGGAGGAGAAGCCGCCGGCAAGATACAGAAGGCTGCCATGGCTTCCCTGATTGCTGGAGCTACTGAAGCTTTCCGTGTTGCCAAGGAACCCGGTGGCTGGAAGGGCGAGAAAACGAAGCGCATCATCACTGCCGCTGCTGGTGCGGCCACCATCGATGCCGCACATGGCGGCGAGAAGCAGAGCAAGCTGAGCTTGGCTGAGTCCGTCATTGGCGGTCTGGTCGGCAACCGGGTCATCAACGGATCCAAGCGCAACATCGAGGAGGACCGACGGACCGGGCGAAGCAGGTCTAGGTCGCGCGCTCGCTCTGAAGGCGGAGGCGGAGGACCGGGCTTGGCTGCTCTGGCCACTGCCGGGTTAGGTGCCTTTGGCGCCAAGAAGGCAATCGAGAACGTCAAGTCCCACAGCCGCGGCCGTAGTGCCGATTCTTATGACAGCCGGGCTTCAAGCCGCGATGGTCGCGACAGTCGCCGCCAACGAAGCAGAAGCCGCAGCGTTGTCGATTCTGCACGAAAGAAACTTGCCAAATTTGGCATCGGCAGCAATCCGGAAGAGAAGGAGAGAGAGAAGCACAGCCGAGATGATGGCTATTACGACGATGACCGTAGCTCTCGACGTGGCATGACCCGAAGGTACTCTGATGAATACGACGACGGCTACGACCGGGGTTCTGGACGCGGTGGACGCGATGCATACGATGACGACAGATCGTCGTACACGAGCAGGCGCCGGGACCGTTCTCGCCGCAGAGGAGGAAAATCGGACGCCAGTTCTGATTCGGATCTTGGGGACTCGGACGATGATGCAAAGCGTGCGAGGAAAATGAGAGGTAAGCAAGTCATCACAACCGGCCTAGCGGCCGTTGCCACTATTCACGCTGCACATGGGGTCTATCAAAGTATGGAAAAACGCAATTCAAGGCAGAAGGCTGTGAGGGAAGGGCGACTAAGCCCAGAGGAGGCGAAAAAGCTCAAAACCAAGGCTCTGGTCCAAGACGCTGCCTCTGTCGGAATTGCTGCTCTCGGTATCAAGGGTGCCTGGTCTGAGCTCAAGGAAGCTAAAGAGATGACACACGAATGCAAGCAATTCCAACACGAGAAGGAAATTCGACATCAAAAACGACTTGAGCGTCAGAAGAAGCTCACCGACGGCCATGGTGGACGAAGAAGTAGGGCTGACGACTGGTACTCTTCTGGCTCTCCGCGAGAAGAGCGGTATGACTACGGGTCTATATATTACGACGACAACCCGTACTCTGCCGGGCACTTGCCCGCACCTCCTGTCGGCTACGATGATAGGAGATACAGAGACTGAAACGCCTGATCGAGAGCACTTCAGTCCTAAACCTCGGGGTTTTTGGTCTTCGTCGGCACTCTCCAGAGTCCTCATGACCACATCCCCACTCGCATTGGATATTTGCCTCATTATGTCCTCAGTTCCTCAGCCTCTTCGACGACCTATACTGCCGGTATAAGACATTACGACGCTACGACAAATTTCTGCAAATAAATTTTCAGCCACAATTATTCTGCTTTCAAACAAAACCGGGAAAGATTTGGAAAACTAAGGGGATGTGGCAGTGGCGTTCCCCACGTCTCACAATGGCCCTCGACGAGCGCCACCTTGCATTGCGTTTACTCAGATAGATGGATTCCCTTTCCCCCTTTGTTGCCAATCTACACGCATTCTTCCCTTGTACACGAACCATAACTGATTCTAATTGGATTGTGACAGACCAACGCCGCCGTTACTAATCGGCCTGCGCCGCCATCAAAAACCCAGATGCATCATTACTGGTTGAGCCGTTGTCGTCGGCCCCTGCGGATGACAGTAGTACCAAACGGAGGGAATGATAGCATGCAGCTCAGACAATATGAGCAAACGATGGAGCCGAGATCGAGGCCGATCGCAAAGGCTTGATTGGAACCATCAGTTTTTTCTCGATTTAAGCCATGTAGGGAGAGAAAGAGAGGTCTGGCCACCACATGGAATTGAGGCAACTAAGCGGACCCTGATGAGAAGGAACCCTGTTACCGGACATTTTCCGCTAGCGCGGGAATGGACAAGCGGCGGTGAGAGAAGGCGGCTACTACTTGCAAAGATTGGGGAATAGGCGGCGGGAAAGCAGGGGTGGCATATGCGGGATGATGATACACGACGGAAAAGACGGCTCCATGGGTATTCGTACTCGGGCCAGCGCGGGATCAACATCGTGGAAGTGCTGGGATGCATTCGCTATTCCTCCTCTTCCGCCTACGCCACTGTAACGACGCGATGTTTTCTGGTCTCTTCTTTAGTTTCATAATTTCCTAGTTAGATAGGAGGATGGCCATTTTTTGTTCTATGATACTGGACTGGATACGTAGATTCCGATGTTACGAGTGTAAGACATGACCCTTGCGCCGTCTTCTCTTGACTCCCTGATCTTAGCCGTGCCGGGGCCACCCTTTGGTGATAAATAGATTCATTGCGCTGTGAAGCTGTGGTACCACAGCAGAAGATCCCTCGGCAAAAGCCGTCGGGCCCGAAACAGCCCACACTATCTCTTCCCATGTCGCCGCCAACAATCAGAGTCGAGGACTGTAACCCCCCTAGTACTTGTGTGCTCTCTTCCGTGAGCGTGTAGGGCATGTTACCGAGTAGATTGGGCTGCTTCCTCTCAGGTTTCTCTGGCAGATCGGAAAGAATGAAGGGAAGTGGGAGGGAAGTGGGAGGGAGGAGAGTCCCCCGCCCTACCAAATTTCCTGGCAGCAGCTCTGCCAACTTTTTTTGCCTTGTCTTTGGACCCAATGACCATTCTGCAGCGAAGATACCTAAGACGGGTGGGCACATTGGCAACATGGGCAGAGGTCGGCACCGCCCGTGGCCTGATGTTCAGCTAGGCAGGGGAAGGCGGTCAAATCGATCCTGTGCGTGGTTTGGCGTCCTGTCGTCAACCACGACAACGAGTAGGTAGCACGCTACCGGTGTGCTAATGGGGGCCAAGGCAGTCTTCGATACTGCGGCAGTTTGACACTGATTGTCGTGAAAAGGGTGGCAGGTGACAGGCGGCTGAGCAATCAAGGGGAATGACATCATCGTACATTCGCCGCATTATCCTGGACACCCCACCCCCCCTATTTGCGCCTGCAGCCGCTATTGGTGAAGCATCGTCAGTCAGATGACTGGTCTTACATATCCCGCCGCCATTCTGATGATGGCAAGCCCCGAATTAGCGGTGCCTCTGGTGTCCTACCTACTGCTTGCTGGTTGTGGTGCGAGACTGATTTGTTACGTATCTATCTGGCTGGGCAGGAGAGAACGGAGATAGTCTCGCGTCGCTTAGGGTTCGCCGGCCCACCATACGACGGGAGCTTTCAGATGACTCCTTACCCGGGATGTCTATGGCGAGATGATGGCAATCTGGAAAAGATGAGACACGTTTGGTCCGAACTTATTTTCTGGCTGAGAAAACTCGATTTTTATTGAATTTCGACAATGGGTATGCGTAGCACCGGGTAGATACAACGACACTTTTTTCTCCGACGGATAGGTGTCTTTCATGCCGCAGCATCTCCTCCCTGCTGCTTCCAGGCCTGCGCCATGGCCAACAGATTCGAAAGGTTCTGCGTCTGCTTGTCGTCGGCAGGGAAGACGTAGTCAATGTACTCCTCGAAGCTGTCGTCATCCAAGCGCCTTCTGCGCTTCGTCTTACGTGGCATCAACTTCTGCACATTCTCCACGTCGTCGTCCGCGCCGTGTATCCTCTCAAAGGACAACCACGCGTTGAGCAACGTGACCGTTTCCTCCTTAAGCTCCTTGTCGCGCATGCTCTTGTGCGCGCGCTCAAAGACCTTGCGCGCCCTGGCTTTGGCTTCTCGACTGACCGGTGCCTCCTCCCCTGCTTCTTCCTCGTCCTCGGGTATGTTGAGCTCGAAGTGGGCGTAGCTGATCCATACCTTGACGTGATCGGTCTTCTCCAGTAGGCGCTCGTAGAGCTCTCTCGTCCGCTCGTACTCTTCCTCCTCTTCCTCGAAATCGATGTAGGCTTTCCAAAGCAACTCGGGCATGTCGAGAACGGGTTGGCTGACAGCTAGCTCGAAAATGGCCCTCGTCCGCTCCAAGTCGTCGAGGCCACGCTCAAGCTCGGCGAACTTGATCCATGTCTGGCAGTTGGAAGCGTTCCATTCAATGTGCTTTTCGTAGAGTGTTCGGCAACGCAAAAACTCAAAGAGTTTCAGTTCCAACTCTATGTAGCCCCTGAACAGCTTATCCTTCGGGCACATGCCGATAGCCTGGCCCAGGGTCTTGCGAGCCGCCGTCAGCTCACCCTGCCGGATCTCAAATTGCGCTTTTAGCAGCCAGACCTTAGCAAAGGTGAACTTCTTATGGGGTATCAGCTCTAGGCAAACCTTGTAGATTTGCCTTGCTCGCTCCATGTCTTTTGCCTGCAACTCCTCGAAGATGGCGTAGTTGATCCAGAGGTAGATGTATCGCCTCCAGAACCTCTTCTCTTGCGCTGGTGGTACTTGCGACACTGCCCTCTCGTAAATGTCTCGGACTCTGTCAAGATCGCCTGCGGTTTCCTCAAGACGAGTGTAGTCGAACCACGTATCGTAATTCTTCGGGTTCTCCTTGACCTGCGCTTCGTACAAAACACGGCGTTTGGAAAGCACGACATCCTCGACGCCATCCTTGTCTCCGAACTGCTTCTCAAATGTCGTATACGCCTTGTGGAGAGCCATGGATCTAGAGCGGGGGAGGCGATCCAGGGCGTACTTGAAGATTGCCCTAGCTCTTTCGTACTCCTTCAACTTCGCCTCGTATCGCGCATAAGCAATAAACAGCTTCTCGTCAACGAAATCGTCACCCAGCTCTTCGATCGCAGTGCCAAACACATCTCGCACCATGTCGCTGGTGCCGAACTCCTCCTCAAACTTGGCCCACTTGATCCAGTTTCTGGGCTCGGGATGGACGAGAGTGAATGCTCTGAAGATATCTCTGGCTCGGTCGAACTCATTGTACCTCTTTTCCAGTTTTATATATGCGCTCCATGCAGATTCATCGGGCTGCCATTGCATCCAACGGTCAAATACTTGGCGAGTTCCTGGAACGTTGCCCAGCATCTCCTCCATGTATACATATTTATACCAAAGTTTATCGACTCGAGGTAGTCGTGTGACGGCCCTGTCGAGTAAATTTCGCGCATGGTTGATATTTCGGCATTTCACTGCAAGTATGTCAGCCATCTGTCTCGTCACGTAGTCTTCAGTATGGATTCCTTACTCTCCGACTCAATATATCTGATCCACAACTTGATCTCATTGGGATGCACATCTAGAGCGCGCTCGAAGATTGATCTTGCGCGCGCGAATTCCTTCTGCTCAAGCTCCCAATCCGCATATCGCATCCAATTGTTGAGATTGACTCTGTTGCGTCGCACGTAGTCCTCGAATTCTCGTCGTTTCCGTCCTTGGAATTCGTGCAGCTCCTCTAGATCGGCAAACCGCTGGGTAGGTGCTTGTAAGGCGACCTCTTGTCGGTCAACAGCCTCGCGAAGAAGTTGCTCGGCGGAGATCTGAACAGGCGCGGCGGCCTTGTTCTTGACCTTTGGGGGTCCTCGTGATGCTTCCATTGTCGCGAGGTTCAGAACAGAATCGAAGTCGGTTGAAGTAGGGAGGACGCGCAAAGTCGCGTATATTTAGTATCGCTGAACGTGATTAAACCAGGATTCGCTCTTGCCTGTGTACTGACACGTCGAGTTGCATCAGCTCGTTGAACAATTGATGATACTCTATGTCGATCGCAAATGCCAACAATTCTCAGGCCCGAGGCTGAAGCGTACGTAGTGGAAAAACGCAGCTCTTATCGGCGCTAGCCACTCCGATAACGAATTCCTGTGGCTGTGACCCACCTAATGCAGTAAAACCTACGTAGCCTCGCGAGGCTTCCATAACCTTACCTCTTCCCAGACTTACAATTTCGCCGCGCCGTCTTCCCAACACGGGTGATTTTATCACCAAAGAGCCACCTCGACAGCTGCGACCGGCAACATGGCGACTCTCGCAGACGAACTTCTCAATGATTTTGAGGACTCTGGCTCGGAAGCAGAGGAGACTCAGCAAGATCATGATCCCTTAGGCCTCGATCACGTACCCGAAGCGAGCGGTCGCAAAGCATCGGGCGGGATGGATCTGGACGACGATCGGAGCGAACCCGAAGATGAAGATGAAAAAATGGTCGGCACCCTAGAAGGCGCTGTCGATTCTGTCGAAGATGCAGAGGATACAAAAGCAAAGGTTGAAAAGATGCAGCTGGGTGGTGTCAACGACGTTCGCAACGTCGCCAGTCTAATGTCAAATCTGGAGCCTGTGCTAGAGGTTAGTAACCCACCCGAAACACGACTGGCTCTTTGGAAGCTGTGTTTACACCATCTCTTGGGAGAACTAGCCCTAACATCGCAACTCGAACGTCACAGAAAATCGCACACTACCAGTCACAACCGATCCCTACGGAGCTGCTCGGCAATATCGAAGACCACCCCGAATACCACCTCCTGACACAATCGAACAGTCTATCGACTCTCATAGATAGCGAGATCGTCTTGGTACACAAGTATATCAGAGACCATTACTCGATACGATTCCCAGAACTTGAAACGCTCATCACCAACCCGCTGGAGTATGCGAAGGTTGTTGCGATCTTGGGCAATGGGCCGCTTGATTCGGAGAACATCAAGAAGCTTCAGCACTCAACGGACAATATCCTTCAAGTCTCGTTGCGCTCTGTCCTCGACGGCCCATCCCTCATGATCGTGACAGTGGAGGCTACAACAACGAAGGGCAGACAAATGTCGCAAGAAGAACTAGAGCGCGTATACAGAGCTTGCGAGATGGTTATCTCCCTTGACAAGGCGAAGAAGACCTTGACGGGATATGTCCAGTCGCGCATGAATCTTTTCGCGCCGAATTTGACTGCTATGATCGGTTCCTTGACAGCTGCTCAACTGCTGAACGCCGCCGGTGGTCTTACTGGTCTATCCAAAACACCTTCGTGCAACATTGCAGCATGGGGTTCGAAGAAAGGTGCTGGTGCCGCGGGCTTGGCTACGAATATCGGCGTCAGGCAACAGGGTTTTCTCTACCACTCACCGATCATTCAGGGCATTCCCAACGATCTCAAGAGGCAGGCCATGCGTATCGTATCAGCTAAGCTGTTGCTTGCGGCCCGTGTGGACAGGATTCACTCCAGCGCCGACGGTTCGACAGGCGAGGATCTCAAGGAGCAGTGCCTCACAAGACTTGAGAAGCTTACGGAACCGCCCCCGAACAAAGGGCCCAGGGCTCTCCCCGTGCCTGACGACAAGCCTTCCCGCAAGCGTGGTGGAAGAAGGGCAAGGAAGGCCAAAGAGGCTACGGCAATGACAGAGCTGCGCAAAGCCCAGAACAGAATGGTCTTTGGCAAGGAGGAGCGCGAGGTCGGCTACGGTACGGGGGAGACCACCGTAGGCATGGGTATGATCGGACAGGGTAACGATGGTAGAATTCGTAACCTTCAAGTCGATCAACGCACGAGAGCAAAGCTCGGTCAGAAGAACAAGGGCTGGGGCGGCGCAACACCCGTGAACGGAGCCGCATCTTCGCTCAAGGGCTTTGGACAATCGGCAAACTCCAACATTGACCTACGCGGCAAGGGCCTGAGGACGTCAGGTGTTGGCACGTCGCTGGGCGCGGGAGCGGGCACGGCGTCGTCGTTGGCCTTCACACCCGTCCAGGGTCTGGAGCTTGTAGACCCCAAGGTCCAGGCTGAACTCAGTCGCAAGCGAAAGGCTGAAGAGGACCGGTGGTTCAAGGGCGGCACCTTTACTCAGGTCGCGGGCTCGTCCAATGATGGTTTCAAAAAGCCTGACTTGCCTCCCCATAAAAAGGTAGATACCGGCGCCGGTAAGATGGGACCTCCACCTCCGCGGGGCGGCTGAGGGACCTGGCCTACGCGATGTGGCAAGGGGATGTTCATGGTAACAAGCAGGGATTCAAGAGTTTGGAGAAAAGATATACCTTGAGGGGAAGGGAATCTTCGAAGCATATCACTCAACCGAAAAGCTAGCCCCCGGCAGACATAAGGAAAGGGGTGTGTGGGGGGGTGGTTGATTGTTAACGGGTTCCGCGGCTGACAAGAACCGATCACTCGGCCGGCGGATATAGCGTGCGGCGTTTTGGAAGGTTTCTTCTTTTTTCCAGCCATCGAATCAGCAGCATACCTTTTAGGCATCTTTGGCGGGAACTGTAACGAGACGAAATGCCATTGTCACTAAGTGTATGAGAGAAGAGTGTCAAAGACGTATGTGTGTTGAGGTGTAACTTCTTGTCCTTAGAGGAGTCCTAGTTGCCGGCGCATTGCCATTCAGGCTGTCGGCAGTTCTTCATCTCGGCTCCTAAGTTACTGAAAACTTTGGACGACTAATAGAAGAAGTAGAGCAATCGCATGTTACGTTTGCAATAGCCCAACGACCGTGTCGATCAAACGTCTTTTGTATTCCAGGCGCATCTTTTCCCTCTCTCAGTAAGCCGTGTGCTGTAATATCCTCCCAAAACACCAACATTTTTCTCTTCTTTGCAAAAAAAGTATGATTTTGCAAAAACGTCTTTGCGGTTCATGCCAAAATTCTAGCTCCTTTGAAACACGTTTGGACGGATGGCCTCACCGTCTTTCTTCCTTTCCAATTTTCCCTCCCTCCTATAAAGTATGCCGTTCGGCCAAAACACCAGTTGACGCCGATAGGAATCGAACCCAACTTAGTCTACTAAGCGTACCCCCGCTTCACACGATACCCCCATACAAGCGTGCCCTCACGTACTAAGCGTACCGAGTACATACTTAACCGGTGTACTCCACCGTCCGGGATCGAACCCATAGGCTTTAAGAGCAACGCATTGTAGGGTTTATCGGCGTCAACTAGACTAAGTTGGGTTCGATTCCTATCGGCGTCACCAAAGTATGCCGTTCGGCCAAAACACCAGTTGACGCCGATAGGAATCGAACCCAACTTAGTCTACTAAGCGTACCCCCGCTTCACACCTATCCCCTCACGACCCTTGATTCGGGGGCCGTCGATCATCATCCATGCCTTACAAGGTACCGTGCTTGGGCAGCGTTGTTGGGCGAGCAACGTCAGAAACGCTCGTCCCTTTTCGAGAACCACACACAGAAAGATGGAGTGATAGACGACGGAAGACGATGAACACGAGGGAAAATCGTCGGCAGGTCGAGAGTCTAATCAGACAGGAGAGGGCCGTGATGGCCTTCTGCGTAAACCCTATCCGTAGAGACCTTGCTTGCCCACCGTCATTCTTGGCCCAGCTCTTCCCTCCCTCCCCTTTTCCCCCCTTCCACCCCCGACCGTCTCGCGAAAGCTTCAATTGGAGGACGACCGCGAGGGCTCGACCCGCGCGCGAGACGACGATTCCTATGAATTGAGAACAGACAAAATGCATCGGTAAGGAAAGAAAGGTTCTTTGGGGCCAATAACACACGAGATGAAGCCCGCCCATCATCTGTGCCATCACGCGACCGCTGTGCAATTTGAACGCCCGAGCGTGTTGTCGTTGCTGTAACGAGGCTTTCCAGACTTCGACTGGACTGGGATTCTCCGGGGTATCCCGCTATGAAACGCCGGGCTTCGAGGCTCGAGGCTCGGGCCTGCCTATTTCTCCGCCCTTTCCCCTGTTGTTGCGCGAATCTGCCCTCCATTTTTGTTTGTGCTTTCCCCCTTCGAAGGTTAGGTTGCTGTACTGGACCCCGAGGATCCCGGAGTCGATTCCGACGGGCGAGCGACAGTGATTGCGCCAGGAACGGATCGACGTTGACGATAGAGTTTGAGGCAACATTGAAATGCTTGACGAGAGCCTTGCGGGTTGGCATGCGTACATATCGCGAATTGCGCACTTTTGGCATGTCAATTGTCGTCCACTTTGCGGGAGGCCGACCCGTATTCTTCTACCAAGTCCGTAGAAAGTTGTCATTGTCTCGTGCTCATTGGCGCAATGGGCGCAGATCTCAATGGCGCGAGGGGGGTGCTGCAAACTTGCAATAGGCTTAACAATGCGCCGGCGTGCCTGGAATAATGGGCACACGTTTCGGTTGGCAGTGGGCCCCGTTGGCCCAGCACCTTCTGCTTATCCGTACACATAGGGTATTTCGTCCGCGGCCGAAAGACGAGCGGGGCCGGTAATGCATTCCCTCTGCCACAATGACGTATCGCTGACTACCTTACCGTATGATATGAGGGTTTGTATAGGTCGCTGGAGCGGGGAGTCAGACTGCAAGTTGCAGCCTCTCTACATTGTATAGTGTACACTGTACGGAGCACCAGCCACTACACAGTATCGGCACTGTGTAGAGGAGAGTGGGCGCGGCCCCAGAGTCCCTGCCCCGGTGAGCTCTGCGAGGTCCCTGGATTTTCCTGTTGGTATCCGAATCTGTATCCGCAACCGCAAGGGTAGGAGGGGAGCGTCCGGATCGGAGAAGAGCAGAAGAGGGGAAAGGGGGACCAATGCCCTCCCCTCCATCGTCGTATGTTTGGAATCATTAAACAGATGGGGAAAAGACAGGCATTACATTGGTAATCTTGTGTCGACTATGGCTTGTCTCATCACCTTCTCTGGCAAAATGGACGTCTTCTGTTGCATCAGCACATCAGCATGGTCTGGCAGTTCGCTTTGATGGCAGCAGCACGGAGATTTGACTTTGTGGCTGCAGCTGAATACCATGTTGAGAGGACGGTCCAGAACTTCAGGGACCAGAGGATCGTCCTGATTACCGCAGGGAAGCCCCCCGACAAGACACGACATTTTACCCCCAGGACCTCAGTCAACAAGGGGCCCGACAACACGTACCAAAGGGAGGCTTCCAGGGTTAGCAACACTCCCCCGAAAAAAAAAGAAGCCGGTTTTTGTTTTTTTTCGCACGAGCAAGCCAAGGCTTTCCCGTTGGCTGATTGACCATGGCTGACACCTCTCCCAAGTGTCTGTATTCGTGGCCTCATGTCCCGCAGGCTGATTTTATTCGTACAGCTTGCCAGCAACCACCAATTGCTTGGGGGCTCTTCCTTGTGTATCTAGGAACGTCTCCTTGGCCGCACCATGGAGAGCATAGAGCGGGTGCCGCCGGGCAAGGGATCCGACCTCAGAGTTTGGGTATAAAAGTGGAAAATGTGGACGGCGGTTGGGTGCGAGGGGAAAAGGAAAAAGAAGAAAAGGAATAGAAAGACAGGCTACTCACAAGGGCCCACCTGCCAATGCCCCCGTCTTCGGGGAAGACGTAGGGATGAAAACTCAATGACGTGAAGGTGATGGTGGGTTATATTGGTCCCAGCCGGACTGCGGGGAGACACCCTTCATCTCCGACCAAGTGGCCGGGCTACTGCAAAAGGGACATCGCCGCAGTGCCAGCTGGTTGGGCAGGCGGAAGACGAGGTGGAGAAAGCAGCGTACTCTCGAAAGTCGAAGTGTGGGCAGAAAACGGAGAGCTACCCATTTGCCGAGCTGAAGCCGGCCCGTATGAACACTCGCTGCCCGAGGATCCGAATACCCAGCAGTGTCAAGATCAATGTAAAGAAGACGCACCTCAAGGTGATGGAATTTGGCCTTATGGCCTTGACCCTGTTGATTTGGGGGGGGAGGAAGCATAACCGGCAATTGAAGCGACACCGAGGACAGAATCGAGACAATCGTTTGGTGGATAATGCATCAATCACCACCTGCAATTAGTCAATACTCAATGCGAATTACACTGGCACGCCGCACGCCGCGCAACCACATTCGCAGGCTTGCTCGCAAGGAAGCAACGAACTTGTTTCTCTAAAATCAGCCGTGCCGTAGTCCGTACCTGGGTTGTACAAAGAATAGTATATGCTTAACCCAAAGGAAAGTCAGTCAGGTTGCAGGCTTGAGCGCGCAGGGCAAGCCTGACACAGCCTGTCAGCAAAGGTAGCTACCCTTGGGAGACATTTAAGCATGGAGCTACCTTACCTTAGGTAATGAAGCTCCATCCCGTGGTGGGGAGAGGTGCCACTTTCACAGTTTGTCGGTGGAGTGGAATGGGATTGTGGACTCGTCTAGGCCTTGCCAAGGGGCATCCGATATATCCGCCCGGCACCACGGCGTGGTTGAAACCAGGGTGCGTTGGAAGGCTATCATGTCCCTGTGGACCGCAGACCATGGTATTTCTGGCACGAGTGGAGCCGTCGCAACTGTGCGAGAGAGCCTGAGGGGGAGAGAGGGGCGGCAAGAGAGTTTTCGTCTTCGGGATCAGATGTGTCGCGAAAGACCCATCTATCTACGTCACTCTGGCTGGTGAGGGACGACAACGATCCGCCGAGAATGATACACCCCGGCGGAGTTCTAATTGTTAGTCCGACAAACTGCCCCATAAGTCCATAACAGCGTAGCTTCCAAACTAATTTTGCAGAAGTGTGTTGATATTAAGATCCCCAACTCCCGAAGCACGTTAAAGTCGTCGAACATAGGTTCAATATGAAAGTTCTTAGGTGAATATAAGAGGGAAATATATTCCAGTTCGTATCTCATATATATGGGCTTGTAATATACCAATACTTAGAGCCCCGACGGGGTGTAGGTATGATACTCCTACTGGACCCAAGAGCTGCCTAGAAAACATTTTCTGACCCTGGCAACAGGCGGTGGTGGTTGCGGCGGTGATGGCTTGGTGAATGCGTCAATGCAATGAGGGGGAAGATATCAGCTGTTTCCCTTGTCACCTTGGCAATTGTCAATGTCTCGAGGGAACCGTTGCCCTGTGTACGCCTCGTTGCTCCAGCTCTTTAGATGACATTGTGCAGGAAAGGAGCGCATACCCATAGAATAGCCGGCGTAAGAATGTGTTTGTACTGAGCAACACATGCAGAGACATATGGTGTCGGAGCAGGCACTCCGGAACGTGTGTCCCTGTCAATCGGGATCGGTGATCGTTGATCAGTTATGATCAGGCGGAATATTCTGCGGCTGGTGCGATGTTATCTTCAGGGTCTGAATGGTGCATTACTTTTTGGGTTGGGCTCCGTCAACACTAACAGAGAGGGTCCTTGGTTTGGTTCCCTAGGGGTCATGATCGTCGATCTACTGTGTACCTTAGGTCTTCGCAGTACCTAACGTAAGGTAGCTGAGGATGGAGGTGGGGAAAGCTTGAGGAGTGCGCGGGCACGCCGCATGCCTAGCGGCCACAGACGTTCTCCAAGGAATTGGACGGGAAAGTAAAACGGGGCGAAGGTGTGCGGGGCCGTCGGGCTGGACTTGCACCCTTAAAACGCAAAGTACACATGCAGAAAAGGCTGTAGTGTCTCTATCCGTACAAGCGAGATAGGTACCTGTACCTCATGATCCTGCTTACATGACACCCGATGGCTTATCTGAGTGCCCAGCAGGAACGCCTTCGAAAGACTGTAGTGAGAGAAACGACGGAATCCAGTTCGTGCGGTATTTACTCTACTTCCCACACCAACGGCATGACCTCAGATCAAGGCCAACACATGTAAGGATTATCATGGAGTTGAAGCGCCAAAAGGACCAAACAACAGCAAACTCTGACAAGAGCACCAAAAGTATACATGTGCACAAATTTTGGGGACGCAAATGGGCAAATAAGTAGGGCAGCAGGGCGGTGCATGGTTGACGGCAAACGGACTGGTGTGGGTTCCGTGTTTGATTTGGTCGAACGGTACCGTCCGACGGGGCAGCTAGGACCCTGGAGATCGGAAAATACGAAATGATGCACCATGCCTACCTCAGTCATCGACAATGAGGGACAAGTCACCACCTTATGGATTTGTACTTGCGCAGTCCCCTTGTCCCCTCTGGTGATTGCGCCACAGGGACGTGGATTACTAGAGACGGAAGGAAGCGAGGCAATGAAGCACTTAAGAATGCCGAAGTTCTTGGACTGGATAGATGAAAGACTTGAATGGGGGACGGGTGATGGTCTACGGATACTGTACACGGTACCTAAGTAACTTATTAGGATCAGAGCCAAAATGGGGTAAGAAGGGACCCTCGAGGGCAGGAACACTGCAGCACCATTCCGGACGTCGCAGAGGCAGGGAGGGGGCGATTAAGAATGGCCACTACAGCCACACCCCTCGCTCCCAAAATGGTATATTTTCCTTAAGCTGTCCCCATAGTGCTCACTGCTCTTTCCTACGGCCCCTCGGTACCTGGAGCCCAAAGAACCCGAAGACGGGCGGTCGGGAGCAGGGGTTTTTTTACAATGGCAGTTCAAAGTCGAGGGGTCCAGCATGGAACACACCATGCCAAGGTGCAAGGTGGGGCCGCGCCAGCCCGCCAGCCCGTTTTGAGGACAATGGGGGCCTAGATGCTTTTTAAACCCGATTCACTGCTATTCTCGAGATCTCGAGGTTAACTGGTGAGAGAAGTCAGCCGTAGGACCCTTCGATTCTGTGACGCCGCAAAAGGAGAGAAAAAAACTTGCTTTGCCAACCCAACCCGCCGACTCGTTCCTTGGAATGGCGAAGCATTAGCGCCGCCGACTTTGGGCCACACGTCCCTGGAACCCCATCTCCTCTCATGGTAATCGCGATCTGTTTGGCGATTGCGATGGCAATGCACTTGCACTTACGGATACACTTGCAGTCAGTTACTGTCGCTGTCGCTGTCGCAGACTCTGCTGGTACTGACCAGCTCATCTACCCGGCTTCAGAACGCCCCTAATATTCCCTCATCCCTCGTGCTTCATCCGTCGCCTGGCGTCGAGTGCTCTCGCATGGTCCCCGACGCTCTGGAGCTTCCCCTCCATGTCCCCTAACTTGTCTTGTCGATTTTGCAGTTGATATTTCTTTTGATTACCCACGAGACGAAGCAAATTTAAAGTACCTTTTTACCCGTGGCGGTTCAAAGCTGCCTCACCGTCTTGAGCTAAAAAGCGACTCCACGTGTTACATACTTGACAGCCATGTACCACCTCGCCCCGTCTTAGGTAAGCTAGTCTTGCCTTCTTCGTGTTCGGACCAGGTCCCATCCCTGCGCCTACTCCTATCACTCATAAGGGCCAAATACTCCATATTGCATATGCATATATAACACGCCGGCTCCATACTGATACAGCATACACTAATTGCTGGTATCCGTATACACTTTTTAAGGGACCACGTCCCATGAGTTCGTCCACCAGTGGTGTCATCCAGGGCACGCCGCACCGAACCTCACGCCCACAGCACGGTACCTTGCACCCTGGCTTCAGGGTGGCTTTAAGTACCTAGGAAGCTACGGGAAGCCGTCGTTCCCAATCTCTGGAACGTGCACCACACCGCTTGAGAGGGTTCCGCCTGCCGATAGTCCGACTATACTATACAAATCTGACCGGAGAAAACTCCGGTCGAGATTTACTAACACACGAAAGCCATGGTTAAGATTTTGGCTTTCTGCGTTGCACACAATCGAACTCTGACGAACCACCGAAATCAAAGCAACACTCAAATGGTGACTGCAGCTGCGTATTCTTACGTTGTTAATTCAGTCGATGGCGATCATCGCAACGACCGTACCACCTCTCACCTGTTACATTGCGGCAGGGTCATTTGCTCGGGGACGTACAGACAATCAAGGGCCTATAAATCGCAAGGGCCACGTTATCTGCAACAAGCCACTACCAAGCAGTCGCAAAAACGATGAGACCTGACCCGGGAGTCGCGGGGATGGTGCCGTCACAGCAAAGAAGACTACGGCCTAGCAAGCAGTGTCAAACTTCACTGAACTCTTATTGACCCTCCAAGGCATCTTCTGACATTCCGAGCAACGAGCAACGAGCACCGAGCACGGCTGAGCGAGTAGAATGTGGCAAAGGCAAGGTGGGGGAGTCGATGAGACTTTACAACAAGTTTCGCAATGGTGAATTTTTGGGCATGCGTTTGTGAAAGAAAGCCATGCCGCTGGCCTCGGATTCGACAAAGTCAAAAAGAAGATCGGCTTTCTTGCTGGTGCGGAGACACACTGTCACCAGTACCTTCTCAAGGCTGCTGAGTCTCTGACCTGATGTCTTCATAGATTATCTGGTGCATCTCTCCGCCGCTCGGGTGATCATGGCAGAACGAAACCATGAAGACTGTCATCTACCTTGGCTCTGTGGCTCTTTGGTTTCCAGATAGCGCAACGCCACATGACGGGCGACAAGCGAATCGTGCTTCGACTGCATTTTAGGACGGTGCTATGCAAGACAACCAGAGGGCCGGAAATTATCCACTACTAAAAGCAGTGCTGAGCAGCAACACCAGCTGTTCAATACATATTCGGAATGGTGCGCGCCAATTCAATACTGACAAATGGAGCACACTGTGTTCTTTCTACTTCCCAAAACTGCATAGTAGCATCCTAGCACTCGACCCCAACGCTCTGAGAACGTTTACCGGCTGACTTCAGGCACTCCCTAAGTCGTCACGAGCCACAGAGAGAGATCTCGATCGTGGACGATTATTGCCTTTCTCGGCTTGGCAAGTGGGCAAGCATAAGCAAGCCAGGAGACCCTTCGACGCCACATCAGAATCTGTTTCCCACTCAATCGGGAGCTCATCCGTTCCATTTACACTCGCTGATAGGCTGCCCTCGACCCATTCGCCCTTTCCTTCTTTTCTGTTCCGTCACCTCCCCTCTTGCCCCCACCCAATTGGATGCACAGTTCCTGGAACTATCGAACCGCTTTGGGTGAGTCCTCTTCTCTCTTTGCATGCTGGGAGGGAAGCGTCAGGAGCCTACCTACGTTGTAGACAGCATCGAAATCCAAAGATGTGTATCCGTACCTCTGTTGTCTCGGAGAAAACAAACTCCTAGAACCCACTCATGCTCTTCCCGGCTTTGGTTGAGCCACGCAATCGGGAGGTTGGACTTGGACTTGGACTTGTTCCTTGCCGTACGAGGCCGGGCCGCTGGACTGCGAAAGTCCAGCTTTAGCCAACAATTAGCCTGTTACCTGGGCTCGTACCTACCTGGAGATTGCCAAAGGGCTAATGAAAGTGCGCTCCGGCTTCGGTTTGATGACGGTCCTATTATCCAAAGATGCGGCAGCCGTTACAGCATCCTTGCCCGCCCCAGCGCAACAACTCGTCTGGTTTCCATTCTGAGCACGCGAACGGCGAGCCTTCACATTTGGGTTCAGGGTAAGATTCAGCGATTCGTCCGGAGGTGAGGTACTTTGCGCTACGTGCTTCTCCCAGATGACCGCCGTTGCTATGCACGACAGTGCACATATGTTCCTCTCTCTAGCCGACTCGACTCAATCGCATAGACGAAGGCCGTTAAAGCATTGATGCTTTAAACTTCTTTTCGTGGTCAAAGAAGTCGTGCTCCGGGTGGCTCGGGAAGCAAGTGAGTTGACTTTGGAAGACTTCAAAGCGCCTATCGGTAGCAGAACCATAGTCTATCTGTTTCTGTTGAAACGAGACTCGACTTTTCCTCCTCCTTGCGAAGCAAAATTCGCGTGTCGTGTGGAATTGACGCCCGGTCGAGAGGGTTCAGCTTGGAGCTGAAAGTACCCTGTCGCTCTTCGCAAAGGTGGAATGTACGAAGAAGACAAGTACCACAATGAGCTTGACATAGCTATGACGACACTGGAAGGGGGAAATTTTCCCTCCCAAAGGACGCACCGAGGGGGTCCTGCAGGGCGCACAGGGGGGACTGCGTCGGACGGGGGGAGGGGTGTGTGTCATTGACCATCTCTTCTTTTCTGCCCTTGCTCGTACCTCACGCCAGCCTAGTTAGGGAAGCTTCTCACTTCTGACGCCGCGCGAAGTCAGGTACCCTCTCACCCCCAGGTAGGTTTTGGGGTCTTGCCGTCCCAGGCTATTGCTCTTCATTTACAGAGATACATACGGATAGATAAACCGCCATCGCTGGCAACCGACGGTAATGGGCAAGTTTGGCCTTGCCACTCAATTCCAGACGAGAGCAGCAACTTGACGATGCTTACTTCTCAATCCTTGAGCAAGTCCTCCACCAGCCTCTGCCCACATCGCTGGGTCGAGCAGAAGTCTCTCCATAACACATATCCGCAGCAAGTGGGCAGGCTACTGTTTGTGGACGACCTGTGCCATTGAGGACCTTGCCTTGACATTACCCCGACTCGAGCCTCAGGGAGTAGGGGTATTTGAGCTCCAGTCGGTGCTTGAGGAATCGTCAACCAGCCTCAACGGGCCACTGACGTCACCTTCGCGGACCCTCAATCCGTGGCTCGTGCAGGGTCTCATGTTCCTCTTTCCGAAAGATACGGGCGAGTCAGGTGCGTCCACTTTTATTCAGAGATCGTGATCTTTCGAAATGATTCCTTTGCAACAAGGCCCGATTTGGCTTCGAGATATCGTTCGCCGTACAAACTCGGGAGCACACCATGGTTCATGGTCAATCAGTGGCCAGCTGGTGGTGACAGACGTGTTGCCGCCAAACGGTAAAACAAGGTAGTGCTGATTTCAATAGACCGCATCTCAAGTGCGCCAAACAACCGCACATCACCTTTCTATGTACTGCGTGAGGGTCTACCAGAAGAACGATCTTGACCACCTGAGAAATCCACGCCAGTAGATGCTGTGAGTCTGTGATCATGTGAATGATATTTCGAGAGGGCTTGATCTGTCAAGTGCAGTCTCGAACGAAGAGCATAAGCGGAAAGCGAAGCACACCAGATCCGTAAGGTGGTTCGTGGCGCCGGAACTTCAGCTCCTACGAGTCTGATCAAGCTCAGTTCGCAAGCTGATCGATCATCGTTCTAGACAACATAGGGTTTCTTACCGGCTCAGACAGGTGGAGATGTTACCAAAAGGAGGAAACGACTGATTCCGAGTCCTGGTCTCTTGTCACCAAACGAGGCCCAAAAGCAAGGAAATTGACACGGTAGGGCAAATAGCATGCGCAATCCGGATCGAAATCGACAGCACAGCGGGCCCAGAACAGAATAGAACGGCCAGGGAAAGCCAGGCACACACACAGTCACCCGCAGGCATATGGCCGGGCCCAGGAACACCCCCC